CTCAATATGTGTCTGTTCTGATCACACAATAATGCAATCCAAACACCCTCAACACAACTGCGGCACATGTTTTAGATAACTGTTCCTCCACAGGCAGAAATCCTGGCAGCATTTACCACATCGGAGTGAAACTGATCACAATGAGCCTTGTGAGCATCAGCCCAGTAGAGATGAGGATAGAACTTAGTTGTTATAAGAAAACCTGGTTTAGAGGAGGAATCTGTCCTTTTGTTGGAACATTAATAATATTACAAGCTGTGTATTACAGTTATTACAGTTGCAGTCACTGGAGCTGCAGTCCTGCAGCTGTAGAGTCGTCTAACTATGAACACAGACTAGAGGCAAATATCCAAAACTCTGATTTTCTCAGAACATGCAGCTACAAACACACGGGCATTCCTCGATGCTCCTCTCAAATGAGCATCAATTCAGGAAGTTGCTGCACCAGTGTTGCCAGATCCAAAATCCCACAATATCGCAGAGAGGCTTAAATTATCGTTTTCCAGTACAAATTATCGTACATTATAAATTTAATAATAACGTTCTATAAACGACTTCTCACTCCAATATAACAAAGAAGGTGTTTTATATTGCCCTGTTTAAATAAACATCTTTAAAACCAGTAATATAATGCTTATAAACGTGCAGAGTGTGTCGGCACCACTCCGACCTCCACGCAATGACACAATATGCACATTTGCGCAGTCCTATTCATTTCATTTCTACATAGGTTAAAAGCACGTGACAAAACATCACAGCAGTGGAAAAATTGACCCAATAAATGACAAAGCAGCCTACTCACCTAGTTGCTGACCTCGATCTCCTCATCTGATTCACTGTATGTTGCAGCAGAATGCCTTTAATCACCTGTACTAAGTGGTCTGTGCTTCTCATTGCAATGTTGTGCTCGGCTAAAAAGCCACAAAGCCGTGTTACTAGATGCAATGTGAAATTATCGTACATTTGAGGATTTTTGAAACTATTGATCGTACATCGTACAGAGCCCAAAATTATGGTACAAATATGATAATTATCGTACATCTGGCAACACTGTGCTGCACATAGATTTGTTTGTGGGTCTGCTGAAGGGACGGGGAATAAAGAAGGCAATCAGAGCAAGCTCTTCCTGGCTTTCTCTGTTTTTGCTAGAACACACAGCAGTGGTCTTTCCTTTTGTGAACATTCCAGGGTGCTAGGCAATGTGTGCACAATTAGCATGCATAAAGGCAATCCATTAGCACTCGAAGTCAAAGCCCGGTGGTTTGAACTGTGATGAAAGAGCACTTCTCTGAAACAATTACATCTTGATGCATTTACTGGTCAACCGCAAACACTGAGCTGGAAAGGCAGCAGCTGCTGCCCAGAGATTCTCCGTTTTCATTTTCCCCTTAAGTCAACTATCACTGTTATTTGTGTGGTGCAGATTTAAATGTTTTAATACTTCTTACGACAATCCTCATCAAACTCCTCCGAAGCTTGTTTTGCTCGCCTGAGACAAAGAGGGGAGCTATTTCGCTGAAACCCCTGGGGAGCCATAATGCGTTTCTAAGTTGAACCATGACTGTGATGTTAGAGGGGGTCACAGATGTTTCTGGAGGCACAGTTGTGAATGCTGAAAGCCACTTACAGGATGCATTTCATTTACAGAATAGGCTCCTTTATGTCTTTTTAGCTTCTCTTTGTCTCTTAAATTGCGGTGCCCATTCATCGGCCAAGTGAGCTAGCCAAAGGCAAAAAGACAACCGCGTCTGTTGACCTGTCAAATACTTTAACAAGACGGTTTAAGAGTCACAGCTTTCCCAGTACATCACAACTCTCAAACAAACTATTAAACAACTGCACTGGTGTTTGAATAGCAGGTTAATTCTGATTAGAGACCCAAGAAATCCAGTCTCCCTAAACATGTGGCAAAACCAAAGCTATGCCATAAACCAGCAGACGTCCTTTTTTTATTTCTCAGATCAAAAATGGCTTGGCCCCAGTCCTCTCCCAGCTCCCGTAAAACACAGTCATTTCACACGCAGGGGCTTTTCATTTGGATTACAGCTGGCCAGGGGAGCACATGGCCAAACCCACAGCCGTGCCCAGGAAAAACACTTGACATGATTGAATAAGCAGAGACCAGCCAGAACATCCCCACAACTCTGACCGCCTGGATAAAGATTTATCTGCTCCGCCGTCTCGTCTAGGACGCATGTGACATGTAAAGGGGATTTGATTATGGCAGCGAAAGGTCAGATACGATCGTTTCTGACTAACCGCAAGAGGAAAAATCTAGAAAAACAAGTTGGTTCAGTCAGTCATCTCCGACAACTCCCAAGCAGGGTGATCAGCTGGACCCTCTTCCATTTCAATCTGTCTCTTGTGTTAACCTTTCACTCGTAACTCTCTTCAATCCCAGAGGGAGGAGACGAGGAGCGCACAAGGCTGGATCCCGAGAGAGGACACTGTTTGATGGACGACCAGGGCCAGGCCTTTCATTGGTATTCAGCTTCCTCCATCTGGGGGGTGCTGAACCAAAACACCAGTGTCTGTCCCCCAGAGAGTAGATCGCTATGGTGACTATGATAGATACTTAGCGTTGGCGGAACTTCCACCGAGGAGAATTTGCGCAGGCGCTGACAAAATTGGGCCGAGGAGTGCCCCAGGTAATCTGTCACCAAGCAGCATTTTGATAACCTCACAGCGTTGTGTAGATGACGTGGATGGATGAACGATCTCTGGGTGAAGACTTGCTAAGGACAGCATACAGTCGTCTCTACTCTCCTCCTCTTCACATTAGCAAACCATCGACCTCACTGCCCAAGAGTAAAGTCAGGAAATTTTGACCTTTAAAGGGTGTCTGGGGTGCTAACCAGAGGACTTCTGCTAACTGAGAAAAAAAGAAAGTAGAGATGGTCAGCTCGTACTGCTAAACCACAGAGATCTGTAGTTTCACCCCAAGAGAAATCAGTATCTGTCAGGGTCCTGGAGTTTGTGTTTTTTTTTTCTTTTTTCATCTGTAGGCTCGTTGGAGGGCATGCAGAGATGCTGGAGCCAGCTCCACCCAGACGCCACACTCACCTGCAGCTCATCTAGTCATTAGATGGGAGGACTAAAATGAGCCAGGAACCAGTCTCTCATTGCCAGATTGTTTGCCTAAGTGGATAACCTGTTCCTGTTATGGTTGCTATGACTTTGCTTCAGCTAATCTACTCAACCCTGCTACCTAAACAAATCAAATCAAATCAACTTTATTTATAGAGCGCTTTCACATGGCCAAAATGGACAAACAAAGCGCTGTACACCAATAAAATGCAACACAAAAGGACAGAGATAAGACCATTAAAATATATTAATAAATCCATTAAAATACACAAAGAAATCCCTGTAAAATACCGTAATAAATCCTATGAAAATACAATAAGAAATCCATTTTAAAATACAGTACAAAAACCTGAGTGCCAGTTCACAGTCCATATCCGGCCTACTTCCCCCAACTTCAAAGTCCAAAAGCCAGCGAGAACAGATGTGTTTTCAGTCTTCCTTTAAAAGTTTCTAATGACGTGGCCTGTTTTAACAAAGGCACATCTATACCTCCCGGCTCCTGCAACTCCATCCATCTACATCCTCACCTCCTCTTCCCGTGTGTCTCCTGTCCACCGTCCAATGAAATACCATAATATCCTCTTCATCCTCACCATAATTCCTTGACTACCAACATACTCGCACCCTAGTAATCACAGTACCTGCTCTCCCTCAGATATCCACCTGCCTGCAGCTCTGGGTCCTCACCACCTTCCTCCACTCCTGTAAGAAATGTCTCTGGTTCGTAGTTCTGCTGTATCTAAATTCCAACTCCACTCATTTAAATCCCTCCCAGTAATCCAGTCCTTTTTCTCGACCCTGGCTCATTCCTGAATTCCTCATTTATTCCTGTCAAATGCTTTTTATTGATCCAGTTGTTTCACAAGCATGTGGGTCCATTTCCTTCCAAAAACCATGGCAGATGCAGCTTGAGCTAAGCTGCTCTTGCCCCGTATTCGACATACCTGTTCAAATGCTCTTTGGAACCAAAATCAGCTTTGGATGTGAGACATCGGACTTCATCACTGAAATCAGTTGGATTTTGCACTTTTTAAAATTATTTTAACGTGGCTCCTACGCTTTACTTCCATTAAGAAGTTAATCTGATTATCTCCCCAAATAGTGTAAATTGAAATATATATAGAAGGCAAAAATTATAATCTCTGAAAGAAATGAGTTCAAAATATGAAAAAAATAAAAATAAACATTAACGGCAGATTAGTGGATTTTTTAAAGGCTATAAATGTTGCCCAGGATTTTAATAGTCTGGTTTTGAAGGCTGAAAATTCTCAGTTCTAACTTCTCATCGGCTGAAACTGAACTAATATGTATTTCTGTTTATTTACACATTTACAGTTGTGATTCTGAAAGAAACACCTTCAACATTTAAGAACTGCTATAGATGGTAGAATAAGTCATTTCCAAAGAGTTCATTCAGACTGGGTACTGTTTAAGCTCAATATTTGGCCGATCCAATCACCATCTGTTTTACAATAAACACACTGGTGATTTTGCATGCAGTAACACATTTGAGCTGATAAAGTTATTAATTCCATTATTTTAGCCATGCTCCGTTTAAGTGATTTATGTGATCTAATCTAATCACCAAATGTTGATTTTATGCAACTATTTCAAATCCACTCTTGACTGAAGTGAGAGGCATTGTTAGAACAGGCATGGTCACCACAAGAGCATCACTTCATGTGAATAAGGAGAGTAAAACGTTCTATTTTCCGGACACAATTATTATCATTTGTATTTCTCGCTCATTTGCATATCTAATAACGACTATTATAGGATCAAACGTTAATTAATGTGGAGCAGACAAATGAGCTCTGATGTGCTACTCTCGCCTAACAAAAGCACATGTGAGAGAAGGGCAGGGTCGTTTCTGAGCGAGAGCAGCACGGACATGGTGAGATGTTGATACCGACCTGTCATCGTAGCAGAAGTCTGCGTCCAGCGTGTTCAGATAGAGACCCACAGCCACGGCGGTGCACACCAGCTCCGTGATCATCTCTCAAGCTGGGAGAGGAACCGGTAAAGAAAACGGAACAGGTCCTCCTCCCCCGTTTCTCTCTCAGATCTGTGCTCGGCTGCTGCACGGCTCTCTGCGCGTCAGATGAAGTGTGTCAAACTTTGCCATGGTGTCTCCTCTAACCCATCTCGGTCCGGGCTGCTGTTGCGGAGGTGAAGCTATCACCAGAACAGACGCAGAGCTGTGCGCATTTCTGTGCTGCTTCGTCCCTGGTGTGCGCATCGCATCTCCCTGCTGTGGTACAGGAGAGACTGCTGGCGGAGAGGGGAGACGCATGTGCTTTTCAGCTGCTGTGCGCATGCGCACTGGCTTTCCTCTCCGGTGAGGAAAAGGGGAAAAAAACGTGGACGCTGTTGGAGGTTCACATTGTCCATGTGGTTTTATTCTGGCAAGAGAAAGAATGGGCTATCTGTGGACGGTTGCCATGGCAACAGTTTTATCTTATCCTCCCAGTAGGCAAATAAAATGTGGACTGCATAATTAAAACTAGAAAACCTCCAGTTGGCTTGGACATATTTGGTTTTATAGAAAAAAATCTGTAAATTATTGCAATTTTTGTTCATGATTTGAGGCATTTTATTCATGAACAGTCAGTTTAAATGTAATAAATTAGTTTATTTAACTTCAGAAATTTGTCTGTGTGTAACATCTTATTTCTCATTTGTCTTTCTGTCAAACAGGCCAGTCCCTCTGAAGTGTTTGGATTAACTGTAGCCTGAATCTGAAGTAAGTGAAGTTATTTTGCAGCTCTTTGTTTCTCCTTGTGCATTTTTATGAACACATTTGCATCATCTGTGGTGTTTAAAGATTCTCCCACAAGTTTGCCGGTATGTAGCATTCAGTAATTGTGTTTACATCTGAACAAAGTCTGACTGTATTCTAATAATGTCTCGCTAATTTTTTATTTGTAATCTAGAAACATTTCTTCTGACTTCTTTATGCTCACTTCAGACCTTTTGGACCAAATCAGTACAATCCTGTAAATTACAAAAAGCCACGGGCACTTTTCTGCCTCGTGATCAATTTAAATTAAATACTGAAATGCCTGACATGTGCATGCATCCTGCTGCAGGCCTCACACTACCACATTCTTATGCTGAATTTAAAATACTGATTGATTTTGCCTCACCAACCCCCGCTGCCTCTGCTGGGAAGCCAAACTGAGGGAGCAGAGCAATGATTGTGATGGATGAACTGCTGCACCTCACCCTATGGCCAGCATGCATGTGGGCATTGGTTTGGAAACAGGCAGCCTGGTCCTGCTGACTTCCAGCTGGAGCGCTGCCTGTCCCACAGTCAGGGATCCAGTGGGATAAATGCTGTGCTGAACTGTGGAAAAAGAAAACCAGATGGTTGGAGAAGAATGTCTAGAGCGTGAGGGCCCACAATGGCTGGGACAATGACAGAGCACTGAAGCTAGAGGTTAGAGCTATTTGTAACAGGGACCCTGGTTCTGAACAGAACTTGACCCCGGCCTTGTGAGACCTGTTGGATCATTCACTGAAGGAAGGGTCTGTTCTGGAGCTAATGTTTCCTCTTCAGCATTTATCAGCATCAAGAAAAACAACCTGGTCTTCAATCTTTAAATTAACCTCAAAATATTGGTTTTTAATTATATTTGAAGAAATGCTTGAAAATGTCAGACTGACCCAAATCTGTACTGATAAAATAAGGGGAAACTGCTGTAACTTCAGTCTGATTAAAACATCTGAGAAGAGAAATCAAGCCAGCCTATGAAGGAACAAAAACATTACAAGTTTGGCTAAATGACGGCTCTTCTCACTCGACAGGATTCCAACATCAAGTCTGAATTCATGCCACATTTGATAATATGATGTAATGGTTTGTTTGCCATTTGTGTTATGTTGCTTTAGAAAGTGACAATCATCTGTACAGCGTATAATTTAAAACTCATGACATCCCTCATTGAAAGCACATTTTATTTTGCTCATAAAAAAACATTCAGCATGTTGGACTATAATTTTTGGGGGGGGGGGGGGGGGGGTGATGTTTTAAACATGCGTGCATGCTTTAACTGTTATTTTGCTCATTTAAATGGACAACATGGTCCAATATATCAAAAACAACAATTGTGTGCAACATCAATATTGCAGAAAATCTGAATTCATACCATATAATATACAGAAAACAACAGTAGAGTTTACTGAAACATCAGAGGAACTTAAAGCTTCAGGTTGCACACGACTGTTTCTGTGAGTGAAGCTTCTGGTTCCAGAGTGACGGAGCTATGACTGAGAAAGCCCGGTCCCCACGAGTCCAACACCTAGAATGAGGGGCAGCGAGCTGGAGCGCAGGATTAATGTCTGTTCAGGACTGTGGCTAGATAGGGGGGGGGGACCAAATGCGAGCTGCCTTGTTTTGGGCTGCCTATAACAATTTGAGTTCATCCCAATTTATGATATCACAATATTCAACAATGCTGTTGCAAATGAATGTTCTCCAGGAAATTGTGCAGCTTTACTGTTCAGCAAAAAAAAAGTTGACATTTTAGCACCTCCGATGGACAAGTCACTGCACAAGTCAGTCAGACAGACGTGCAGGAGCTCCAGGAGTTGCTGAACTTTGGTCCTATTCCAGAAGGGAAGATATTTGTCCTCCAGTCAGAAAAATAAACTAATGTAAATGAGCTGCAGAGGAGACGCAAGTGAAATCTGTTACACAAATGAGGGTAAAGTAAAATCTAAAAGTTGACTCGGAAGAAACGCAAAAACAAAACTAACGATACAATAAAGATGACGAAAGAGGTGTGACATGGCCAAATTGTTCTACAGCTAAACATTCCCCAAAAGTGTTAATATCCGAAATCTACAGTTAACAGAACAAATGAATAGTCTGGTTTGTGTTTCTAATATTTAGGGAGTGTTCCATTATTTCTTTAAAACATCAGCTTTCTTCAGAGCTTTCATTAAGAGATGTGTCTTCACCATTTCAGCTGCTCTAAGAGGGTAATGGCGATTTCCCCGTTGTTCACTCCGGAACGGCCGTATCTCCACCCAGCAGATACACATCAGAGGAAACAATCAGAGCTGGAGGTCTAGGCTAACTAAAATAGATGCCATGGTGTTGAAGTTCCGCTATCTCTAATCAACATCCAAATCTATTTCTATCTTTAAGGGAACATTCTGCCCGGAAAATCAGAAGTCTGACTTTGTTTTGAGTAAAAGGGAGCATGGTGGTTGTTCAGGGTCTAATCAGGCTATGCTTTTTACACTAATGATGTTTCAGATCCAAGTGGTCATTTTACCACGTGGAGTATTTTTCTCAGACGTTCCAAAGCTGCTGAATAAAGTATAAAAAAATACACGACAGAAAAAAAGATCCCATCAATTTTTCATCTGAGCTGCCTTTGCTCCAGCTCTGAACATCAAAGACAAACAAATACATTCTTCTGATCTCATTTCTAGTTATTTATTTAGGACTTAAACCTGGTGGCCTTCACCTAGTCCTGTCCCATCCATCTGGGCCTGTCCCAACAGGATATTCTCCAAACGGATCATCAAACCAGGCAAATCATTCCTCAAAGCATTTTTGATCTTGTCTTTTCAATTGTCTCCAGTTCTGTTTGAGTTTAAAGTTGTTTCTGTTCAGATGTTTCAGAGTGATTTAATACGATCGGATGAAATTTAAAGGGAACTGGGCAGGGGTGATGGAAAATAATAAGAGGGACGAGAAGTGTGACAGAAATGTTTCATACTGGAAACGGCAGCTGCTTGAGGCCCAGACTAAAACGTTTGAACTTCCTGACAAGCCCGTTTGCACTCCTACGATGCATCCGTGGCAGGTGTGAAAGACATTTTGTCCCTGTGCATCCTCAGAGGGTAAATGTGCACGAAGTGAGAGATGATGACTTTAACCTGAAATGAGCTCACCTCTGTCCGGCTGAGCGGTAGAGTTGCACAAAGGTGCTGCTTTGGGGTTTCTTTGGTCTAAAAGGTTCCAGTTCAGATGAATCAGGACATCGTGATTCATTTTCAGCAGACATGTTTTAACGATGACATCCCACACCAGGACACGTGTTCCTCCTGATTCTTCTGCTGCTTTAGTTACAAGCTCAACAAATCTCCAACTTTCCTCCCATTAAGTCAGCTTAGTCAAGGTTGTTTGTTTTTAAAATCAAAGCTTATGAATGTCAAATCTGACTGTAGTCAACGGTGCATGTTTGATCCAGAACTCACATCAAAGCTAAAAGTCAAAGTGTTGACTCACTCCCCTCACATCCTCTCATTCCTACCTTGCAGGGAAAAGTCATCAGAGGTGGGAATTCCTCCTTCACATCCTGGATGCCTTTTTCCTGCCCTCTTTTGGGTGCAATGTCAGGAAACTGAAGCTTACCGACCCATACTCGGGATCTTTTTCCTGTCGTCTGTGCAGATGCTTTCAGCAGGCTGGATGAGTGTTTATCTATAAACACGTATATGCACAGACTGCGTGCGAGCCTCTGAGGATAAGCAGGTTGACAGGACATGACTCACTTGGCTGCAACAAAACCTGGAAGTGTTCGATTCCCAAAAAAAGTTCTATTCCCATCTCTGACTTGTGTTTGCTTCAGCACAGACAGCCGAACACGCCGCTGGACCCAGATACAGCCCAGCGCCTCACCGTTTGTCCTCGCCAAGATAAAAAACACAGTTTCACCACAGCAGCTCTGACAGATGTGCAGGCCGCTGCTGCTGTGGCTACAACAGTGGAGCACAGAGGTGGTGATCAGAGGGAATGTTTTGTCACATAGTGAGAAAGAGCATTCTCTCCTGATATTTTAGATTCCCTATCATGTTGTAAAAAATCACAAATGAGTCAAAGGAAATCACACAAACAGCTGCTGAACATCTTCGAAGCTCCTCGTTCCTTCTTTTAGTTTATTTCTGGTGAAATCTGGACCTCTTTCAGTACATGCCCTGAGTTAATGTTAAAAACAGAATCTATAAATCTGTAAATATTTTAGTGATGCGTGAAACTTGCATCCATGCAGGATTTAAAAATAACAGTTCATTTGCAACTTTTTCCAACAAGCACACATCAAGTTAAGCTAATTTTATGTCTCATCTGTCATTCCTGGCCAAACATATTAAGTCATAAAAGCATTTACTCTAAATTTACTTTAAGAAAAATAAAGATTTGTCTTTACATTTTTATTAGAAGGGGAAAACGGGGTTTCTAAATGTCATCCAGTAAAATCCAGCAAGACCTTTGAAGGCCTTGGTGTTCCCTAAAATCAAATGTTTTCACAAAATCACAAAGAAAATAACCAGAAAGCCTATAATTCAATAAATTACAGGTGGCATGTGTGTGTGTGTGTGTGTGTGTGTGTGTGTGTGTGTGTGTGTGTGTGTGTGTGTGTGTGTGTGTGTGTGTGTGTGTCTCCGTTCCTCAGCTTGTTGCGTTTGCATGACTCTTAAGTCCGATGAGTGCGTAGCACCTTGGGGACAGCAGGGGGTTAAACAGTTGCACCAGAGCAGAGGATACGCCGTCCTGCAGCACAGAAAGAAACTTTACCACATCATCGTGTTCAGGCGCGCATACATCATCTCTACGTTCATGTGCAGAGTTTTTCTTTGTTGGAAGCCGTTTCCTTGTACACACATGGCCAAACAACTCCCCACCTGACCAGTCTGTGTTTGTGTGATTAAACCTTCAGCTCACTTATCACATGGATCATCTTACCGCAGATCCATCCCCGTTCCCCTCCTCCTCCGTACGGTGGAGCTGACCATTGCTGTGTGTTACAACGTTTGATTACAGGACTCTTTACTTCAAAGCGCTCTGATAGCTCCTCGCAGTGACTCAGAGTAAAGATTAGCATGTTGTGCTTGGCTGCAGAAGCACGGGAGGACAAACTGCAGGCTTGACTCGATTTAGCTGACACCTTTGTTAATGTCAGAAGTCCTGATTTTATCTGACATTTCCACGAGTTCTCTTTAATCACCTGGGACACAAAAACTCAAGTCCCAATCAGTGAGCTGCTCCAGTCAGTCAGAATAAAACTCCAGCTGAAACATGAGAGTTACAATGGCAAAGGATTCTTTCAAAGTTGTTTTTTTCTGACTATTCGCTTCAGTTCCAAGTTTCTCAGTATAAATTTTAGACCTCATTTTCGTGAACGTGGCCACTGAACAGGACGTCCAGCAAACTGAACTGAATGAGCATGAACATGTTTAGGCACTTCTTTTTCCACATATAATGATGATTCCACCACCGTGCTTCACTCTTCCATCTTGCTTAAAATAATTTCCTTCAGACAGAATTAGTTTTATCAGAGTTGGATGTTACCTGTTCTTTAAGGTAGCAGAGGCGATCCAGAAGAATCAGACCTTCAATACACGGCGCGAGGGTCACCTTCAACTAAATATAAAAAAACAAGTTCTATATGTAAAAGTGTTTGACTCAAGTTGGTAATTGTTGTAACAGCGCTCAACGACTTGGGCAGTCCCTCCCGGAAAAAAAGCATCTTCATGTTTTATTTCAGGAAAAATGACATTTGAATTCTGGCTGACAATATAATTAGTGACCACGAGGCTGGTTTTCCTCTGCCTCTGTACAGCCATGGTATTCCCAACAGGTCTGTCTTTTTTTTGGGGGGGGGGGGGGGGGGGGCAGTTTGCAGGAATGAAAATATTTCACACGGATATCAAAAAGATGATTGAGGAGGAAATAGTTCTGAGTAAAAAACAAAACAACGGCAGGTTGTCAGGTTTTATAAAGGCGAGTTGAGAACGTACCATGTTAAAGGCGTGCATCTCCTCCATCCGAGCTCGGTACGCGTCCTGGTAGCTTTGAATTTCTCCGTCTGAGAGCTGAAGCACAACCAGGATGAGGCGTCACATAAAGAGGGCAAATCATCCCGGGGATAAAAGGGACTAAAAAGTCTGTAGCTTTTGAGAGTTGTGAGAAACTTATAACAGATAGAAATACATCAGCCTATTCTCTTGGTTGCCCGGGGCAACCAGACAAGCAATCGGCTCAAGGTGACTCCTTCTGGCTACATTATGACCCCAAGAAGGAATGAGCTAAACAAACTGAAACTCTGATTTGGAGCTTTTGAGTACAGATCGAATCTAAACCCAGACTTGGTGTTTTAGTTAAACCGGCGTTTAGGGAACGTTTCCGACGGTTGGCTCTGGAAGGTGCAAGACGAGAACGGCTTTCTCCAACTGACCTTTGAGTCATCCAACTCCAGCCTGCGCAGCGCCCGACGGACGTAGTCCACAAAGGATTTTGTCTTGGAATAAACATTCCCAACTCGTTTTTCACTGTGGAACAAACACGTTTTATTATTTCTCAGATTTTGGCACCATGAAGTAAACAACCTGTCACTCCTTCAGTCTCATGATGTGTGTCTACATTTAAACTGGAACCTGCCCAACTTCTAAAGCACTAAATGACGATGGAAATGTTCTGTTTGGAGCAAATAATAGAAATTAAACAGCAATGTCAGCAGATAAACTGATGTTCGGGAGATCTTCTGGGACATTTGATCCTCGGGTCTGAATTTTTGATAAGAACTGAACTGAGATCTGCTAAAACTCCCAGCATTGTTCTCCTAAGCCGAGCAGTAAAAACCACCGACTTCCTGAATTCCAGGACTTTTGTAAAGTGCACATATTTGGAAAGCTTTGATGAATTCCTGTCAGAGTTGTCTGTTCTTATCTTTTGGGTGAAACTGTCACATTTCCTCTGATGTTGCACCAAGCTCAAAGCGACACAATCGGCATGTTCTCATATTCCAGCCGCAGCTGCCCTAACGACTAAAGCCGGCGGTCAACACGCTGACGATAATCTCTGAACTAATCTTAGCCTCCAGAGTTTATAATTCATTAGGCGTGACCTGATCATTCACCGGAGCCTGGCTTGCGTCTCAGTCCACGTGGCTCTGGTTTGCAGGTTTCAGTTCATTTGGAATCCAAACAAACCAGAAACAAAACCTCTTTTTTGGTTCAGAACACTGAAAACAAACCCAAACGCAAGCTCCACATCCTTTCTGTTCTCCGTCATCCAGACAAATGTAACCGCTGCTGATGGAGGCAAAACGTCAGAAAGGGAAACTATTACCTTTTATAGGAGCTGTAGTGGTCCCTCAGAAGAACATGCAGCACGGCTCTGAAGAACAAAGACTCCATCTGAATCTGTAGCAGAAAGAAAAAACCAAATCTGCTTCCCATCATGCAGCTCGTGTGCAAACTCCTCGATGAATAATTCTGACAATTTCCAAGCTTAATGCAACACTAGTGAGCAATCAAGCTTCATACCTCCATTCCAGCAAGTAATCAATCTTTCCGTGATTGCATTAATATTTATAAACATTCCATATTAATGGCGACGAGTTTCGTGTCTCAGAATGGGCCTGCAGCCTCGGAACACTTCAGATAAATACACCAAAGTCAATCAGAGGCTTAAGACGACAGAATTAATGGGCTGACTGTTTAAAAGCACAAACGGATCTATGGTGAAGATAACACAGTTGGAAACTAGATGAATGCAACAAACGATTAGATAAAAATGCTTCCAGTCTGGTGCGATGGATAATTATCAGTGGATGATATCGATAATAATTAGCACACAGGCCTTACTCACCCCCTGGCCGAGTGAAACCCTCTCCAGAGCCTGTTTTGTGAAAAGAAATGAAACTGTTGAGGGTGAAACGTTTCGTGGAAAGCAAAATAAAATATTCTAGATTAAAAAAAAGATGGATGAGTTGGTTTAAAAGTTAACGGGAAACATCAAACGGCATCAATTCATTGATTATTTGACTGACAGAGTAGGCAGGTCCAACTCATTAGCCCCGCCCCCAACGCTGTCTCAAGAATGTTCCAACCTCACTGTCAGACCATGATGGTTTAGACCACAGGAACCGGCGCAACAAGATAATCAAAGGTATGAGCCTCGGCTGTAGGTGCTGAAAACATCTTGGCTCGTCAGCCCTCTTCACTGTCAGTCGCAGTGTGTTATTTTTATTTTTTTTTACTCGTCCAGCCTGACACACACACTTTTTACATCAACAGACTCACCAAACATGCTGACATCCTGGCATTTCTGCCGCAGAAGCAGGACTGACGGCGGAGGTACTGACTGAGGGGGAAACCACACGCCGTCTGCGAACACTCTGTGAGAACAGACAGATAAACTCTGAGCGAGTGCTGACTGAACACTTGGGCTTCCTCTAACTGTTTCCACGAGTGCAGCTCCTGCTCAGAACGTGCCTATGTCGCCGCGCAGCCGTGTGCATTTTTGTTGCCTGAAGGGATTCTTAGCAGTAGACATAAATATGTAATGTTGGGATATTAAATCATTGATGTGAATCATTCCATGATGATGGCCTACTGGCCCAAAAGAAGGTGCTAGGTATGGATGATGCACTTGAAGAATCACCAGAATTCCAGATGAGCAGTTTAAACGAACGCCTTTAATTCCTTCTTTGGGTGAGGCGGGCCACCATGGCAGCTGGCCTGCAGCCCAGACTGAGCGTGTGTGCGTGAGCTGAAGTCTTTGTTCACCGACTGTCATGATATAATGTTCCACTCCTAGCTGGCATGGAGGCGAGCTCTGAGGGCTGAACACGAGATGATGTGATGCCGCATCAGCTGCAGAGAGACGTCTTCCCTCACAAACCAGGGGCCGGGAGCATATAAACCAGATTATGTGGTGAAACATCCTCAACCCTTCTAATTGATTTGTTTTCTAAATAAAGTTTGGCAAAATCCAATGTAAACCTTTAAATCTATAAATAAGATGTAATGATTCCAACAATGACTCCCTGAGGCCAGCTTGATCTGCAGATTGGCTTCTGACTCTCAGAAGTTTTCATTTTTATGTATTTTTTATTAGATTGTTTGGCTGTGCAGTGGTGCAGTGGTTAGAGCTGTTGCCTTGCAGCAAGAAGGTCCTGGGTTCGCTTCCCGGCCTGGGATCTTTCTGCATGGAGTTTGCATGTTCTCCCAGTGCATGCGTGGGTTCTCTCCGGGTACTCCGGCTTCCTCCCACAGTCCAAAAACATGACTGTTAGGTTGAGTGGTCTGTCTAAATTGTCCTCAGGTGTGAGTGTGTGTGCGTGCATGCGTGATTGTTTGTCCTGTGTGTCTCTGTGTTGCCCTGTGATGGACTGGCTCTCTGTCCAGGGTGTACCCCGACTAATAGCCCGTTGACCGCTGGAGATAGCCCCCCCCCCCCCCCCGCAACCCTGCATGAACAAGCGGGTTCAGAAAATGGATGGAAGGATTGTTTTTTCCCAGAGGTGCCAAGCTGCAGCCAAATACAAGCAAATGTTTTAATGAACAACAAGAAAATGTTATAGTTTTATCTTTTATTGTTAGCATGTGTTTGGTGAAGCAAATGTGAGTAAAAGCATTATTTTGTTGTGTTTTCACAGATTATGATGCCGTTTTCCCCACTAAGTTCTCCTAAAAGTAGATTTTCCTGCCTTTGATGTGTTTGATATTTTATTTTTATTTTTGTTGTTTTCTGGTGCAAAAAAAAAAAGGTAAAAAAAAAAACATATTCCCAATATTGTGTTGCTTTACCTTTTCATGTGTTTTTCTGACAGCAGATTTTTGCTTTTTTGTCTTTATTGACCCTTTGCACGTGACGTCACGCCACTCATGGGACCGCCGCCTTCGCCATGATGGACGGCAAAAAGACCGTTTACACCCGTCGAAACTCAAGTGAAGTTAGTCAAAACAAGCCAGTTTGTAGCCTTTTATTGCTTTTCTTTAGTTGACTTGACAGTAAAATGGTTTTAGCTTGCTGCGTGGTCGGCTGCACTAACAGACAAGGATGTAAACTCAACTCGTTTTGTTTTTTTTAATAACTTTGATGGAGACTGAGGATGGAGATGAACTGCAGCGACCAATCAAGCGGACTAGCAGCCCTCAGATTTGCAGCGAACATGTTTTTACCAGGTAAGATCACAACAACGTGGGCTATAATTGGAAAACTTTTTGGGGAAAACCTGGTCTGATGCGGAGAGATGGCATCCATCCCCCTTTGGATGGAGCAGCTCTTCTTTCTAGGAACATGGCCAGTTTTATTAGTCCTCCATGACAACCCAGGGTCCAGACCAGGAAGCAGAGTCGTAGTTTAACCCACCCCTCTGCAGCTTCTGTACTGTTACCCACCCACTACCCCATAGAGACAGTGTCCTGCCCACGGCCAAAATCACACAGATTCAATATCAGGCTTAATAAAGCAAATCATGGAAATCTCATAAATATTAGAACAAATTCAACTGAGCTGAAAACTAGAAAAATTAAATGTGAGTTATTCAACATTAGGTCTATTTTTTCTAAGACTTTGTTAGTTAATGACTTAATTTGTGATAAGCAGATTTCTTTGCTCTCTCTCACAGAATCCTGGCTGCAGCAAGAGGACTATGTTAGCTTAAATGAGTCGACTCCTTCAAATTATTTAAATCATCACATTGCTCGAAGTACAGGGCGAGGAGGAGGAGTAGCAACCATTTTTCATTCAGACTTATTAATCAGTCCCTTACCAATTAATAGCTACAGTTCGTTCGAACATCTTATTCTTAGTTTTCCTAATCCAGATTGCAAAACTGTAAAACCACTCTTGTTTGTAGTTTTATATCGTCCACCAGGCCCTTACTCTGAGTTTTTGGATCAGATCTCTGATTTTTTATCTGATTTGGTGCTAAATACTGATAAGGTCATTGTAGTGGGGGATTTTAACTAGGGATGCACCGATAGCGATACTGGTATCGGAGCCGATACCAATATCAGTATCGGTAAAAGTTAACCGATACCAGGAACCGATACCAATGCAGTTGCTTGAAAATGGCTTCACTGTAACTTGTCATTTCTGTTCACCTAATATTTTAGTTTTGTGATGATTTCCATTCATATATTTTACTTTTTATCTACCTCGCAGTCTTTTCCTGTTGAAAGCAGAAAATAAAATAAAATCTGTATTCCAAATCATTGCATTTTTTTTGTGTGGTGGAAGTATCGGTATCGGTAATCGGCATCGGCAAGTACGCAGATCCAAGTATCGGTATCGTATTGGTTTGGAAAAAAGAGGTATCGGTGCATCCCTAATTTTAACATTCATGTGGACATTGAAAATGATAGCCTCAATGTAGCCTTTAGTAATATCTTAGACTCAATTGGTTTTACTCAAAGAATACATAGCTCCACCCACTCCTGCCATCATACATTAGACCTTGACTTATGGCATAGAGTCTGAGGAAATAACGATCTTTCCACATAATCCAGTCCTCTCGGACAACTTTCTGATAACCTTTGAGTTTTTTATAACTGAGTTCTCGAGACATGAAAGTAAATTTCACTATAGTCGGTCTCTATCTGACAACGCAGTTGCATCTTTTAAATCAACTGTTCCATCTTTACTGTCCTCAGCATCTCAGAGGCATGTAGCAGAGGGCAATATTTTCAGTTCTAGCCCCTCACAAATTGATGCCTTAGTTCATCATGTTACTTCCTCTTTACGTGTGGCATTAGATGATGTTGCCCCTTTAAAAAAGAAGGTAATTAGGGACAGGAAGTTGGCTCCCTGGTTTAATTCTCATTTACGAGCCTTAAAACAAAACTCTAGAAAATTGGAGAGAACATGGCGCTCTACGCACCATGAGGAGGCCTACCTATCCTGGAAAAATAGTCTTGTGCTTTATAAAAATAAGCTTCGACAAACTAGAACTCCTTATTTCTCAGCGTTAATTGAGGAGAATAAGAATAATCCTAAATTTCTCTTCAGTACAGTTGCTAAACTTACACAGAATCATAGCTCTGAGCCATCTATTCCCTTAGCCCTCAGCAGCAATGACTTCATGGGATTTTTTACAAGTAAAATTAATTCTATTAGAAACAAAATCTTTAGCATCCTCCCTAATGCGATTTCTTCTTCCTCAGTAAGTGAGGTAGCATCAGAGGTGACTGTAGAACCTCATCTGTGCTTGAACCGTTTTGATCCAGTTGAGCTTTCAGAGTTATCAAAAATATTAGCTTAATCTAAACCTTCAACTTGCATTTTGGATCCAATCCCAACCAAATTATTTAAAGAAGCATTTCCTTCGGTTACTGCCCCCATTCTAGATATAATCAATCTATCCTTAGTAAATGGGTATGTACCACAAGATTTTAAGGTTGCTGTAATCAAACCTTCACTTAAGAAGCCGTCTCTGGATCCAGATGACCCAATGAATTATAGACCAATATCTAACCTTCCATTTTTATCCAAAGTCCTGGAGAAAATAGTGGCCATCCAAGTATGTGAGCATTTAAACACTAATGATCTGTTTGAGGAATTTCAGTCTGGTTTTAGAGAGTATCACAGCACTGAAACTGTGTTAGTGAGAGTTACAAATGATATTCTCATGGCCTCAGATAAGAATCTTGTGTCTGTTCTAGTCTTGTTAGATCTCAGTGCTGCCTTTGGCACAGTTGATCACAATGTTCTTTTAGAAAGACTTGAACATGTTGTAGGGATCAAAGAAACAGCGTTAGGCTGGTTTAAACTCTACCTGTCTGATAGATTTCATTTTGTAAATGTACATGACAAATCTTCTTCATACTCCAGGGTTACTTGTGGAGTACCACAGGGTTCAGTGCTTGGAACAATTCTTTTTACTATATATATGCTCCCAAATGGTAAAATCATGACAGCATGGGATAAACTTCCACTGTTATGCTGACGATACTCAGTTATATTTATCCATTAACCCTGATTAACCTAATCGGTTAGGTAGATTACAGGCTTGTCTTGAGGACATAAAAAATTGGATGACTCTAAACTTTTTGCTTTTAAATCAAGACAAGACGGAAGTTCTCATCTTTGAGCTATCCAGAAAAGGAAATTGCTTAGCCAATCACCTGACCTGAATGGCATTACATTAATCTCAGAGAACAAAGTAAGGAACCTTGGTGTTATCTTTGACCAGGACATATCATTCAAATCCCAAGTTAAACAGGTTTGTAGGATTTTCTTTTTCCACCTTCGGAATATTGCTAAGATTAGAAGCATCCTTTCCAGGAGTGATGCTGAAAAACGAGTTCATACATTTATTACATCAAGACTGGATTACTGTAATTCATTACTCTCAGGAAGTCCACAGAATGTAGTTAAAAGTCTTCAGCTTGTCCAAAATGCTGCAGCTAGAGTTCTGATGAGAATTAAAAAGAGAGATCATATCTCTCCTGTCTTAGCTTCCCTACATTGGCTACCTGTTAAATTCAGAATAGATTTTAAGATCCTTCTTCTCACATATAAAGCTCTTAATAATCAGGCTCCATCATACATCAGTGATCTGATTGTTCCATACGTTCCTAACCGAGCACTTTGCTCTCAGACTGCAGGTTTACTGGTGGTTCCCAGAATATCTAAAATTAGGATGGGAGGCAGATCTTTTAGTTATCAGGCTCCTCTCCTGTGGAACCAGCTCCCAGCCTTAGTCCGTGAGGCAGACGCCTTGTCTACTTTTAAGACTAGGCTTAAAACATTTTTATTTGATGGTCAGATGGTTAAAATTTGATGTTAGCCTAGATCTGGACAAGTGGGGGAGTAGAGGGAGGTGGAGTGTACAGTCGGTAAAGACGGCTCTCCCTTGCCCTGCCTCCAACGTGCCTCCATCTAAAAAGGCTAGGTTATCCAGAGTTATCTCTGTAATTATGCTGCTATAGGCTTAGACTGCTGGAGGATACACTGACCACTTTTCACACTCTACTACTTTCTTCTACAATCTGCTCTTTAACTGTATTATTTTCTGCAATTTCAGCTGTTAACTTTATTTTCTCTCTAAGTGTTTTTCTCCCCAGAAGAAGCTAAAATGACGTTCTGCTGAGCTGTGGTAGCCTCATGGAGGGGGCTATCGTCTAGCACACTGCTGCTAACCACTTAAACAATCTCCCTCTCCTGATAATAACTTTTTGCTTTTCTTGACGTTGGATGTGCTACTGCTAGTTTACCCGTTTAATTAGAGATCCACTAGGATAAATACAATAAAGTTTATCTCTCGCCAAATAGAATATTTACTAAGAAATCACAATGTAACCATAGGCACATTGCTTGGTGTATGTGTGTGTGTGTGTACCATGTTCAGAATATGTGTGTGTGAGTGTGTGTGTGTGTGTCTGTACCATATTCAGAATGTGTGTGTGTGTGTGTGTGTGTGTGTGTGTGTGTGTGTGTGTGTGTGTGTGTGTGTGTGTGTGTGTGTGTGTACCATGTTCAGAATGTGTGTGTGTGTGTGTGTCTGTACCATGTTCAGAATATGTGTGAGTGTGTGTGTGTGTGTGTGTGTGTGTGTGTGTGTGTGTGTGTGTGTGAGTGTGTGTGTGTGTACCATGTTCAGAATGTGTGTGTGTGTGTGTGTGTGTGTGTCTGTACCATGTTCAGAATATGTGTGTGTGTGTGTGTGTGAGTGTGTGTGTGTGTGTACCATGTTCAGAATGTGTGTGTGTGTGTGTCTGTACCATGTTCAGAATATGTGTGTGTGTGTGTGTGTGTGTGTGTGTGTGTGTGTGTGTGTGTGTGTGTGTGTGTGTGTGTGTGTGTGTGTGTATACCATGGCCAGAAGGGTCAAACTCCTCAGACAGAAGGTGATAACAGCAGCCAATGCCGCAGACTGCAGCCAGCTCTGGTTTATCCACAAACATCTTCAGTGTGCTGGGAGCCAGGTCTCCACACGTGTGCAGGCCGACCACGACAGCATCCTAGATTCCAGAGAAATCCCGCAGAGGAGGGAGAGAAAAGAGGATGAAGTATAGGGTAAGGGTGACGATGGATGGAGGGGTTTATTGATGATGACGTGCTGCAGATGTAGCACTGCAGACACACCCTACGTTTGCTTCAGACATGCTAACTCCTGCAGATGTTACAGTAATTCTAGAAGCTGCTATGGGAACTGAGCTCTGCTCTGCTCTGCTCTTCCTCCACCTGACACACAGTAAATTCATTCCCAACAACCACTTTTTGTTTTTTTCGTTTCTCCTCACCTTCAGCTCAGAGATGAGCTCTCGCAGCTCCGTTTGTGCCGTGACAAATGATGTGAGAGGTGAAAACACACCGCTGGTGCCATCTTTTCTGCTTTGAGCTTTCCTCTCCAGGTTCTCCCTCTTCCTCCTCTCCTTCTCTTCAGAGCTGAGCTGACTCGGGGGAACTCTGGGGGGTGACGAGTCCATCACATCTGCTGACAGGACGCTAAAGAAAGGCTCTCCTGTTTCTGATATTAGCTCAGACTGCGTTTCCACAGCAGGGTTGATGTGCAAAGAGCTGATTGACACCTTCTCCTCCTCCTGTGACCCACTTCCTGCCAAACGATCACATAAAGCATCTTTGTCCTCATTCGGCTCAGGTTTTATTTTTACTTTCTCCTCTTGACGTGAGTGTGCAGCCTCTGTTCGGCTCCTTGTTGCTTTTGTATGCTTCTGGTATGCTCGGGAGAACTTCTTCAGCTTCCTGTTCCTCTCCTGAGCACCGTGGGTGTTGGTGCTGGATGAGTCAATGCCAAACACTTGAAGGCCATACTGCAGGGACAAGAAAGAGCTCAAGTAGCCCTTCCCTGATCCTACATCGATCACCTGGAAGTTAAAATATGTTGGTTGGCATGGAAAATAAGTCGTAAATCAAATAATCTCAGAAAAAAAAAGTATCTTCTTTGCAAGAATGCCACATATTAACTCTACCTGCTTGACTCCACAATGCTGGGCCAAACAGGCCACTACCTCAGACATGCACTGGACTTCATGGGATTTCTTAGAGTTCATGAACTCATCTGCTTCCAGCTCTGCTCCTGCATCACAAAAACAAAAGTTCACCCCTACAATAGAATAGATCACTGGTTTTCTGTTTCACAAAGCAACGCTGACAACCTCCCATACCAGTCTCTGCAGACTGTGATGTGTTGCCTCTCAGATCCTTCAGTAGCTCATCCCTGCTCATACACACCCCTAGACCAGAGAGAGAATGGGTCTTTGCTGCCAGCAACAGTTTGTGGATATCAACCAGCTGCTTAGAATCGATACAAAACCCAAACATGATCCTTGAATTTTCTGTATTAGAAGACAGGAAAATTATGTTAATTTACTTTTTTCAGACAATCTAAATGATTTTAGCTTGGCTTCATCTTTAAAACTAAAGGTTAATTGTTGTCTGTTTTAACACTTTCATGTGATTTAAATTTGAATGACAAAGGACAATAAAGACTTAAAATAAAAGTAAGCTAATAAAATCAGTTATGGTAAAGATGAAGGTGTTTGTCAGAAAAAAATATTTTTGATCATAAAATAGGAAACTGAAACTCTAAAAAACAATAAGCTCAAACAAAATTTAAATGAACAGTTATTTCGTATTTGTCAGAGATAAAAGGGGGCAGAATTGAATTTCTTGTTTTGTCATAAAGACAAAAACGCCATGATTATTTCAGGTGACAGGGTGAAGAAAATCAACAGCTCCTTCATTTGAAAACTATAGAAAAAAAACTTTAATGAAGCAACATAATTGCTTTTATTCGTTAACGTAAATAGTCAAAGATCAAAGTCATTCCATTTAAAAAGGTATTAAAATTCTGTTTGAGTTTACCCGTTTCATTCAACTTTGGCTCCATCTGCTGGTCAAGATCAGAAATGACAGCTGACAGGACCTCCTCCGGAGACACCGCCATGAACCGTTTCCACACGTCGTGAGTGTAAAACTCCACAGTGTGCGCATTAGCGATGCCAAGCGTTACAGATAGAAACCGATTGACTTCATCTATCCGCTGCTGAATTTCTGCAAGGCTGTAAGTAGAGGAATTCATTTTAAAAGCCCCTATAAAGAGGACCACAGAGGTATGTGTACCGCTTCCTACTGATGATGTAAACCAAGACATTAGGAATCGAAAATACTACTCGATTTTTTTTCTTTATTGCTTTTTTCCTCATTCTATTTAGATTTTTATTTATAAATACTGTCGTTTAAGTCTTTAATAGTGTTTGTTGAGCGGCCAAAAACGTGATAAGACATGTTTTTCATTGAAAGAACCGTATCTTCGGTAATTGATTCGTCAAGCCTGTTAACTACGTCATTAAGCAGCGTCTAAAGAGGAACAGCATGCTTGAACATTACAAGAGTTTTTCTTGACAAAATTATGTTGAAATGGCTCCGACACGCCAAAAAGTTAAGAATACAAAAGTTTCAGGGAAAGATGTACATTTTAATAAAGCAAAACTGCCGACAGCGGCAGTTAAAAAGAAGAGAAAATGGATCCCCGAGCACAAATTCAAAGGCAGCGTGAAGGAAGGTAGGTTCTCCGAAAAGACAGACAAAAGTAACATCTGTTGGAGTAAATCGTTAGTGTTTGTCAAATGTGGTAAATTCTCAGTGAACGTTGTCGGTCTGAAACTAAACCTTAACCTTTTCTCCACAGGACGAGGATTTGCGTTCGATAAAAAACAGAAAGTCAGACATGAATACAACAAGCTGCTACGAAAAGAGAGAAAAAAGCAGACCACTGAGTCCAAAGTTCTGTATAAAGAAGAGTATCCAGAACATCTGAAACATCTGTATCTGGCAGAGGAAGAAAAACTGAGGAATGAAGCCTGGACCAACAGGATGAACAGGAGCAAGCTGAGAATAAAGGGACAACTCAAGGATAAACAAAGTGCTGCTGTTGATGATGATGATGATGATGAGGAGGAGGAGGAATTCATTGGAGGATCAGAACAGATGGATTCAGTTTCTGAGAACCCCAAACCAATGATGGCCTCAGAGAAGGAGAGGTGACCGATTAGCAGAAATATATCCTTATGTTGAGTTATGTGTGCAGTTTCCAAAACCTATATGTAGTTTTATCTGTTATCCTTTTGTTAACCCACAAATACAGAAATTCACATTTCATGTCCTGTTTTGCGCTAATTCTTTAGATGTTCTTTTAGTCATTTTCTTTTTGTGGTCTCCCCATAATGGATTCTACCATTACAGATGATTTTATAGGCATAATGCTTCTATTGAAATATAAAAATAAATTTTTCTAAAGTCAGTGTTTTTTTCTTACAGTTTGATTGGATCTGTTTCCACTCTTCAGATCGGTTTGATGTTTGATTAGTTTGAAAACAATTACATTCTTTTATTCTTGCAAATTTAAACGATAATTTTTGAAACTTTATTTATTTTTTTGCTGGCAACCTTTGATTTTCTTTTTACCAGTGTAGAGTAAATGTTGAATGTTATCCTATCATATCAGTCATTTTTTCAGGTCAACCCTTTTTTGATGCTTTTCATAAATTAAATAAGAAACTGTTTTTATTTGTTTTTGTTTGCAGTCTTCCAATAAGCAACCGCATGAAGAAGAAAATGGAGAAAAAGACATCCTACCAGCGGACAAAGGAGGAATTTGAGAGAGTCAGAGAGAACCAGAGGAAAAAGAAAGAGGTGAAATGTTGCCTCTTTCTTCTCAGCTATCAAATTGTAATAATGGCTTTGTTCTTTGTGTTGAACTCGTTATTTATTTGCATTTTGATTCCAGGAGTACCTGAAGAACAAACAGCAGAGAGAAGAAGCCCTGCAGAGATACAAGCAGAAAAAATCAGAGACGTTTCAAATGCTGAGCAAAAAGACTAAGAAAGGACAGCCAAATCTGAACCTGCAGATGGAGTATTTACTCCAGAAGATCCAAGGAGCGAATAAATGAACTCATCAGGAAAAGGGAGTGGAATTTATCTGCCATTTAAACCTGCTTCCTGATTTATCACAGCTTGCAAATATTCTGTGAGGTGATTTTATAGTGTTTTGTTCCAGATAAGAGCCAAGCCAGGGCTACTTATAATCATAAACCACAAGATGGCATCGTTAGATGTGGACATGTTTTGTGATGAAATGCATTGCTTCCTCCTGTGCAGTTATTTCATTTAAATGTCATGACATGTTTATTAAACTGGCTCAAAATAACTATGGCCTTACTAATAATACATCACCACTATTTTAGTATTATCTTTGGATCAATTTAGATTGTTTATCTGTTGCACAATGCTCAAGTCCATAGGTGTCGGTTCTGCTGTTGTCATACAGAATGTAGTGTTAGCTTGCATAGAGAGAATTTTCTGCAGCCTCCCCCCCCCCCCCCTCCATCAGTGAGCTACTGTGCACCCGAACTGAAAAGCCTCAGGCGACTTCCTCATGACATCACATGGTTGCAGAATGACTTGTTGAGCGTTCATCTGTGAGGCAGGACTTCCTAAGTACAGAAAACGGTCAGCACTGTTGAAACTTGATTTCGAAGGAAGGCTCTGGGTTATTTTGCTCGTAAGGAGGTGAGACGTTGACATTTTGTTTCTGATTTGTTCTAGTTTGCTGAAAGGTTTCACATGTTAAAACGTATTTTCCTTATTATGTAACATATTGAGTGTAAATATGGAGTTTATTGTCCTGAAAGTTTGATATTATGAAAGAAAAACAAATTTTTTGACATTTAAAGACGATTAATCTCACCTATAATCTGCAAGTTTCAGATTTTCACAAACAAAACAAGAAGCATTCACACATTTAACAGCTCATACATCAGGTTCTTTTCCATCAGAGATGTGTTAAAAATGGCTTTTAGCGAGCAGAGGTAATACATCTGCTTCTCAGGATCTGGCACTGCAGTCATTACGCTGTCATGTGTTCCTTACAGCAAGGCATTAAGATAATCCTTCAGTGCTTTTGCACCACTTGTTCCTGCTCAGTTGGAAAGGGGAAGTGGTTTAAAGTTGTAATAAGTCTGCTACTGTGGAGCCCTTTTCAGATAGACATTCTGGAACATTTGTTTAGTTGTTGTTTATTTTGTTTCTTTTGACAGAGAAACCTCCATTATCAGCAAAAGCCACGGATCTCCTCGGCTGCTGCTTCTCATCGCCGCCATGCTGACTCCAAAGGCCCCCAAGGGTTGAACGGAGCACTTAAAGTGCTCTCTCCTAAATACACCAGTGTCCCTTTTTGAAGAGCATGGAGGAAGACGAGTGCAAGGTGAATGGATTGAGACCAAGCCCGGAGAGGAGAGGCTCAGACTGGGATCACACCGCCCTTCTGGACAAGACCAAGGAGTTCTTTCAGACCTGCGATGTGGAGGGGAAAGGCTTCATCCACCGCACTGATATGAGGGTTAGAGATGATGGCGTTACGTCCCAGCAGAGGAATATGTTTTTGTTAGACAGCCTCATCCTTTTGTGTTTAGCTTCTCTGATTCCCGGACAACCTGTGAAAGCGTTAAGAGTTTGTGAAGCAGAACAACAGGTCATGCCTGTGTGACCTGCATGCTTTTACTTGTGTCCTCCCGTTAGACGTTAATAACAGTGAATAACAAGCAGGAAACACTTAGTGTCACCGCTCTGGCTTTGTGCTGGAGTTTCCTATTTCTCATTTTATCATATTAAAAAAAGCACCGTGCCCTCTCAGTGCCCCCGAACAGGCTGACGAGCGCTGCTGATGACAACGTGCACCGGTATAAGTCTGCTTACCTGCACACGTTATTCTGCAGGCAGGAACGATAAACAGAAGCCGCTTTAAAGCGTTGTGCTGCATCGACAGTTAATTGGGCCTGAGTTCAGGAGCCTCGTGCCGTCATTATTGTTGCATGTAAGCTTTCTGTGAAAATCGCTGTTGGGTGACACATGAAGCAGGCCATGGACGTAATTTTGGGGGGGACAGGGAGGACATGCCCCCCCCCACTTTTTCCAAAGTCAAGTTTTGACCCCTGCACTTTTTACCATCCAAACACAATATTACGCTATAGTAAATTGAAACTGGTTGAGCTCTAGGACCAAGCAGAAAACAACCGTTTGTGTTGAAGCTTGTTTCCCATTAGAACATACTGTAAAGATACCCCCCCCCCCCCGTGTCCCCCCCCACTTCTAAAGTGAAAATTATGTCCATGAAGCAGGCACTGATGATAGCAAGCTATTTTTGAGTTTGAAGAATAGAAAAGAGAGTTGTTTAAAAAATAAACTGCTTCTAATCACCCAGCGATCACATTACTGTATTTCATTTAGCCGGTTTGTTGTCCTCCCGACAGCGACTCCACAGAGAGCTGCCTCTTTCTGCTGAAGAGCTGGAGGACGTCTTCGACTCCCTGGACACAGACCACACAGGTCACCTCACGCTGGCGGCGTTTTCCTCTAGATTCAGTAGGTTTCCTGCCTTCAGCGGCCATTAACGCCTTACAGTTTAATCCAAAGCAAAGCAGATGAAACAACTGCATCAAATGGAGACAGAGCTGTGAAATTTATTTTTGATTGACATTTTTTTATGGAGGGAAAAATGCAGAACAATCCATTAGTTTTCCATTTGAAGCATGAAATTACTTATAACCTGAATACGCAACTTTAGCACAATAGAAAGCAGGCTCGCTGCAAGAGATATATACAGTGTGTGTGTGTGTATGTGTGTGAGAGAGAGATAATGAAACAACTTTAGATAAATTGAGAACAAGCTAAAACATGAAATTAAGTAAAATGCCTTAAAAGAACCAAATGATCAACCAGTAAAAGCTTTAGTAAAAAGGTATATCTTCAGTTTAGATTTTAAAACTTCCACAGAGCATGCTTGTTGTCTGACATCCTGTGGCAGATCATAATTCCAGGGCGATGGAGCACAAAAAGCTAACGCACACCCACCCAGAGTCATCTGCTTTATTTTCGGCATGTAGTTCAAAAACAAGACCTTAAAGAGCAAGTCACCCACGACCAGATTCTTACTCAACTCCCACTTCCTGTTTGAAAAATGCAACAAATGCTGTTGCCTAGCAGACCTAGAGGGTGGAGCCACTAACAAATACACACACAACATTGTGACATCATAATGTACCATCTCACATCATTGTGTACCGTTTAGCCAATAGCGATGGCAGATTTCAATTCAAATGCAGTGCTGAGTTTTTGCCAGACAACGGTGCACCGCTGACAGTTTTAGGCAAAATATTTAAATTTTAACTAAGATGCACTAAAATGCCAAATTATTGACTGCATTTGTCTACAGCACAATCAGACACTCATTTATATAGTTTATCAGCAAAAAAAAAATGTTGATTTGGAGTGACTTGCTCTTTAAAATCCGCTCCAGCAGGACACAGCAACCGGATTTCAGGACAGGCGTGGTGTGGTCATGTTCTTTTTCTGAAACTGGCAGTGGTGGATGAGACAGACAAGCTGTGAAACGTCAGGTTACGCCGAAAAATAAACCCTGAACACGAACAATCATTTCTTTCTTTTTCTTTAAAAGAAAGTTCTCAAAAAATCCTGATGAATCAAACATTTCCAATCCCTAAAATAATTTGGGAAGATTTCAATTTCATTGTTGGACAGCGTTCTTGCTAATGAAGACCTTTTTTAAATCATTCACTACATCAGTGGTTACTATAGTGATTAGGTTGCATCTGCGCTTTTTCTTTTGCAAGAACGGGGCTGTGAGGCAGAGCTGGAGCACAGCAGAGAGGGACGGGGACAGAGTAACTATTTTAACATTAAATATAGTAGCAGATTGTTTCGGGAAGTGTGTTTTTTTTATTGAAAACTGATGTCCAGCTTGGAAAAAAAATCACCTGTTTTGATACACTTTAGGTCAGTTCCTGCACGGTCGCAGAATCTCAGTAACTGATGAGCCAAATCAGGGCCTTGTGCCGGTTTCTAAGGCAAAGGAAGCGCTTTACCAGAGCCAGTGGGAAGCCAGACTGTCAGGAATGGAAGATGAGGAGGAGGAGGGACACTTCACCATGCTGCTGGAAAGTCTGGGAGCCAGTAACGTGTTTGAGGAGTGAGCATATTCTCTGTGTTCACATCTTTTTGTGTCGTTTGAGTCTCTTCATTCCCAGATTAATTTAACAAATCTGCCAATTTATATCCTTCTTTTCCCTCTTCTCCAGTCCAGACGAGGTGCGCAGCCTTTGGGTCAAACTCAGGCGGGATGAGCCTCACCTCCTCTCCAACTTTGAAGAGTTTTTGGCCAGGGTTACTCACCAAATTAAAGAGGCCCATCAGGAAAGGACGGAGATGGAGAGTGCCTTGCAGAGGTAACACCACTGAACATTAACACAAACAACACACAAACCCTAACTTCTGCTAGGTGGATGGATGACAAGGAAATGACTGTTTGCAAGTTGGAGATTAAACACAAAAACAGGAATTAAGAGACTTGGCACTAGTGTTTTCACAATGAAAAGTTCAAATTAGTTGTTTTTTTAAACTCTGAAGCTCTGACTTGGAGATTAACAGTACGTTTGTTTGTGTGTATGATTATATTATGGAACCAGGCTGGGATGTTTGCATGGAATTAACAGGAATTCTCTGAAGAACAAATTCCACATTCCTGTTGAATTACCATTAATCTGGACTCACAATGACTAATAGCTGTTTTTACTGCTGTAAGTAAACAAAAAAGCTACTATTGAAGGGAGTTATTTATACTTTTGTGAAATTGGGTAAAGTTGCAAACAGAACAAGCATCAACAGGGAATAGGAATGCCTTGGGACTACATAGATTTATGCTGCTTTATTAGCTGGTTAAGTTCTTTTCAGACGGGATGGGAATTCCAGTGTACAGCTCTGGTATGAACAAGGAGTCCTACTGCTGTTTGCATGTTGGTCCAAGTGTTTTTAATCCCCCTAAAGCACTTAAAAGGACAATGTTATCATCTTGAAACGATTTGATTTGAAAAAAGTTTGTTTCGTGCTTCACAGAGTCACTAATAATTGTTATTTTTCTGACATTCCAGAAAGGCTGCTACTCACAACAGCGAGATTCGTCATTTATACGAAGAGATGGAGGCACAGATCAAGACTGAGAAAGACAGGCTTCTGCTGCAGGTATGGATGCTCGGCTCAGCCACCGAGGAATCAGCTTCCTTCTCAGGTGCAGTTTGACTTAACCCCAGCTGTTTCTTCCGGCTCTCGGAGGGTGCAGATGCTTTTCTTCTCCTCTCCTCCATGTCTTATCCTCAAGGCCTTTGTCTGTCTGTGTGTGTTGGGTGCACGGCTGCTTCTGCATTTTTTCTGGAAACTGGAAACTGAAATTCACTAAAATGGATCTCGTCAGTTGGTCACTCAACGTGGATGATAAAATTTTTTCAATGATAAGAACGGGAGAAGGGGCTCCCGGATGCCCCTCTGGGACAGACCAGCTGTCTGTGGAGGACTCTGAAGATGTGTGGATATTTGTGGTGTTAGTGTCGGGTTTCCTGCTCATTGGCCTTGGAGGCTACCTGGCTTACTGGAAAATTAATGAGCTGTCGAGGAATATTGGCCTTATCCCGGAGCTCAGAGATGGATTGCACCGCGCTGTGAATTCACAGACTCACATAATTGTCGAGATGAACCGTAAGCTTGGAACTTTGGCGGAGATTCATTCTTTGGCACAAAGATGGATGCCATCAAGGAGAGAGTGGACGAATCAGCACGGATTGGGATAGTTTAATGTCCATTATTGGGATCTTGAGAGGTTGAGGACCAACAAACTGTAAGACAGAGAGGAAATGATCTCTGTCTGGCCCCAAAACAATTTCTAATCGGAATCTGGCGTCCTTGAGCCTGCAAGGCTCCAACGAAAACTCCCCCCTCAGAAGATATGTGGAATGTGCCGTCGCTATGGCAACTCAACTCTGTCTCCTTTCCCAGCCTGGGCGGGACTGCGGGAAGGCCGCTGAAATGTTCCAGGGTCACTGCAACCCTCAATGCTCCTCCCCCTATCCACACTGGGGTGACATGCGCTGCTTATCGTGGCTGCAGGAACTGAAGTGGGGATAGTCCCAACCCACCACCCCACCTAGTGGACACTTATGCAACAGACTTCAGACAACACAACATATCTGTCTGAGGTGTTTTTTTTTTTTGCAGAGCAAAGCTGCTCTCCCTCTGAAGTGCCATTTTTCCCTCCACCTGAACCAACTCTCATGTAACCCTATTATCTCTATTAAGGTAGCGCGACTCAGGGTTGCGGATGACCACAGTCACCAATTCTTGTCATGTGTCTTGCCCATGTATGTCTGATCTCTGAATTGTGTGTACTGAAACTCTAATTTCCCTCTGGGATTAATAAAGTATCTTTGAATTTGATTGATTTGAAAAGGTTCAAGAATCCCTGATTTTGACTTTTTGTGAGATGTTAAAAAACCAACATTTTACCAACTTTAAGACGGTTTTTAATTAGATGAGAGATCCAATCTAATGCAGTCCTCCCACACTCTCCCTGGTTTAGCATGGAGACCGGATTTCTGTGGGGGTGTCTTGTGATATCTGCCAGGATTCTTTAGGATGTGGGTTGAGTTTATAGGGTGAAATTAAGTTAACTATTTGCCTTTTTTTTTGTTGCAACCTACCTTTTGAAATGTTTTTCTTTAGTGTGTGCGTCTGACGGAGCCTCTACCCTTAGTTGTGTGCCTCTCTGTGAACTTTTATCCTTTCTGTTCTGAGCCTTTAGGACTCCGAGCGCATTCAGCTGCACAGTCAGGACCTGGAGCACCAACTTCTGTCAAAGGAGAGGGAGCTGGATCACCTTTTCCAGAAACAGAAACGGGTTTGTTTATATTTGTCAAAAATATCCATATTTGATAGATTTTAGATTTAAAAATGTAAATTCATGCCCGTTTTGTAGGACTTTAAATTTTTTTAACGAAGGTGTTTTTAGTCACAAGTAGCCTACACGACTGAAAAGCTTTATTTTCTGTCCAGCTCAGCTCTGTAAAACTTGTTTTCTAAAAATGCATTCATGCCAAGTTTGGCTCTAAATATAGCAAAGCAAAGCTAGCTGGAATCACCATCTCACAGCCAATCATTAGCTCCATTAAAGCCGCCTCTGCTAACGTAAAAACATCCCAACCTCGAGGAAAGTTCGCCAAATGTTGAATTAAGAAGCTGGAGACCCAGTGGGTTGCATTTATTTTAATTGGGTTGTCATCACCACTGCAATTACTGGTAACAAGTCACAGAGGTGTTGGTGTGATTAGTTTGGATTGTACTGAGCAGATTTATTAGAAATGCAATTAAAAGTTTTCTGAAATGCTAATTTCTGTCTCACTGCTACGGACAGAAAACACTGTTTTTGCAGATCCAAAAATAGGTTTATGAACCTGTAAACTTCACAACACAGCAGATCCATATCACCGATACTGTTACTTATTAAAACTCCATTTGTGGCAGTTAGAGCTCCAGTGCCATGAGCTGAACAACGAGAAGCAGGAGAGCCACGTGGAGAACGTCAAGCTGAAAATGACCAATGACGAGCTGTCCAGAGCGCTGGAGAACACCAGCCAGGAGCTGACGCTGGCCCAGGAGCAGCTGGCCATGCTGCAGGAGCAGGCTGCCCAGCTGCAGTGGGAGAAGGAGATGTAGGTGGAAACTCTGCAAACTCATGGGCCTAAAAATAACTTGTTTGAGTCAGATGGTTTGCTTCTGTAATATGGGATCCTGAAAAATAGGAATAAAGCAACAAATTTGTGATAGTAATAAGCTCTTAAAAATATCTAAATGAAATAAATCCATTAAAGCGCTTCTCTATGCGTACGATGCAAGTACCAGGCTGATGTGGTCTTTGTCACGTTTAAGGGAAATGTACAGAGTCACTGAAGGGCTGCAGCGGGAAAAGCAGAGTCTTATGAAGCAGCTTGATCTCCTCAGGTGAGACGAAAGCACCACATGAAAAATATCCAAATCTGGTTTTGATTTAATTTGTCATGTTGGGCTGAAGTTTTCTAACCCACATGAAAGAATCACGAGGAGAGAGGTGAGTAAAATATGTTTTTATTATAAAGAATTAATGAAAACGAAAAGCGCTGATCCAAACTGGGCCAGGGGGGCGTTCTGATTCTAAAACAGAAGATAGCAAAAAATGAAAACTGAGAACCAAGAAAACACTGGAGTAATGGTGGAGTCTTACTGTATGAAGTGTGGGTCTGAGCTGGAGAGGGAGGCAAGTCAGGTCTGAGCTGGAGATGGTCTGGTGGAGAGGAGTAGCAGGCAAAGGAGTAATCCAGGACAGGTGAGAGGTGGAGAGCGGGAGACCAGAGGAGTTGAGCGGCGTTGGGAAATATATCCACTTCAGACTGCAGGAAGCTGAGGGTAAGAATCCAGGGCTGGTACTGGAGCAGACAAGGAGAGCAAAACTGAGCACACGGGAGAAAAACACAAGACTAGAGTCAAAGAGGAACGAGGAGAGCTAGAGTACCCAACAATAGAGTATCAACCGGCACAGAAGTGTGGCAACACCGCTCCTTATATCCTCTGGCCTGGCTGACTGATAATCAGCTGCAGCTGCGGCTCTCCAACCTGCTCACCTGCAAACACTCAGGAGCACAGCCACAGAGAAAAAGCAGAACCATGACAATTTTAATACTTTTCTTCTACTCATAACCTTGTAGATCTCTTTAACGTGACCAAGAAGCAACTAACAAAAGATGTTTTTCTCTCTTGTTTGTTCCAGAGAAATGAACAAACATTTAAAAGATGAGTGCGACGTTTGCTGTGGTGTAGTGAGTAAAATCTGCTTTATTTATCTACTGAAATGGCGTTTTCAACACCAAAAGATTGAAAATAACGTTTTATAACATGTTGTTTTTGTTCTAAAAAGCCGAGAAATTCACTCAGAAAGAAGCAGAAACAGAGAGCGGACCTCGACGACTTGTTTGACGGCTCCAGCAAACCAGCAAAAAGGTAATTCCTGGATCATCTCACTCCCCTTTTAACTAAAGTCACCCATCAGATTCAGATTTTTCTGCAAAAATTAAAAAACAAATCAGTAAAGAAGGAAAAACAGAGGATATCTGATTCTAATCATGATTCAAAATCAAACAAATTATTATTTCAGTTTAGTTAAAATGAACATTTAAGGGCTCTGGCCTGAGATGATTGCTCTCAGCTAAGTGAATTGATGGGAGTATATCCTCTGTTTGTCATCTGTTCCTAAAGAGCTTCTCTGATGGTGGACAGGTCCTTCCTGTCTTTAGAAGCGTTGCCTGTAGAGCACCTTCAAATCGTGTTTGTTGCTCCATCCTCCTGTAGTGAAGACGAAACTCCACCCACTTCCTCCACCACCACCGCCAGCGCCTCTAAATGTCAACGACCTTCAGTGAAGAGGGTCTCAGGTTTGGCCAACGGTAACGCCAGCGGAGCTCAACCCGAGCTGCATGAAGTCAAGCCGAAAACCAGAAAGAATTCAGGCAAGACCACCATGACAGTGAAAAACAGAGACCGGTCAAAGAAAGTGGAGACTGGGAGGAAGGTGGAGGAAGAGGAGGAAGTTGTGGATGCTCCACCAGATGGGTGGCCCCTGCATCGCATCATCTCCATTGAGGAGGACCATCTACCACACCTGCTTCAAGGTGGACCTCAGATCTTACCGCACCAGCTGAGTGAGGAGGAAGATGAGGTGGATGAGGAAGATGCACTGAGTGAAAATGAACCCGTTGCTGTTAAAGCTACAGATGTTACCGTAACCCCTCCCTCCAGACTGACACCAAGCACCACTGAAGCTCCTTCTCCTTCTAAGAAGTCCCACCTTCACCGAGTGAAGAAGACTCCAATGTCTTCAAGAGGACAGCCTGTGGGGAAGGAGACCCAGCAGGTAAATCATCTGCTCTGATGTATTCTCACCATCAGAAAGGTTTGAGAAAACGTTTCCTTCATCTTCAGGAAGCCAAAGAGAGAGCTCTGTTTGCCCCAGATCGTCTGTTCAAGGTGGTCCTGGTTGGAAACTCCAGCGTAGGGAAGACGTCCTTGCTACGCTCTTTCTGCGAGGGACGTTTCCACCCGTCCACAACCGCTACAGTGGGTGAGAAGACACAATCCGTCATGAGTGTGATTTAGCATCACATGAAAGGGCTTGTGAAGTCACACTGCCCGGCTCACATTCTACAGCAGATTAAGTGTTTAATCTCTCCTGAAACGTTAACGTCAGCCCTTTTATCACCTACTTGTTCCACCCCATGGTGACCATTCTCTCATCTAAGGTTCAGCACCTTTTAAAAGATGAGGGTTTCCTTTTCTAATCTCCCGACCAGGTATTGACTACAGCGTGAAGACACTGACTCTGGGGAACATGCAGGTCGCCATGCAGCTTTGGGACACTGCAGGTCAGGAAAGGTAAGTTGAAAAAAAGGAATTTACACATGTGTCATTTACTCAATGCTAATTTTAAAATCTGTGAATTTAGAAAGAAAATATAGAAGATAAAATAGTTATCTTTAGTTTAGTTAGAGGTAGCGCTCTATCTCACCAGCCAAGTTGTAAAATTGAAGTACAAATTTTAGTTCACAAAAAGATGGAGACAGCAAACTTTGTGCCTTTGGTCACCGCTGCAGATGACCTTTTTATTGCCCACGACCGAAAGACAATGAAGAGATGGGCGTTGCTCATCTTGGAGTCAACCTAATTCAAGATCAAGTCAAATCAAGTTAACCAAACGCAAACTGGCTACATCTTTATGAGTTTTACATGAATCAAAGCTACGTTTTTGCTGTTGAACTCAAGAGTTTAAGATTGCCATATTTTGCAACATTGTGCGTGCCTTTTAAAGATTTGACTCAAATGTCATGAATTAATTCCAAATCAGTCTAGAATTTAATTGGTGCATCAATTAGAATATTTCTCTGACCAGATAGTTCAGGCCCATTTTTACTGTCTTGTTTCCTAGCCGTTGAGCACCTGTGTCCAGATCATGGACGTAATTTTCACTTTAGAAGTGGGGGGGGGGGGGGGGGACACGTGGTGGGGGTGGGGGGTGGGGGGTATCTTTACAGTATGATCTAATGGGAAACAGGCTTCAACACAAACGGTTGTTTTCCACTTGGTCCTAGAGCTCAACCAGTGTCAATGTAATATAGCGTAATATTGTTTTTGGATGGTAAAAAGTGCAGGGTTCAAAACTTGGCTTTGGAAGAAGTGTGGGGGGGGGGGGGGGGGGGGACATACGTCCATGGTCCAGATGGATGATGCACAGAGTGCCTTGTTCTATTTAGCATCTATACGATGTCGGTTCTTCGTCATGGGAACATGCATTGCCTACAGTTAGTAAACTTTATTTTGTCATTTTTGCAGGTATCGCAGCATTACCAAACAGTTCTTCCGTAAGGCCGACGGTGTGGTTGTGATGTATGACGTCACAGTGGACGAAAGCTTCAAGGCTATACGACCGTGGCTCTCCAGCGTCCAGGTGAAATGGTTAACCCCCAGACAATCTCGATGCTGGTTCTTTCATGAAATCAGACTCGTACAGTTTTTATGTGTTGTTTTCTTTTCTTTCACTGCTAATAAATGTGGAATTTCACACAAATATCTATTAATGAACTGACCTGTATTGGAATGTTTACTGCGTGAAGTGCCTTGAGGTGACTCTTGTCGTGATTTGGCACTTTATAAATAAACTTGAATTGAATTGAATTGAAATTAAGGCCAAGTGATTTTGTGACATGTTAAATATGAGTAAATAAAGATGTAACCCTGCTCCTTTACTAGCTTTCAGAGGCATGAACTGTATCTAGAGCTCCTTTATCTCTTAAAAGGGATGCAGTTTGACAAATGAAGAGCTCTGCTCTGTATTTCCTCAGGAAGCAGCAGGTGAAGGGATTCATATTCTCCTGCTGGGCAACAAAATGGACATGGAACGAGAGAGGGAGGTGTCGTTTAGAGATGCTCAACAACTGTCTTTTGTAAGCCTAACTCATGGATTAATACTAAAAATAATAATGCATTTTATTTAAAAGCACCTTTCAAGGGACACAAGGACACTTTACAGCAATAAAATAATAACAAAGAAACCAAGTTAAAAACAGCAAAAATCTCACACAGAAGCCTAAAAATACCAACTAGATAATAAAATCAAAGAAGATGGAAAAGGTGACACTAGCAGTATGCAGTCTGAAATAGGCGGGATTTGAGTCTAGATTTAAAGGAGGAGAGCGAGTCAGAGTTACGGGCGGCTTGAGGGAGAGGATTCCAGAGACGGGCAGCAGAGCTGCTGAAAGCTCTGCTTCCCATAGTGCTGAGACGGAAATGTGGGACAGAGAGAGTGATAGAGGATGATGATCTGAGGGAACAGATGGGAGAGAGAATGTGAATGAGGTCAGACAGGTATGGGGAGAAAGGTTATGGATAGCTTTAAATGTGAGGAGAAGGATTTTGACATCTATGTGTTGTCTAACAGGAAAACAGTGAAGCTGTTGCAGGACAGGGCTGAAGTAGTGACTCACAGGGGGTTTGGAAATGATGCGTGCAGCAGAATTCTGGACCCGTTGGAGCTTATGGATGGACTTTTGTGGTAAACCAAATAGGAGTGAATTGCAGTCATCGATTCTTGAGGTGACAAGGCTGTGAACAAGTGTGGAAGCAGAGTGGGGGGTGAGAAAGGGGCGAAGGCGATTAATATTGCGCAGGTGAAAGTAGGCAGACCTAGTGATGTTACTGATGTAGGACAGAAATGAAAGAGTGGTGTCAAGGATGACACCCAGACTCTTAACCTGCATGAAAAGAGAAACAGAGGTGGAATCAACAGTAAGGGACAAACTGGGAGCTTTGGATAAAGCCTGATTTATGCTTCTCCGTCTGCGTCAGTGCAGAGACACGCAACGCCATTATCCGTCCTTGCGTAGGGCACGCAAGTACGTACGGAGTCGAGCCCACTTTCTTAAACATCCGTCGAACGAGACGGATTACGCAAGCTTGTGATTGGTCAGGACGCCGCTGTTGTTTACAGCGCCGCCATTGCAAAGAGAGCCGAGGAAAACTAGCAGCAGACACGGAGAAGCTTGAAGAATACCTCGCGAAAAAACTCTAAAAATATGAACGTTTAATTCTCCCGTGACTGGAGGAGTGAAAAGATGCGCAGCAAGCGTTTTATTTGTGGACGGAAATGACAGGAAACGTGGGTTTAGAGGTGGGGAGCGCATGAAGCGGTGGGAGAATGAGAGACAAATATGTCCGTGTTAAAAGTCTCTTATATAGACAAAAACACAATATAAACACACGATCTTGGACCGATACATGACAGGATACCACAGAACAGCGCTACGCCCTCTGTGGTCCTGCCGGGCAATTGCTTTGCAACACTCTCCAGGAGACGAAGTATGAGAGCAAAACGCTTCCGTCAATCCGTGCGTGTCTGTCCCTTGCGGAGCTGACGGAGAAGCATAAACCAGGCTTTAGGTGGATTTGATTCAACTAAAAGGATTGCTGTTTTGTCGCTGTTGAGTTTGAGAAAGTTTGTGGTGAACCAAGATTTAATTTCAGCAAGGCAGGAATAGAGGGAGGGGGGTGGAAGTGGAGATTGGGGTTTTAAGGAAAAGTAAAGCTAGGTGTCATCGGCATAGCAGTGAAAATGAATGTTAATTTTGCGAAAGATATGACCAAGTGGAAGGAGGTAGATAATGAAGAGAAGGGGCCCCAAGACAGAACCCTGGAGCACACCTTTGACAACTGGGGAGGGGTCTGATCTGAAGGATTTGAGTTGTATGAATTGTGTGCGACTTGAGAGATAAGAGAGGAACCAGTCAAGTATGAGATGGGATACACCAATAGATGAGGGCCTGTCAAGAAGGATTGAATGAGAAATGGGATCAAAAGCTGCGCTCAGATCAAGCAGGATGAGGATGGTAAGAAGGCCTGAATCAGCAGCAGTCAGAAGATGATTAGTGATTTTTAAGAGAGCATTTTCTGTACTGTGACCGGGGCGAAAACCAGATTAAAATAGTTCATGGAGAGTTTTTTGTTCCAATTGAGAGTGGAGTTGGGAGACGACGAATTTCTCCAGATTTTTTTTAATGAAAGGTAGGTTAGAAAATAGGGTGAAGGTTATTAAAGTTGTTTGGGTCTGCACCTGATTTTTTAAGTATGGGTGTGACTGCAGCGGTTTTGAGTTGAGATGGAACAATACCAGTGGTGAGAGAGGAGTGGATAATGGCAGTTATGAATGGAGTGAGAGAAGACGGGCAGGATTCAGCTAGAGAGGTGGGAAGGGGATCAAGCTGACAGGTGGAAGACTTTGGTTTGCAGACAAGATCGGAAATTTCAGAGGCATTAGGGAGTTGGAAAGTGGAGAAAGAAGAACAATGGGGAGAAAAGAGTGGCTGGAGAGAAACAGTAGATAAGTGTTGATGGATCTTACAAATTTGGTCATTGAAAAACAGCAGTTTAGATTGGCAGGTGACAGCAGAGCACATATGTGATGGTAAAGAGTTTGGACAGATCTATTCAATAATGAAAACTATGCTCTTGGGTTACCAGTGTTGAAAGTTGCAAGTCCAGAGAAATAAACAGATTTGGCAGAGGCTATTGAAGTTTTGTAGTTCCGTAAATGGGTCAGATGCATCTCTTTGAGGACACTGAGGCCAGTTCTTTTGTAAAGATGTTCAAGTTGGCGACCTTTGGATTTTAGTGAACGTAATTCAGCAGTATACCAGGGTGCACTTGTTGAGAAGGAAACCAACCGAGTATTAAGAGGAGCTACAGAGTTATAGGTGCCATTCAGAGCACTGTTGCAATAGAAGACAAGTTAATCAGGCCTGGAGAGGTGATCCGGGATTTTTATGTTGTCAGAATTGGTGCTGAGCGTATCCATGTCAATAGATTTAAGGTTCCGAAAAGAGATGAGATGTGGTGAATGAATTGCAGATAGGCAGAGGGTGACATTAAATGACAAGAGAAAATGGTCTGTTAGAGGGAGTTCATCGGCTGCACAGTTTGTTGGAATGACACCTGAGCAGCAAACTGAGTCCAGAGTGTGTCCTTTGATGTGGGTAGGAACGTCAACAAATTGACTGAGACCAAAACTCTCCAAACAGGACAGGAATTCCCTGGTCATAGGCAGGTGTTTATTGTCTGAATGTTTATTGAAGTCCCCCAAGAGAATAACATTCTGTGATAAAGTAGAAAGCTGGGTGAGTAATAAGGATAAATCATTTATGAAGTCACTGTTTGGCTTAGGCGGGCGATAAACTGAGGCAACAGTAGTGGGAGTTGGAATAGGTAATTTAAAAACCATACATTCAAAAGAACTGAAGTCAGGCACTGAGACAGGCAGAACTCGCCACTTCTCGCGATGAATTGTTGCAACCTCTGCCTCGGCCATTGCCACGGGGATGACTAATGTAAGCATAGCCGGAAGGAGTAGCGTCCTTTACTTGAGAGAAATCGTTTGGCTGCTGCCATGTTTCATTCAGAGTTAAAAAGTCAAACTTACGGTCAGTGATGAGATCTTTGATGAGATCCCCCTTGAGTGTAAACGAGCAGATGTTGAGAAGTCCAAAGTTGACGGTGGAGTTATCCAGTTTGACAGCAGCGCTAGCCGACCTAGATGGGCAGGCAAACACGCTAGGATCGATGGTCCGGTGAGATTTACGGTAGTTGTTGCAGAAGAATTTTATGGTTTCGGATGTGTCAAAGGAGAAGATTCTGCGGGACCTTCGGTCGAATCTATTAGATGGCAGATTCCAGCGAAGCCAGAGGAGTTCAGTGGCTGTGTAACGGAGTAAACCAGAAGCAGGATGGTAGCAGAAGAACAGAATTGCCCCGAGGAGAGCAGACCAGATGAGAAGCCTGCTGGAGCCCATGTCTGCAGTGCCAAGGCAGGGCAGAGACAGGTGACGAGTCCCAGAAACAGGAGGGCAGGTAAAAGGTCCACTTGCACTCGTAAAACGTTGATGAAAGTTCACTACATGTGGCACATTAAAAACCCAAAAGTACACCGCAGAAACAATACAAACATTTGAAGACAAAGCTTAAAAGTTAAACCGGCGAGCAGCGGCAGCAAACGGCGCCAGCATCCACTCAGACCAATAGTTGTAGGTAGTCAGATTAAAAATAACTCCTTTAGACTTTTCTAGAAAGTGACATAATGCAATTATCTTAATGTAAAAAACACACGCTGGTTCAGAACCCTGAACTTTGCACAAAGTAAAACTGTTAGTTTTGTGTGCATGCATGCATGTGTGTGTGTGTGTGTGTGTGTGTGACTCATGTTTTTGTGTGTATCTATTATAGGAACACAAGGTAATGTTCTTTGAGGTCAGTGCCTACACAGGAAAAAACGTGACAGAGTCGCTGACGCAACTGGCCAGGTAAGATTCAGGATCTACCCCACTGCACACTCATCATCAGATGTGTTAATGATGTTGGTCCTGACAGAGTACAATCATGCTGTTTTCCTTTTTGTATTTGTCATTCTGTTCTTTTTCAGAGTGTTGATGGAGGCGGAGGACAAAGAACGAGACACAACAGTCACCCTCGGTGCTCAACCTGTTAAAAAGAAAGCCTGCTGCAAGTGAAGACACGCTGCCTAACAGCAAACAAAACAAGACTAAATTGTCATAGTCTGCATCTGCGGCTCCCTCATGTGTGTCCTGGTGTTCTCCATCCCCCTCTAGGACCCCCTTATGTGTCTCCTTGTGTTCCTCATGTGTCCCCTTGTCTACAGCCCCCTCCAGGTTCTCCCCTTAAGCTTCCTGTATTTTCTTGTATTATCTAACTAGATTTTTCCTATAGTTCTCATAGGTTCAGGTTTTCTTCTCCTAGGTTCCTTGGTCCTTCCCCACCGGTTTATTAGTTCTCCTTTTCTCCTTAGATCTTTATTTGGTTCTCCCAGTCTTTAGGTTTTGGTTATTATTCATAGGCCATGTTTATTTTACCTTCTCAGCTTAGTTTCCTCTCCCTGATTAGTTAATTGATTTCACTAGGTTCTCTCTCCTCACGCACCTGCAGCTCATCTCTCATTCATCCCGCCCCTGTGCATATAACCTTGTCTGTGTCTCTCTGTGTTGTTGGTCCATTGTTTGTGTCAGCATCTTCTCATCCCCCTCGCTAGGTTTTAGTATCTTTAGGCCTCCCTCGCTAGGTTTTAGTATCTTTAGGCCTCTTGTGTTCTTGGATTTCTCTAGTTTTTGATATTAGGATTTTTGGACTTTGGTCTTTGGCTCCCTGCCTCCTTTGGATTTACTCCTTAATAAAGGATTTTACGATTTTTCCACCTCCTGCCCCGTGTCTCTGGTTCTGCATCTTGGGTCCTAACCTTCCTCCAAACCCACATTGTGACATAAATTGGATGGGAAATTCAAACTGTATACGAAACGTACTGAGAGTTTGTGATCTCTGACAGGTGTGCACAGATAAAATGTTAAATACATGTTGGATTGGTGTGAAAACCTTGTTTAAAGGTGTTTATTATCATGAATCTTTTATTTCAGCTAAGAAAGAGGCAGTGGGTGAAGAAATAGTGCTCACGTGGGACGAGGTTCATCAATTCCTGTAAAGTAGAGACTATTCAGACTATTGCTAAAACTACTCACCTGAGTAAAGTTGCAACTACTTTATATATTTTTCAACAGTAGAAATCTGTTCACTAATGCATTTCCTAGTGCATTATAATAATCATTATATATATATATATATAATTTTGGTTTTCAAACAAAAATAATGACAATAATTACACCCTTTTTTAGACATTTTATTCATCACCACGTTGATCTTTTTAAATATTTTGTTCCATCAAGCTCCAGAATAGAGCTCTTTTACATTTATTGCATCTGTGTTTGCCCTGCTTCAATCTGGTGCCAAAGAACAAAAGAAATGAGCTAAATTACCCTTATGTAGTTTACTGAACTCAAAACGTGTTCCACACATGGAGATAGAAGACGATAAAGCAAAAGTTACCGAGTTTGTTGTTGTTAAACCCACTTAGTTTACATGACTTTAGAGGAAACACACTTAATGACTCATCATACAGATCAATAATTTCCTGTTTCAGTAAAGAAATTTAAGACTCAAATGACCTTAATCTAAATATTTAGATGAAAGATAAACAGATTTTTGTAGTATTTTATATTAAAAGCTCCACTCATCCCTGTGATGAAACTATTGCTGAGAAAAAAAAAACTTGCTTATTCTGATCACATCACTTGATTGCACCCTGTCAGATGCATCGGTTTGCCCTCCCTGGGTCACTGGAGTGCTTCTTTGGGGGCCTTTTGGTCTCCCCGTCTCCAGTTGTGTCCAGCTGAGCTGAGGGCGGGTCCGCACGGGCACCTTGGTTTGTTCCTAACGCATTTTATAGTCGTGGGAAATGGCAGCTTCACATAACTGTCCTTTAAAATCTAGCTCCAGGGTGAACTCCAGGTCACGCTGTAAAAGGTAGATAAGATGTAAGAATGAGAAAATAATAAAAAGAAGTTCAGTTGTCTAAAGAAAGAAATCCGATTCCAGCAGATGATGAATGGAAGTTCTTTGAGTCTTACCACATTCTTCTCATTGGGTCTGACAGCGATACTCCCAAAGATCTCCTCCCCCTTCTTGACGGTTAGGTAGTCTTCTAAATAAAACACCGTCTGTTTCCAGTGCGTGCTGGCAGCATCTGGAGCTGATGACAGGATGAGAAGAAAGAAGGAAAAGTGGGAAAGGAAAAGAGGCAAATGGAGGTTAAAAACAGACTAGAAAGTAAGATGCTAATTTGGTGTTAATTAAACAATTTACAGAACATTTCAGATGAACCTGCATCAGGCTTGCAAACATGGAGAAAACGTAGGAGCCAGTGGGAAAAGTACGAATGCAGATGGGAGAGAGCTCCTTCGGTGATGCTCTGCTTCAGCCCCAACAGACACAGCCAAACATAGAACCTCCTCTACACCACATTATGTAAGCAGTGGATACATGAATTTATTACAACGGGCTTACATAACAGCTGCGTTGAGTGGTGAACACCACTTTTACTTGTGTAACATCAGCAGAGAAGCCAAGAACCAGGATGATGAAACACTAGTTTGGATGAATTATTGGGTCCGTTTGTTAGAGTGGGACCTCGTCAGTCAGCTGAGCCACACATCCACGCATTTAAAGCACCTGTGCTCTTCCTTGGGTCTTTTATTTTAGTCTGAATGAACACATCGTCATCACTTATCAGATGAAATCTGTTAAACCCTTGTGTGAATGCAGTCATGGACATGTCCGGGTACCGGAAACCTGTAATCAGTCCAGCCATTAGACATTTTTCTATCTCATTTAGCTTTTTTTAATGATTAGATTTTTTTTACTAGCAATAATGCTGTGTAAATCAATTCTGGGGAAAAGAGCCTCTTATCACCTAAATCCTATAAGGTGTAATGAATCGTCATTATGTAATGAGATCAATAGAGGGTAAATTGGATTGAATAAATTGCTTACGAGCTATTTATTTTTATTATCATTACTTGTGACCCATAGCTGTGATAATCTATTACCTATAGAACATCACCTGCTTGGTCTTTAAGATGATTTGGCAGAAGATTCTAAGACTCTTTGTTTGTTCAGAGATTGTCATCACTTCGTTTAGGATTCAAGGACCAGTCAGGTTTGCAAACAAATAATAATTTATTTTACAAACAATTTGACTTGATAAATGGTTTAAACCTTTGATGCATAATGGTCACTACAGTGGACAGGTACTCAAAATTGTTATTTATTTATTTTTGCCATTAAACACAGCTGTTGAAGACATTATTGCATTTGAGCCCCTCCATTTGGACTTCGGTAAGCCAAGCCAACATATTTCATGTTCAGAATGCACACTGTCCACTGAGGTGGACATGTAATAAATTATTTGTAAATTAAATGTTACAAAAAATATGTAAATATGAAATTTGTTTCATTCACACCTAAAGATGAATGAAAAAAAATTGTTAAAAAAATCATGGGTGAAGATTTCATAATTCATGCATCAAATGGTTTAAACCATTTACTGTGAGTGGATGCGAACCAAGAGATGGGTGTCTGGAACTAGGTGTGAATATAGTATTTCAGAGTTGGTATCATGAGAAAGCTGAATCCTGGATGGAGGAAATTTGGTTTGCAAGTAAGCTACAAGCTGTTGTTTATCAAACTGCATACGGACGCTATCTCACTGTGTTCTACGTACCCAAGTGGAGGCGCCCTTGCGGATCCGAAATGTCAGGAGGGTTGGAGACCCCGAGTACAGAAGTCCGTAGACTAACTCCTAGTATGACCAGGTCGGTCCTGGATCGCTTCCAGGTAACACAGGTGGACTGGATGGAACCAAGCATCTCAAAACAACTCTGAAGGAGTGTCGCAAAATCAGCTTTGTTCTGCAGGAAAAATATCTTGCTGTCCCGAGATTTGCAGGTGCAAAAGCTTACGGTTTTAACTATGTCAAAATCCTTCAGGTGAAAGAGGCTTGCTCAGACGGCCGTTCTGAGCTTCTCTCTCTCTGTCTGGCTGGCTTACTGAGACTGAGAGTGAAGCTCTGTTTAAGGCCTGGTGTTATCTCAGAAGTTGCCAAGCATCTCAGAACACAGTCTCCGATTCTGAACTCTGAAATGTGGGACAAGGTTACTTATGTGTCATGTCTTTATCTTAGTCTCACTCTGTCTGCAAGTGTGATGACCTAATCCAGTAAACATACTTAGTATCACTGAAACAGATTAATGAAACATTTAATCATTTATAATTATACATTGCAATATTTAGTGATTATTAATTACAAAATCTTAGTTATACAATCTTTTCTTCAATGATTATTTAGAATTAAATGATTACTTTTAATAATGAAATCTTCTTTTCTTCTGGGAATAAAAGTTTATCTAACAGAGTTCTGTGCAGAACCTTGGGGAAAAGAATGCTACTGTCATCTTTCATTATCTGATGAAGCTTCAGTTCAGCTGATGAAGTCATCTGATTAAAGAGCCTGCGTGCAGACATTCCATCTCCTGTCAGGGTAAAATACAGCACAGCGTGTGTAGCCAGGGTTATTTGCTCTGGCCGTGCATATGAACCATGGGACCTCAAAATCAGTCCATTTGGTGACGTTACACAAGTCTGTGTGGATGCTTTTGTCCCATGGGGACGTCTTTGAAAGGCAAGTTTAAGCCTCAAATCTTTGAGTATCAAGTCACTTCTCAGATTGTTGGCGATCAAGATCAAGTTAAATGTGAAGTCTTTAAGGTTTAAATCCAAGTCACTCATATTTAATACATTTGCAGTGGTCTCTAGCAGGAATGAATGCCTTGTAAGTCCTACTCTGGGGAACAAAGCCTTCGGTGCACAGAGAATTCAGCTGGAGTAGAAAGTAGCTTCTAACAACAAGATGTGAAGACTTGTTTCTTAATATTTTGTTTACTTGCAAGTACAAGTAAACTTTCAAGTCTTTGGGGGACAAGTCCAAGTCAAAGCTTTGAGAGGAAAATCTACCTCGTCTTTGGGCAATGTCAAGTCTCAAAACTTTAAGGGCTAAGTCAATTTTCACATTTTAAAGTTCGCACTTCAAGTGTCAAGCAGCCAAGTCAAGTTGCAGATCTTTAACAAGCAAGTCCAAGACAATTTTTTGGGATTCTAGTGAAAATCAAGTCTCGGGTCTTTCAGAGGTAAGCCCAAGTCAAGTTTCAAGTATTCGAGGGCCAAGTCAAGTGTGAAGTCTTTGTGAGTCCAGTCCAAGTTGGTCTCAAGTCCAAGTCAGGTTTTGAGAAGCCCATTTCTGAATGCAGCTAATGAGCTATCTGACTTTCACCTCTGATTACACGAGTTAAAGATTGTTCATAAGGCTCGTGTCCCAAACCTTGAGTCCAAGTCAAGTCACACGTCTTTGTTTTTGCAACTTAAATTTACAAACTAACTGTCCAAGTTATTCTCAGACACCCTCAAAGTGAATCTTTTCATTCTCTGGATTTTCTCCTTTTCAAAACACAGAAAACGGATCATAGCAAGATGCTTATTTTTCTCTGTGGCACAGCGTCTGCTCAAGGGTCACAACTCCTAATGTGTTGCAGTGAGAAACATGCTCAGAGGAGTGCTTGTCACCGTTCACAGTGACCAGTGTCGACCCGAACATACACAGCATGAAGCTGAGAATGTGGTTTCTAAGGGGACAAGCGCTCAAGGCACAAAAGCAGAAGGAAGAACTGGGAAAAAAATCTGCTTGTGATAGTTGTGATTATGTGCTGCAATTAGTGGTGAGCACGATGGCGCTGACAGCTTTTTTTTTTTTTTTTTTTTTTTTTTTTACTGTCGATCAGTTTTCTAGCAATTTAAGGAACGTCATGTGAACAACTCAGATTTAGCTGAACTGAGTCTGGTCCAGACTTACCAGTGGAAAAGCCAGTCTTCTTGTGACATTTTGTGAACTCTATGTTGAAATAAGTGACGAGTGCATGGACGTAATCATTGCGTTGGATCTGCAGACAGAAGGCGGATGTAAAGGACAGATCTCCTGGCTTCACAGTGTAGATGTCCACCTCCTGAGCAAAAGTAAGAAAAAAAAAGAATATTTCATAAATCCTGCTGAAGGAACGTCTGTTCTTCTCAACTCTAATCTGGAATAGCATCAACAGAAATATACATAATACTTGTCACCACTACTCGCTATCTCTGTCACACATGCAGTGCATGTATAAGCCAGAGCTGCTTCATTATTCACCAAGACTGTGTGTGTGTGTGTGTGTGCGTGCGTGCGTGTGTGTGTGTGTGTGTGTGTGTGTGTGTGTGTGTGTGTGTGTGTGTGTGTGTGAAAGCCCACAGGTTGAATCACGGCTGGCAAACCAAGCCTGGTCACAGTAAACATGCTGTGTGGGTGTCCTCTTGGGAGGGAGGTTTTCTAAGTGTGTCTTACATCGTGTCTGTTAGACAAAAAAAAGTTTGGCTTTTTGCTTCCTGGTGGACTTCCCGTACCAATTCGGTACTTTTTAAGGTACCGACCGAATTCCACAGTGCCGACCGAGCACTGATTCACTTCATATGAAACGGTGCCTCGTTTCGGTACCCGTCCTTCAGAACGAGAACTTGCCTAGACAGCTGCGCATGCGCAAGAGCGTTATGTCATCAGTCGCTGCGAGCGAGCTGTTAACAGAGCAGCAATGGTAGAAAGAACGCACGCTAAAGCTTGGGTCCACTTCACTAAATGTGATGGGGAACTGGGTGATGATGAAACCAGCGACAACGAACTAAGTGAGACATCCTCATCTTAATCTGCTCCGGTATGTAAATAAAATGTTTAAGATAACGTTAGCTTGATTTGTTAGCTTCCGTTTCACTAATGGTGCGTTTGTTTTCTCCTCAGAACTCCGAAATTCTGACTAGAAGAACATGAACACGCTCTAAAGTTTGGCGTCACTTTACTAAATGCGACAGGTGATTGGGTGAAGATGAAACCAGCAACAACGATCTAAGTGTGAGGCATCATCGTTTAAATCTGCTCCAGCAGTTAAATAAACTGTTTAAGATAACGTTAGCTTGATATGTTAGCTTCCTATGCCACCATTGTTATCATCTAATGGTGCGTTCGCTTTCTCCTTGGAAATTCTAACTTCCCAGTAGGAAAAATCAAAAGAAAAAGGACGGCAAAAGGAATGAAGATACACAGTAAATTTAGTTCACAGTAAAGATGTTTGCTTCAGTTTAATTATCAGCTTATAAAACTACAAGGACGATGTTAAAATACAAACAGTTGTATGTTATTTATCATGATATTTATCAAATATGGTTATATATTGAGAAAAATATATATTTAATTATAAAAGAGAATTAAAAATATTAAACACTCAAAAGTATCGAAAATTGGTACCGTTAAGTACCGGTATCGATTCCTAGGTACGGGGAATTAGTACTGGATCGATTCAAATGTCAAAGGTACCCATCCCTAGTTCTAAGTATGAGTATGTTTATGTTTATTTATTTGGCAGACGCTTTTATCCAAAGTGACGTACAATTTTTAACCTATAGGGCATGTTGTGATCTGTAGGGGCAACCAGAGTACCCGGAGGAAACCCACGCATGCATGGGGAGAACACGCAACTCCACGCCGAAAGGCCGCAGCTGAGTTTCGAACCTACAACCTTCCTGCTGCGAGGCAACAATGCTAACAACTGCGCCACCATGCAGCCCACTACTCACTAGTAATTTACCTGTTCTTTGTACTGATGATGGTGCGTTTGAAGGAAAAGGAAGATATTTAAAACTGAAACCTGTTTGTTCTGGACAGCCACGAGGCGTCAGCACGACAGATTGTGATTTAGCACCTCTGTCGTTTCCAGTGATATCAGCCCCATATCGTATAGCACAAACCGGAGGATGTGAGAAGAAATAGCCATGGGAGGGACTTTGTAATTTAAGCATGCGAGGGATGACTGACAGGAGGAATTAAGATGGGCTGAGGTGACAGGCAGCTGGAGGATTGGCTCCCGATTCACACATGAAGGGTACAGTCAGTGAGAAAAGGAGTCAGTGGTTAACCATGACACTAAATCAGGACTCTTGGCTATTTAAAACCTGTTTGGTTCCTCGTGCTGACTCAGTGCTTGATCTTGTGCGACATTTCACCATCAGACAGAAAGAGAAGGTGACATTTCCCTATTTGCTGAGATTAGTGAGGACTGACGTTCGTTTAATCATAGAAATGATCCCAGAGTGAGTGGGAATTAAGATTAAAAATGATACAAAAGAACTAAATAAAATACCGATTGCATCATGTTCCAAAGTAGCAGAAAGGTAATACAAAGAAGAAAATAATGGCTAGTGAAAGAGAGGAGACGCAAGAGTGGACAAACAAAAAAACAAAACAAACAAAAAAAAAGCTTTCACCTCCCTGAATGTTCTAATTCTCTGTTCATTTGTGAGATGAAAGACAAGCAATTGTTGTATCCTCAAGCTTGGAAACGGATCCACGGTCTATTACGACTCGCCAGAAACCTCCATTATGTTCTCAATAATAGCCTCAGCGGATGGTGAATGTTCGGAGGTGCTTGGAAGTGATAGCTGTTCAGGATTGGCTTACACAAAAGATGAAAACCTGCCATGAAGGTTGCTCAACCTATGACACACTCTGACTTCATGAAACACTTTTCATGTCGGGGGAAGTGCACACTAACCTTAATGAGGCAGGCGTTAGTCACCACCTGCTTGGGATCGACCACATCCACTAGAGGCTCTTTAATGGCCACGTTTCGAATGCAGCTCATGTCGAAGCCGTACACGTTTTCCCACCCTGTGCAAACAAAAACACGTCACACATGAGGATGAAATGCAGTTTCTTGAATTTCCTTGTGGCTGCATCTCACTGTTCTCCCTGTTCCTGCCAAGCATTTGGTACAAAATGATATCAGATAGATAAAAAAAAAATACAGCGCTTAGTGTTGCCAAGAAGAACTATCCCTTGTTTCTATTCCACCTCCATGGATGCAGACAAATGTTCCTGAAAATAAACCTCCTCCAGTATGTCTTGGAGCCTTTTTTATATTCTAATTTGGACAAAAAAAAAAACACCAAACAACCTTTACCTCCCCTGTTCCCAGGGGGCCAAACACAATGTATGATGGAGGAACGTACCACCAACGCATAGATGCTAAAATTAAAGACAAATTGAAGGTTTTGGGCAGATCTTTTGAGAGTTGTCAGAATGAATGTACCTCTATAGTTGTGCTTATGTAAGAAGGCCACCTGTGCAGTAAAAGGATGCTCAGTGGGAGTCATTGAGCAATTCAATGTCGATACTAGACTAAGTGGCACCTTTATATTGGTGCCTTGGTCTGGATCACAAGGTTTATCGCAGAAGCTTGCTCCGGCAGCTGTCTGAACACATGCAGTGGTTTTAAATCAGTGATCTGCAGAAATTCTAGCAAGTGTTTCTTCTGCATGCTGGAACTAACGGGGTTAGGCTCCTGTAAATGGAAAAAGCTGTAAAATTAATTATTTCGATTTTTTTTGTTGCTTAGGCTTTCACGTGCACATAAGGCAACATAAGGCAAGTAAAATTAAAATTATTTGTCCCCAAATATTCCAGAATCTTGCACATTAGCTGCTTGCTTTGCTAAATCTAGTTTTTGCTAGCTTAGCAGTACCACTGTAGATCACATGTATTTACACTAAAGAAGAGAAGAGACCTTACTACTTCTGTTCTGGGACAGACGTTTTCTACGTGATGTTCATTTTTAGGTTGTTGCATGTGAATACCAATAAAGAAAAACAAAATAAAACAGTTAAAAACAATGGAATGGGTTAAATGACAAACCACGGTGCAGTTATCAAATCAAATCAAACTGTATTTATATAGCACTTTTCAAGCATAGGATGCAACAAAAAGTGCTTAACAGATTAAAATAACCCATATAACCCACAATCCCTCTCTTTCCCACACTTAAAACAATTGTGACAGTTTCACCCCCAATCCACAAACCATTCCCAGGCACACACACACACATACACACACACAGGGGCGGCAGTAGCTCAACAGGTTGGGCGGATTGTCCAGTAATCGGAAGGTTGCAGGTTCGATCCCGGCTCTGGACAGAGAATTCTGCTGTTGTGTCCTTGGGCAAGACACTTAACCCACCTTGCCTGCTGGTGGTGGTCGGAGGGTCCGGTGGCGCCAGTGCTCGGCAGCCTGGCCTCTGTCAGTCACTGCCCCAGGGGCAGCTGTGGCTACATCGTAGCTCATCCCCACCAGTGTGTGAATGTGTGTGTGAATGGATGAATGATACACTGTAGTGTAAAACGCTTTGGAGTCCTTACTCTGAGAGACGCTATACAAGTGCGGGTCATCATCATCATCATCATCATCACACACACACACACACTCGTCCACATAACACATTAAACTTCCCATATAAACAGATGATTGTGACGTTTGCCAAGTTCGTTTTCAAAGAGCTGTGCATTAAAGTAATCAATATCTGACCTCAGACTTTAAAGAACAGACAAACACGAGACAATACATCAGTTGTAGATTTGTTAGAAACAGTTTAGTAAAATTAAACGTCATCCCAGTAAAACATAGACATTAGTGTTTTAGCTCTGGGTTGTTTATTATAGTGCTGATTGCTTCTCGCTGCTATGAAGGGGAGTTTTAGAATATGATGCATCTGTAAGCTTTTTTTTTACTTTGCAATGGAATGAATGGGAGCAGAGACTATAGGTCTACTCTGACCATTTCTTTTTTTTTTACTCTGACCATTTCTATAAAAACATTCTGAAAGGTTTTGATTAGATTTTCTTTCTAAATGAGACAGAATAATACTGCCTACCTTAGAAATGGCAGAGCTAATAGCTAATTAAGCTGACATCCATGACCTTCCATCAGTGTTTGATTCAGCTCTTTTGCTTTCGGTTCTTGTCTCACATCTAAAAAGCATTTAAAGCAAAAAATAAACTGCTGTTCCTTCAGGTTTTACATACAGCATTTCTGATTATCTTTCATCTGGTTTCTGTGGATCTCATTTCACTAAATTGTCTTCTGAAAGTGCCAGTGATGCGGCGATCAAAGAGAATGTTCTGATCTAAAGCTGTTGAACCGTACCTCATATTTTGATACTCACTGACACATTATAGGCTGAGACAGTGCGTGGGTAAGTTGGACCATTGTGTTGAAGTAAATTTCTTCAAATGTGTTAGAGATAACCTTTTTAGTGCCTGCTTTAAGTCTTCTATGAATTTTCACAGCTACGGTGTGCCACAAGGCTCTGTTTTAGGACCCATATTTTTTTCTGTTGTTCCACAGCATATCTTAACAAACATATTTTATCTCTGCTATGCAGATATAGTTTTGTAGTAAATCTTTCTTAAGTGCCAATATTTATGCTTATGATGTTGTGCAGAAATGTTTGGAAAACTGAAGTCCTTGTTTATGTCCCCTGATAGATAATTTTCCTGAGACGGTGGAAGTTTGGATCCGCTTGCCAAATTTACTATCGATCACAACATTATCTTATTTTGGATTCAGCTTTCACGTTGGATGTTTACGTTAAACGTCTGGTCCTGTTTTGTCATGTTTTCACCATCTTAGAAACACTGTCAAGTTCCAATAGGTCTCACTTTAAGCTTGTTCTGTTAGTCTTCTCAGACTCCCCACAGAAGGGGTCTGCAGCCTGAAGCCCTGGAGTCGAATGTTGCACTTCAACCCCATGAAACTAGCTGCTTTAACATGAGTAATGTTTAAATTTTAACAAAATAAAGGGCAGCTTTTGCAATTATTTCATCCAACCCTTTGCAATCTCTGCATAGATTTTCCACAGCAGAATTACTTATAACAAGTTGGTTGCTTTTGTCATTTCCCATCTTTATACCCAAATGAGTCGAAAATGTATTGAGGTTTGGATTGCTATAGCTCTAAATGGTTCTTAACAACAAAAGCGTCATTTTTGGTTAGAAATGATATGGCACATTATCTTCATTTTGGAAAACACTTTAAAAACATATACCAGTGCCAAAAGAATTTTATATATAGAAAGGATAATAACATTTTATAAAACATTTTGTTTCGATATTAATGGTTGAGTAGATTTTATGTCACTCTACAGATTACATTTGGTAGCAAACATGGTAAAAATGTATAGTTTTCAGACAGCTGGCCTACGGGCTTCTACGTCCTCCAAACATTTACAGATCACATGATTTCTTTCTCAGTTGACTTCCTGTCATTTTCAGTCTGCTTGGACTGCGTCAATTACATTTTCTGTTAATTCACATAGATTAAAAGGTAAATAAAAAGGTTTATAGATCAAGTTACTTATTTTATCTGCATAGTAGACGTTCTGCAATGAGAGTGAGAGAAAAAATAAGTGTTACTCACAATGAATCTTAAAGTCCTTGTACTGTCTGTCCTCGATGGCTACCACGTAGAGAGCTGCTCTGTCTGGGAACATCAGACCTCCAGGTTTCTGAATACAAGAAAGACTTCAGGCATTCAAAGCATAGACACAAAGACCATCCATCATCTTTATTGTTTGCACACCTGGCATGTAATCTAGAATCACATGTGGTGAGTTTAAAGCCCTCTGGCAGCAAGCGAGGTTAGAAACCAGATCATTCAAGTGTAACCTCAGCATCTGGGCTGCAGACACAATCTAGCAAACAGACAGCAGGTCCTCTCCATTCATCACTGTCGCATCTTTTATGAGTCAATAACTTTGTCTGCCCATTCAGCCCGTCAAACATGCCCACACGTGAAGCCCCAGCCACCATACCAGCCACTTGTCCCTGGCGAAGATGACCGTGTTTAACATGGACTCGTAGAAAAGACAGTAACCCATCCACTCAGAGACGATGATGTCCACTTTCTCCACAGGAAGCTCCACCTCCTCCACTTTACCCTTGAAGATGGTAATGACTGTGTTGTGGAGGGAAACAAACAGCAGGAGACAAATTGCTTTAAATTCTCTTCATTTGAAAAATGCTAATTAGACAAAGATTCACCCTGTTTTTCATGGTTTTGTAGTGTTTTCTTGATTTACCCCTTTAGTCTGATTCATGATGAAGAAAACAAGGATATGGATGTGATGAAGAAGACATTGAAGTAAAGCAGATAATATACATGTCTGCTTTATCAGGTAGGGCAATTTCACCATAACACTGAAAATAATAATATTTATTCTAGTAGTCTTCTTCATTAATAAGTATATATTTCAAGATAAAATGTACAAATTTAGGTAAGATGTTCAGGTAATAAAGACCAATGTCTGTCATCAGCCCAGCAGCTCAGGGTATCGTAACAATCAGAACGAGCTCCAGTGAGCGGAAGTTTGATTGATGCCAGAAATTATGGATATTTGACAAGAGAGATGATAATGATAATAATAATACATTTTATTTAAAAGCGCCTTTCAGAACACCCAAGGTCACTTGACAGAAAGCACTTAATAAAATACAATTAAAACAATAATAAAACCCAGACAAGAAAAATAAATAAATAAATAAATAAAAACTCCTCCTTGAACCGTCACCTTATCGTGGTGGAGGAGTTTGAGTGCCCTAATGATCCTAGGAGCTATGTTGTCTGGGGCACTTAGTGCCCCTGGTAGGGTCTCCCATGACAAATTGGTCTTAGGTGATGGGTGAGACAAAGAACGGTTCGAAGGATCTTTCATGGCGGTTAAAACGAAGAGTCGGAGTACCCGGCCCGGAGGGTTACCGGGGTCCCACCCTGGAGCCAGGCCTGGGGTTGGGGCCCGTGAGCGAGCGCCTGGTGGCCGGGCTTTCGCCCATGGGGCCCGGCCGGGCCCAGCCCGAACCGGATACATGGGCTCGTCCAACTGTGGACCCACCACCCGCAGGAGGAACATGAAGGGTCCGGTGCAATGCGAATCGGGTGGCAGACCAAGGCGGGAGCCTTGGCGATCCAATCCCCGGACAAGAAAACTAGTTTTTGGGACATGGAACGTCACCTCGCTGGCGGGGAAGGAGCCGGAGCTTGTGGCAGAGGTTGAGCGGTACCGGCTAGATATAGTCGGACTCACCTCGACACATTGCATTGGCTCTGGAACCCGAGATCTGGAGAGGGGTTGGACACTCTACTTTGCTGGAGTTGCTCCGGGTGAGAGGCGGAGGGCTGGGGTTGGCTTTTTGTTAGCCCCGAGACTCTCTGCCTGTGTGTTGGGGTTTACCCCGGGGGACAAGAGGGTAGCTTCCTTGCGCCTTCGGGTCGGGGAACGGGTCCTGACTGTTGTTTGTGCTTATGGGCCAAATATCAGTTCAGAGTACCCACCCTTTTGTGAGTCCCTGGGACGAGTGCTAGATAGTGCTCCATCAGGGGACTCCATTGTCCTGCTGGGGGACTTCAATGCTCACGTGGGCAATGACAGCTTGACCTGGAGGGGTGTGATTGGGAGGAACGGCCCACCTAATCTGAACTCGAGCGGTGTTTTGTTATTGGACTTCTGTGCAAGCCGCAGTTTGGCCATAACGAACACCATGTTCGAACATAAGGATGCCCACCGGTACACTTGGTACCAGGGCAGCCTAGGTCACAGGTCGATGATAGATTTTGTAGTCGTATCATCTGACCTGCGGCCGTATGTTTTGGACACCCGAGTGAAGAGAGGGGCGGAGCTGTCAACTGATCACCACCTGGTGGTGAGTTGGATCAGATGGCAAGGGAACATGCCGCGTAGACCTGGCAGACCCAAACGCATAGTGAGGGTCTGCTGGGAACGCCTGGCAGAAGAACCTGTCAAGACGGTCTTCAACTCCCACCTCCGGCAGAGCTTTGACCACGTCCCGAGAGCAGTGGGGGACATTGAGTCCGAGTGGGCCTTGTTCCACTCTGCGATTGTCGAGGCGGCTGTTGCTAGCTGTGGTCGCAAGGTGGCCGGTGCCAGTCGTGGTGGCAACCCCCGTACCCGCTGGTGGACACCAGAGGTTCGGGGAGCCGTCAGGCTGAAGAAGGAGGCCTACAGGGCGTGGCTGGTCTGTGGGTCTCCGGAGGTAGCAGACAGGTACCGGATAGCCAAGCGGGGCGCAGCAGTGGCAGTTGCCGAGGCAAAATCTCGGGCGTGGGAGGAGTTTGGTGAGGCCATGGAGAAAGACTATCGATCGGCTCCAAAGAGGTTCTGGCAAACTGTCCGGCGCCTCAGGAGAGGAAGGCAGCAACTCGCTCACACTGTTTACAGTGGGGATGGGGAGCTGCTGACGTCAACTGAGGCTATAGTCGGACGGTGGAAGGAATACTTTGAGGAGCTCTTCAATCCCACCAATGCGCATTCCGAGGAGGAACCAGAGCCGGGAGGCCTGGGGATGGACTGTCCGATCTCGGGGGCAGAAGTTGCTGAGGTAGTCAAACAACTACACAGCGGCGGAGCCCCGGGGGCGGATGAGGTTCGTCCTGGGTATCTCAAGGCTATGGATGTTGTAGGGCTGTCATGGTTGACACGTCTCTACAACATTGCATGGTCATCGGGGGCAGTTCCTAGGGAGTGGCAGACCGGGGTGGTGGTCCCCATCTTTAAGAAGGGTGATCTGAGGGTGTGTTCCAACTATAGGGGGATCACACTCCTCAGCCTCCCTGGAAAGGTCTACACCAAGGTACTGGAGAGGAGGGTCTGATCGATAGTTGAATCTCAGATAGAGGAGGAGCAATGTGGTTTTCGTCCTGGCCGTGGAACTGTGGACCAGCTCTATACCCTTGCAAGGGTGATGGAGGGGGCATGGGAGTTTGCCCAACCAATCCACATGTGCTTTGTGGATTTGGAGAAGGCTTATGACCGTGTCCCCAGGGGCACCCTGTGGGGGACGCTCCAGGAGTATGGGGTGGGTGGCTTTCTGTTAAGGGCCATTCAGTCCCTTTACCAGAGGAGCGTGAGTTTGGTCCGCATAGCCAGTAGTAAGTCGGACCTGTTCCCAGTGAGGGTTGGACTCCGCCAGGGCTGCCCTTTGTCACCGGTTCTGTTCATCACTTTTATGGAAAGAATTTCTAGACGCAGCCGTGGTGTGGAGTGTGTCAAGTTTGGTGGCAGGAGAATCTCGTCTCTGCTTTTTGCGGATGATGTGGTCCTCCTAGCTTCATCCAGCTCTGACCTTCAGCTCTTACTGGGTAGGTTCGCGGCCGAATGTGAAGCGGCTGGGATGAGGATCAGCACCTCCAAATCTGAGACCATGGTTCTCGACCGGTAAAGGGTGGCTTGCCACCTCCGGGTCGGGGGAGAGGTCCTACCTCAAGTGGAGGAGTTTAAGTATCTCGGGGTCTTGTTCACGAGTGAGGGTAGGAGGGATCGGGAGATCGACAGGCGGATTGGTTCGGCGTCTGCAGTGATGCGGACGCTGAGCCGATCTGTTGTGGGGAAGAGGGAGCTGAGCCAGAAAGCCAGGCTCTCGATTTACCGGTCATCTACGTCCCAATCCTCACCTATGGTCATGAGCTTTGGGTAATGACCGAAAGAACGAGATCGCGGATACAAGCGGCCGAAATGAGTTTGCTCCGTAGGGTGGCCGGGCTCAGCCTTAGAGATAGGGTGAGGAGCTCGGACATTCGGGAGGGACTCGAAGTAGAACCGCTGCTCCTCCGGATCGAAAGGAGCCAGTTGAGGTGGTTTGGGCATCTGGTCAGGATGCCTCCTGGACGCCTCCCCGGGGAGGTGTTTCGGGCATGTCCTGCCGGCAGAAGGCCCCCGGGTCGACCCAGGACACGTTGGAGAGGTTACATCTCCAATCTGGTCCGGGAACGCCTTGGGGTCCTGCCGGAGGAGCTGGTGGACAAGGCCGGGGAGAGGACGGCCTGGAGCTCCCTAGTTGGGATGCTGCCCCCGCGACCCGGACCCGGATAAGCGGAGGAAGACGAAGACGAAGGCGAATAAATAAAAATAAAAAAGAGATAAACAGTTCAATAAAATCAGAGGTTGTAGGCAGATTTAAACATATGTGTTTTGAGTTTTGTTTTGAAAAGGGTAAAACTGCAGATGAGCTGCCAGTTAACCATCAGCACTGCAACTAATACTGTCAAGTGTGACTGTAATGATGGAAGTATGCAGATTTTCCATGCTCTGTCCAACCCTGATGATGTTTTATTGCCCTGCATCCAGACAGATGGATATGAAGCACTGGGAAATTGGATAATCGCCTGCAGCTCACCATTGTGTAGATGGTTCGACTTGATGATCTTCTCTGAATATTCCGATATACTTGAGCATTCGATCTGCAGAAACAAGAAAAAGACCATGCATGTTGGTTTATAAAGTATTAAGATTTCTACATCATGTCAATTTTTATACTTTCTTATAGATAATTTAAATAAATGTATCAAAATAAATAAATATGATCCAGGTTTTTCTTTTGTGCTTTAATTGTTATTTTTTGTTGTTTAATTAGACTCCTTGAATTTTGTATTGTTTTTGGTTTATTTCCTTTGTTTTTCCTCAGATTACCAGATTACTTCACTCATATGTTATCCATCTGCTAATCATTAGCTGCACATAGCAGGTAAGTGGTCCTTAGTTTCTCAAGTCAGATCTTCTTGTTTGCAGCTTGTTTCCTTCATTCTGCAGCTCCCAGTATCATTCACCTTTTGTTTCCCTGTTTAAAGTTATCTTTGTTATACTTTTATCAACTTTTGACTTCTTCTTCTTCTTCTTCTTCTTCTTCTTCTTCTTCTTCTTCTTCTTCTTCTTCTTCTTCTTCTTCTTCTTCTTCTTCTTCTTCTTCTTCTTCTTCTTCTTCTTCTTCTTCTTCTTCTTCTTCTTCTTCTTCTTCTTGGATAACAGCAACATGACTCTACCCCTTACTCTGTTCTGTGACGCTGATGTTATCTCTCTACAAAAAATACAAGTTACCTGCTGTTTCTGGATGCCAACAACCTTTCCCATCACGAGCCAATATGGGTAAGTCCACTTGACGTAGATCTGTTAGGTTTTTCAATTCCTAGATTTTCACAGTCTATTCTCCATATTTTCTATCAGAAGCTACTGCAGGAGATAGGTGTAGGAGACTATTTTCATGTTCTGCCTGCATGAAAATCATGAATAACCATTAAAAATTGTTTTTCACTGTTCCACACCTTTAATAGAATGTGCAGTTTGTGGATTCTTCATGGTGGTAGCTAACATTTTCTGTTCTTTAAAAAAAAAAGTTAATTATGATTTATCTTATAATTTTGTATCATATTGCACAATGGTTTAACCAAAAGCTGTGAGGATTGTATTTGTGAACTTTAAGTGCATCTACTCACCCCGTACACGTGTTTGGCACCAGCATTGGCAGCAAACATAGACAGGATCCCTGTGCCGCTGCCAACATCAAGAACGATTTTATCTTTGAACACGTGCTTGTTGTGGTGCATGGCATTTCGATAGGTCAGTGTACGCACTTCATCTTTCAGCATCTCCTGCATCAAAGAAAAAAAAATTATAACAGAGACCTTACACAAAGAAGCATGATTCGTAACAAATACAGACTCAAAGCTGCATGTGAGCACTTTCCCCAAGAAGATGGTGAGATGAAATGAGACCAAAATCATCTGTGACAATGGCAGAGCTTCTTGAAATAGACAGGAGCACAACACAAAAGCCTTGAGGGGCTGCCTGATATCTATCTCCCTGAACCCATTGACAGATCCTGCTTTTCCTTCTTTCTAGCTTTGAACTCTTTAATCAGGACACAGTCTTTGTCTGCAAGCAGACAAAACGCTGACCCATATGCTAAAAAAAGGACACTATTAAAAAAGGTCCTCAAACTTTTTCTTCTTCTTTCCCTCACATGTGAAGGTCATTAGTTAGGCTACAGCTCCAGCAGTTTGCTGCAGATAATTGCAAGAGGCAGAAAAAGAACACTTTTACTTATGCAGTGCAGATAATGGACTATCACACACACCCTGGGCTCTTTTGTGCTATCTGGTAATAACTGGCATCTTGAAGCATGCTCCATCAAGACTGGTACTTTAGTAACTCAGCATTTGCTTCAAGATTTCAGTCCAAAATATAGTCATATGCGTGCTTTTAAGCAGATTTATGCTGCTTGTTGATCTTTTTAGAAAACATAATATTATAAAATAGCAGCTTTATTTGGGCAGTCATCTTCTTCTTTACATTTTGTGTTGCAGTGTAGTCTAAAACTTGATTTTAGTCATTTGGATTCATGCTTTCTTGCATCAATGAATGAATATATATATATATATATATATATATATATATATATATATATATATATATATATATATATATATATATATATATAAGGATCACAAGTCAAATCAGAGCGTGTCTTTTGTGCAAGTTATGGCATTAAGTCAGCTGTAAAACTCCTTGGCAGAGTTTAACAGGAAGCTTTTGGGGTCATTGGTGTCTAATCATACCAAGTTTCCTGCTGTCAGGCTGGTCTGCCTACCTCATGGATGCCAAAGTGGGCATAGGAATCAAAGTAGTAGTCCCTTGATGTCATTTCCTCTGGGCTTAGGAATTTGGCAATCTTGCCTCTTCCAGGACAGGTGGACAGCGCTGCTACATGAGGTGTGTGAGGGACACAGGGCACATGGTGGGTAGTAGGCACTGGTTTCGACAGAGGGGAGGGCTGGGCAGACTGAGAATGGGGGGACATGACAGTCTGTTGCCGCTGTGAAGCAGGAACAAGGAAGAGGTTGAGTTTATCAGGTTCATGTAACAGATGATCATTTGAATACACATTATGTATAAAATAAAATCGCCTTGCTCGAGACTTGCTGCGATTACTGGATGCCTAAAGTGAAAAGCCGGTTAAAGATGCAGGTTCCGGTTCAGCACCACGGACAGCGAACATCGCATCCAGAACATGCATGCATCATCACCTGCACGTGAGGTGCTTTTATAGGCTGTGAGACATCCTCACTACTCTATGGTATTTCTAAAACACGAGTCTGCTCAGGGTTGCAGACTCATCTGCAGGATACTAGCTGAGGCACTTTGCTTGCAAAATAACAACATCGTTTGAATGATATTGATACATACGTGCATCATTTATAATCAGATGTTGCCTTGTTTAAAAAAGCCAAGCCAGTGAGCGCCCCGGACGCCCTGTAACCGGTCACAGGACACCACAAGGTCCCTACCTCCGAGCTGTCCGCCTCCGCCATCTTCCGCCGTAGCAGCAAACAACGCGACGAATGCTTCAGTCCCATGAGAGCCGGCGAGATTTACGCTACAACTCTTTAAAGTCCTCTAAATGTCAAAAGCAATGTCAAAAACGACCCCAAAACATCTGAGAACACACGACCGCAGCAGGACAGATGGAAGTCATAACCAGGCTGTTGAACAAACCGTCCAGAAAAGTTAAGAAGTTGCTTTGTGGATCATTTGCGCGACGTGAAACGCTGGTTTCTCCATAATGCCAGTTTGATACAGGTTGTTTTAGACGCGGTGTCTTATTGGCTGCCAGGCTGGAAGGATGAGGGTTTGATGCCAGCGGGAGAGTTGATGATCGCTGGTTTCACATCTCCGGCAAGAAGAAAACCCAACTAGATGCCGAAAGTGTGTCACCCTCTTTCTGGTGATTCTTCCTCCCCTGCACTTCTTCAGATTCTGCACAAATCACACGTGAAAGAACTGGAACTCCGTATGGAAAAGACGCGCCATTCCCATCTCCTTAATGTGCTGGTGGGAGTCCAGATTCGATCAGGCTCGAAGAAACCTAGAAGGAGTTCAGACTGACATGAAGAGAATGATGTCAAAATGCAGCCTGCCTCTCAAAAGATGAAGGAATAAAAAGCCTCCTGACAGAGAAACCGAGCCCACGCGTCTTCAGGAGAGGCTCAGCTGCTGGTGTAAAAGAAAATCCCTCATAGTAACTATACTGATCACATACTCAGTATACAAGTAGACCAGCTGCAGCCCTTGTTGTGAATGCAGCAGCATCATAATTGGTTGATTTATTGGTGCTTGAAAGGCATTTTTTATCCGATTTTCATAAAATCTTTCAGAAATCTATAAAACAATAGGAAACAACTTTTTAAATAAACAGTTAACCGCTATTTAGGTTCATTTTCCTGTAAAAATGAAAATCAACCCAAACAACAATGTTTAAAAAAACATTTAGAATTATAAAATGAAATATAAAAAGCTAATCTACACATTTGAAAGGAACAGTCAATATGTAATCATTTTAAAATCAATTTTTAATCAACAAAGTCACTTCTGTCTAAGCATAGTGAGGGTATGAATTAAGGTTTTAGAACATTTCAGCATGCTGCCAAATGGAAATTGTCTGACAAATTAAAAGTAGGTAAAGACACTCCCTATAAACACACTCGTGTGTGTGTGTGTGTGTGTGTGTGTGTGTGTGTGTGTGTGTGTGTGTGTGTGTGTGTGTGTGTGTGTGTGTGTGTGTGTGTGTGTGTGTGTGAGTGTGTGTGTGTGTGTGTGTGTCTGTCTGCTCTGTCTTCTCGATCCCCAGTGAGTCGTGGAGGATGGCTGCTTATACTGAGCCAGGATTCTCTGGAGGTTTCTTCCTGTTAAAAGGGAGTTTTCCTCTCCACTGTCGCTGCATGCTTGCTTAGTATGAGGATTGCTGTATAGTCACTGACACTAGTCAGTGACTTGATGCAATTTGCTGGGTTCCTTATATAGGAAACATTATTTCTGATTGGCTTAATGAACTGTGAATTGGAATGTTTATTATGTGAAGTGCATTGAGACGACTCTTGTCGTGATTTGGCGCTATTTAAATAAAATTGAATTGAATTGAATAAAACATCTCAGAGTCCCTTTATTGGTAATTTTGTCTAACAACAACGTTTTATTTTTTTTGTTTTATCATTTATTTATACATTTTTAAGACTAACTCAATTTTCTGAGATCTTTTTTTAAATGGCAGACTTCTTTCGTTTTACAGTAATATTTATTTTAAAACCACCGCATCAGTCTTTAGCTTTCAACATTTAGCTATCACTTTATCTTTTTTAATTAAATTGAAAATTGTATTATTTAAAGCTGGTCAGTATAGCTGTAAATATTTAATGTACTACTTTACAATCAGCACCTCACAGAGACATTGTTATATTTTAATTATACAAGCAGAAATCAATTTTAGACTTAAAAGCAAAGGGGCACTGTTGACCAAGACAAGATCTACTTTTAAATCTGCAAGTCTGAAACATACATTCCTATAACAGACGTTACATTACGCTGCTGTAATGCAATTCAGATATAAACAGAGCACATGAAAGAAACAACATTCGCCACCCTGCTACAGCACATCATACGTTTGTTTATCTCCCCTCATGTTCTCATCATCTCCTCTAACCTTGGCATTGATGAATTCAAGCTTTAATGTGGAAGCAAAAAATAAAAAATAAATAAAACAGCTGTCTTTGGACACCCTCCCCTCTGGTTTCCACTCTGATTATCTTATTAGGTCTTAATGTGTTGTTAGTGATTGCAGGTTTGTCTCGCAGGCATAGCACCGAGAATTTCTCTCCTTTGTGCAAGTCACTGTCTGAGACATTTTCACCTTCAAATCAAAAAATACTGTCAAAACAACAGGATCCTACAGAAAGGTTAATAGGAAATGTATTTTTGATGCAACATAGAGTATTCTAAAACCTCAAGCTGCAGTAAGAACTTTTAATCTGCACAAGTAAAAAAAACACCAATAGTTTCTTAACTGATTTTTGTTTATTTTTACTTTTGTCACAACAAAAATAGCATTTTGATTTTATAGCAAGCTGTGTACTTATTACATCATTTCATGCTTATTTGTGAGCTATCCAGCACTCAGTGCCTTCCCCCGCTGAAGCTTTAGGTCACACGTTTTTCTCTAAAACTGCACCAGTTTCCCTCACATCTCACATCGACCTTTTGTTTGACTGACTCTAAATCATTCTAATTCAATTTTCCACCTGATTACACACGCTGCTCGCCACTGAGAGACACCATAAGCACAAACAGGTACTTCAAACGTTAGAATTGTTGGATCATTTTTATTGGAATTCCCTCACAGCTAGTGTTTAATACAGGTTTAAGTTTCATAAGGTTCCTGCTTCGTTTTGTTCTTTATTCTGAAGACTTTCTCTTGTGATAAGGTGTCATTTTCTTTCTCATACATATTTCTTTTGGAATCTTGAGTCAAGAGTAATTCATTTTGAACAATGTAAGAAAAATAGATTTGTCAGAAGACTAACTGATCTCCTGGCCTGCAAATGAAAGACAAAACACAATGAAACACATCAGGTTTTAGTCACCGTTATGAATGAGTCTCACGATCGGTCGTGTTTGAGAACATTGGCCCACGCGTTTCACTCCTGCTTCTACTTTATCACACACACACACACACACACGCATGCACAAACACACACACCAATCTGTGTGGGGGCAGGCTGGTGTCATGAGTGAAAGAGGTGGGCAGGCTACTACTGAGTGATGTACAAGCCTCACGAAGCTGTTAAAAAGCTGGGAGGGTGTATCCTGTCAAGATCCTTCTCAACCCATTATTTTTTTAACTAGCTGTTTTGTTTTTTAGGTTTTCCAATAAAATCTGTAGAGAAGATGCTGATGGGAGCTTGATTACTTCAGATAATAAAGGACTACGCAGCCTGCCGCCGTATCAAAAGGTCCTGCATGATCTTTTAACACTTGTAATATGTGTTGGGGATGACTCTTAACCATAATGACACTAAATTTTTGCTCTAACAGATGACACACAGAGTGGCTTCAGCCCTTTTGTGCACTTCAAGTTGCAGATGTGCATCCGATGATACATTTCTGAGAGTTTTATTGAAATTATCATTTGGTTGATGTGATATTGCCTCTAGCAGGCAGGTTGACGCCAACAGTTGAGGCTAAAGTTCTCATTCTCTGAAAAATTGTGTGATGCTATCTTATTTTTTTTAAACAGTCAGTCACTCTGAGTTGCATACGCATGCTGAATGTAAAGCATTTTCTTCAACCCTCATTGCCTGCATTAGCTGCAGAAAGCAAACAAACAGGAAAACGATGGAGCAGAAAAGCCGGTCTCCTCTAGGTCAAAGATAGGATTAATACTCATGGCACCGTCCATCTTGGCTTGCGACTGTGGAATGCTGTGTTGATTGTGTGGCCAGGAGAGAGCAGAGTGCATCTCGGCTACTAAAAGCTAACCACTAGCATTAGCTACTCTAATGGTAATATGGTAATAGTTGAGTAGTGCTCAGATGAGCTTGTTTCAGGAATTTGCAGAGTGTCAGAAGAGAGCTTAACACGACAGGATTTGGAATCATTTGGACATATCTCCTCTGATTGGATAACAGCAATGCGACTCTACCACTGAGTCTGTTTGCTCTGGCACATGGATATTTTATCTCCACAAATAACATAAGCCTGGTGGAGCTGTGGTGGAGTTGCTAATGCTAACAGTTAGCTTCTACTAGTCGGGATGTTCTCTGCTGTTTCCTGGATGCTAAAACCTCAACAGTCTTCCTCGTCTTGAGTCAAGATGGGTGAGTCCATGAATGTTAAGTGACAGTGTGATGTAGATCTGTTAGGCTTTTCTTAGAGTTTCACCGTCTATTTTCTATCAGAAGCTAATGCAGGCGATAGGTGTAGGAGACTATTTTCATGTTCAACCTATATGAAAAACTCAGAGTTACCGATTATAATCAGGAATAATCATATAAAAAATGTTTTGTCCGTGTTCCACACCTTATGTGACACTAGCTCAATACACAAGTGTAAGGGGATGTTCTTCGTCGGCACAGACTGAAGAGTGCGGGGGGTTCTAGAGTTGGGTTGCCAAGCCATTTGAGCCAAATCTTGCTGTTGCTTTAGCAACCCCAAGCTACTACCTGGCGCCTCCCATGGCTCAATATTTGTAAAATTGACTAAGTTAGTGACTTTTTGTGCTGGTTAGTTGGCCAGTGACTTGTAAGAGACTCTGCTAAAAGAGCAAGTTGATGTTAATCAACCTAATGGCAAACTGACACAGTTGATTGTGGTGGTCATCTGCATGTTTATTTCAAAAGTTATAGGTATACATCCACTGATCACTTTTACAGTTTCGCATTGTAGCATTAAGGATCGACTGCATATATATTAAATGATCAATAAGATGTGATATTTAATATAAATATGAAATATTAATCTGATTGGTTTTTGAATGTTTAATCAGAAGACTTTAGTTTTTTGACTTATTCAGGGAACACACACACTTCACATTAATTCAGACAGAGTCAAGAATATGGTTATAAAAATGAATTTAATTCTATTTTCCCAAACTAAATGATTGTACATGGCAAAATATGAATGAAATGATGGTTGTACAGCTAACAGATGATGAATGGAATGATGGAATGTAAGTTAGATGTTAAAGCAAAACCTTCTAAGTATCTGAGAGATCTTGTGATGTCTGGTTTGTGAAATTAATTTGGTTGTATGGTTTGATAAGCTAGAGATTATTATTAAAAACCATCCAATGCCATTTGTGCCGAGTCTATGCACCCTTGTGTGGAGGTCCCCAAGCGATCCAGTGGGTTGGCAACAGAATTCGTGAGTAGCTCTGATACGACCCATCTGGTCTAAGATACCTCCAGGTGACGGCAGGAAGCTGGAATGCTTATTTTGTGTCTGAGGCTGTTCGGTGGCAGTACATGCCTAAATGATTGCAAACAAGCATTACTTTTGTGTTTAAAGAGCAAGTAACGTCTAAATAAACTTTTTTTTTTCGCTGATGAGCTGTATAAATGAGTGTCTAATAGTGTTTTAAATGTGTGTAATCATTATTTTAGCATTTTGGTGCATTTTCTTTAAAAATTAGAAATTCTGCCTAAATACCACAGTATAGCGCCACCTTCAGCTTAAAACATAGAGTTTGAGTCATTTTGAATAAATTTTAGCCAATGGCTAAAGAGAAAGATACTACGTAAACCAGTAGAGTACTACGTAGCAGCTCTCTGTCAAAGTTATGAAAGCATCGAGAGTCTTGGCCACGCCTTGTGGCAAGTTGGGAGTTGGATTTGCAAGCGAGTGTAGGACAGTTAGCAGTAGATCAGCATTAGCATATAGCATTAGCATATCCTAATCTTTAGCATAGCTTTTAGTGTTATACATACTTATTTAGTGTTAGCTTGGCTGTTGGATATTGTAGTTTAGTTAGTGTTTGGCTGTTAGTGTAATTAGGAAAGTAGTTCGGGTTTAGTGCTCCATATCGTGTTAGTGTGGTGAGAAGGTGTAGTGTAGTGGGTTCGGTGGCTCTGTGGGGTTGCACTCCTTTCCGCTGGACTTAGAAATTAGGCGCCAGCGGTTGCGCGCAATCGGTGTCTGGAAAACAGTCAGCTCCCGCCTGGTGCTGTAGTTTGCAACCAGCATTTTACCCGCGATTCCTTCGCCAACATGATGGAGTTTGAACAGGGTTATTCTGCACGTCTCCGTTTGAAGAGGGAGGCCGTGCCCACCGTGGCTCTTCCGCGATTCAGATGCAGCCTACCGACTCTGCTCCCCCACCATGGCGGGCTCCAGTCTGAGGTGAGTAAGCTAAATAAAATTTTTAACATCTTCTAAAGACAATTCCCTACCTAAATGCAAAGTTTGAGAGACGTGGTTCACTTAATTTAGCTAACATCAGTCTGCACTGCCTTCGGGCTGATTTGTCAAAAATGTGGAACGAGATGTGGCCGACGAAACGGTCCACATGACTATTACTGTCTGGCTCAGAGAAAATTCAGGTTGTTTTTGTGTCAGTCCGCAATTCTGCAACAGTGGCTCTAGCTAACGCAGCACTAGTTGACATACATCATTACAGCGTGAAATCCAGCACAGCGTGACCCGGTTCTGTGAGGAATTCTGTTCAGGAGGTCGCATTTCAGGCTCTCTTCACATCATATGTGACTGACTTTTACGTTATAATAACGATCACACACTAGGAATGTTATAAAGTGCCTATATAGGACAGTTTCTTTTGTATATTATCTGACTTTATAAACTCCAACAACAACGTGCTTCAATTTTTTTTCAGGCTAAATCTATCCAAGACATTGGCTGTCAGACTGATTTAGTAGTCTGCAAGAACGCATTTGTCCAGGCTGACGTGAAGCCTTACCTGTAGCAAAGATGAATTATTTTTAATAATCTTCTAAACATTTTATTATCACGTTCTAGTTTTAATTTGTTTTACAGATTATTGTTACACGTGATTTTATGCTCTTTTAATCATTTATAAATGTGCTGCTTCTTTGTTTTTACATAGCCACCCAGAATAGAGCTCACAGCCGCAGTGTGTCTTGTGACACAGGGACCATGACGGAAATTCATCTTCCAGAAAGTCTGAGAGCAGCGTCCACACCCCTGAAAAGACCAAGATGTGAGGTGTCTGCTGTTGATTCCAGCTTCCACCTCAGTGACAGTGCAAGCTCAGTGAACTGTTCAAGGTAAAAAAAAATTAAAACATTTCAGAATTTTTAAGATATTAACAATTAAATATGTGATTACATCCTGACATCATGAAGGGGGCTACTGATTCTGGCCCTGTGACACTTGGTGGTGACGTGTGAGCTGATTCACCTGGTAAATAACTTTTACATTAAATATTTTGTTCTTTGCTATCAAAAGTAAATTAACTAATAACCAGCATTATTGCAGGACACTCAGCAAAATATCGACTCTACACCATGAGGCAGGCATGCGTTAATACTCTATAAGAGCACATAAGGTGAGCAACACCACATATTATTATTACTGTACACTGTCCTGGATTTGTTTTCTTTCTGCATCTCATCATTAGCCTGGCTGATCACCTGATAACTCCTGTCATCTGGTTATGACAGCATGAGGATGTCCTCACACACCTGTAACCTATCAGCTCATCTGGCAGAATAGAGAGAGAAGAGACAACACCACATATCCTGTTCCTGGAAAGCCTTCAGCCATCCTTCGATGACTGAGAACCTCCATCAGCTCTGTCTCCTGTCTGCCTACAATTATTATAATAAATATTGTGTTTGACAAGTTTTTTGTGCTGCCAAATGTCTCATTTTGATTCCAGTTTTGATATTTTAATGGATATTTATAAATTACATTGATTATCACATTTTAGTTGCATGTTTAACTAGCTCTATTGTGATGAATTAAACTAGCACCTCACTGTTAAAAGCTCGTTTTAATTTCAAGCATGTTTATGTATTTATGGACATGAACAAAAACAGGAAATATGTAAAATGAGATTTATTTAAATAATATAACAAATAAGGGGGAAAGAGTCATTGAAAGGCACATTCTTCTGGAAGCTCCTGATCCTGACGACGCCAGCAGAGGAGACCACCTGCAGACACCAGAGGATCACCTACAACCAAGAGCAGCTAGTATCAGTAAATAAATAATGAAATCAGGGCAGTATTAGTTGGCTGAACACATTACAGAATAATTTTCTCATGGGGTATTTTCATAACTTTCTATGCAGCAGACTGTAACTTGAGCCCAGGGCTCCTGGAGAGCTGCTATCCAGCACGTTTCAGTGGTTTTCCTGCTTTAACAGGTTAGATTAGCTGTTAACCAGCTCAGCTATTTGTTGCTGATTAAAACCAGGTGTGTTGAAGCAGATAAACCTCTAAAACATGCTGAATACTAGCTCTCTAGGGTCATGGAGCCAAACCCAGCAGCTAATCTAATGCTATGGCTAACGGCTACTTACCATTCAGAGCTGGTTCTGTTCAGTCGGTTCCGGTAGTTTCAGGCAACTCGCAAGCTCAAAACAATAATGCTCAGGTCCGCTTGTCTCCTCCAAATAGACTTGGTTCCTTTCTTCTCGAGTGTCTGGGTAAGGAGGGGGAGAAACTTCCTCCACTTCTAATGACTGCTCAGAGCGATGTGAGCTAGCATAGTCTTGTTACCCATCGTCTTCGTCACTGCCGCGGCTCCGCCCTCTCGGTCCGCCAGGCAACACCTACTAATGTTGCAGTTTTAAAAATTGATACGTGGGTGGAGAAGGACTCTGAGGCACACTTGACCTGCTCTTTAAGTAAGACCGTACCAACGGATGGCCATTAGGGTCAAAAATCCCTGGGAGCACAACCTCCAGCAAAATAACAAGAACATCAGATTCCCTTTCACCACTGGCAACAAGTGAATAGGTACATGTGTAAAGCAACAACGTTTATTAATTGTGAAAGCTAATGCAGGCGATAGGTGTAGGAGACTATTTTCATGTTCAACCTATATGAAAAACTCAGAGTTACCGATTATAATCAGGAATAATCATATAAAAAATGTTTTGTCCGTGTTCCACACCTTATGTGACACTAGCTCAATACACAAGTGTAAGGGGATGTTCTTCGTCGGCACAGACTGAAGAGTGCGGGGGGTTCTAGAGTTGGGTTGCTAAGCCATTTGAGCCAAATCTTGCTGTTGCTTTAGCAACCCCAAGCTACTACCTGGCGCCTCCCATGGCTCAATATTTGTAAAATTGACTAAGTTAGTGACTTTTTGTGCTGGTTAGTTGGCCAGTGACTTGTAAGAGACTCTGCTAAAAGAGCAAGTTGATGTTAATCAACCTAATGGCAAACTGACACAGTTGATTGTGGTGGTCATCTGCATGTTTATTTCAAAAGTTATAGGTATACATCCACTGATCACTTTTACAGTTTCGCATTGTAGCATTAAGGATCGACTGCATATATATTAAATGATCAATAAGATGTGATGTTTAATATAAATATGAAATATTAATCTGATTGGTTTTTGAATGTTTAATCAGAAGACTTTAGTTTTTTGACTTATTCAGGGAACACACACACTTCACATTAATTCAGACAGAGTCAAGAATATAGTTATAAAAATGAATTTAATTCTATTTTCCCAAACTAAATGATTGTACATGGCAAAATATGAATGAAATGATGGTTGTACAGCTAACAGATGATGAATGGAATGATGGAATGTAAGTTAGATGTTAAAGCAAAACCTTCTAAGTATCTGAGAGATCTTGTGATGTCTGGTTTGTGAAATTAATTTGGCTGTATGGTTTGATAAGCTAGAGATTATTATTAAAAACCATCCAATGCCATTTGTGCCGAGTCTATGCACCCTTGTGTGGAGGTCCCCAAGCGATCCAGTGGGTTGGCAACAGAACTCGTGAGTAGCTCTGATACGACCCATCTGGTCTAAGATACCTCCAGGTGACGGCAGGAAGCTGGAATGCTTATTTTGTGTCTGAGGCTGTTCGGTGGCAGTACATACCTAAATGATTGCAAACAAGCATTACTTTTGTGTTTAAAGAGCAAGTAACGTCTAAATAAACTTTTTTTTTTCGCTGATGAGCTGTATAAATGAGTGTCTAATAGTGTTTTAAATGTGTGTAATCATTATTTTAGCATTTGGTGCATTTTCTTTAAAAATTAGAAATTCTGCCTAAATACCACAGTATAGCGCCACCTTCAGCTTAAAACATAGAGTTTGAGTCATTTTGAATAAATTTTAGCCAATGGCTAAAGAGAAAGATACTACGTAAACCAGTAGAGTACTACGTAGCAGCTCTCTGTCAAAGTTATGAAAGCATCGAGAGTCTCGGCCACGCCTTGTGGCAAGTTGGGAGTTGGATTTGCAAGCGAGTGTAGGACAGTTAGCAGTAGATCAGCATTAGCATATAGCATTAGCATATCCTAATCTTTAGCATAGCTTTTAGTGTTATACATACTTATTTAGTGTTAGCTTGGCTGTTGGATATTGTAGTTTAGTTAGTGTTTGGCTGTTAGTGTAATTAGGAAAGTAGTTCGGGTTTAGTGCTCCATATCGTGTTAGTGTGGTGAGAAGGTGTAGTGTAGTGGGTTCGGTGGCTCTGTGGGGTTGCACTCCTTTCCGCTGGACTTAGAAATTAGGCGCCAGCGGTTGCGCGCAATCGGTGTCTGGAAAACAGTCAGCTCCCGCCTGGTGCTGTAGTTTGCAACCAGCATTTTACCCGCGATTCCTTCGCCAACATGATGGAGTTTGAACAGGGTTATTCTGCACGTCTCCGTTTGAAGAGGGAGGCCGTGCCCACCGTGGCTCTTCCGCGATTCAGATGCAGCCTACCGACTCTGCTCCCCCACCATGGCGGGCTCCAGTCTGAGGTGAGTAAGCTAAATAAAATTTTTAACATCTTCTAAAGACAATTCCCTACCTAAATGCAAAGTTTGAGAGACGTGGTTCACTTAATTTAGCTAACATCAGTCTGCACTGCCTTCGGGCTGATTTGTCAAAAATGTGGAACGAGATGTGGCCGACGAAACGGTCCACATGACTATTACTGTCTGGCTCAGAGAAAATTCAGGTTGTTTTTGTGTCAGTCCGCAATTCTGCAACAGTGGCTCTAGCTAACGCAGCACTAGTTGACATACATCATTACAGCGTGAAATCCAGCACAGCGTGACCCGGTTCTGTGAGGAATTCTGTTCAGGAGGTCGCATTTCAGGCTCTCTTCACATCATATGTGACTGACTTTTACGTTATAATAACGATCACACACTAGGAATGTTATAAAGTGCCTATATAGGACAGTTTCTTTTGTATATTATCTGACTTTATAAACTCCAACAACAACGTGCTTCAATTTTTTTTCAGGCTAAATCTATCCAAGACATTGGCTGTCAGACTGATTTAGTAGTCTGCAAGAACGCATTTGTCCAGGCTGACGTGAAGCCTTACCTGTAGCAAAGATGAATTATTTTTAATAATCTTCTAAACATTTTATTATCACGTTCTAGTTTTAATTTGTTTTACAGATGATTGTTACACGTGATTTTATGCTCTTTTAATCATTTATAAATGTGCTGCTTCTTTGTTTTTACATAGCCACCCAGAATAGAGCTCACAGCCGCAGTGTGTCTTGTGACACAGGGACCATGACGGAAATTCATCTTCCAGAAAGTCTGAGAGCAGCGTCCACACCCCTGAAAAGACCAAGATGTGAGGTGTCTGCTGTTGATTCCAGCTTCCACCTCAGTGACAGTGCAAGCTCAGTGAACTGTTCAAGGTAAAAAAAAAATTAAAAAATTTCAGAATTTTTAAGATATTAACAATTAAATATGTGATTACATCCTGACATCATGAAGGGGGCTACTGATTCTGGCCCTGTGACACTTGGTGGTGACGTGTGAGCTGATTCACCTGGTAAATAACTTTTACATTAAATATTTTGTTCTTTGCTATCAAAAGTAAATTAACTAATAACCAGCATTATTGCAGGACACTCAGCAAAATATCGACTCTACACCATGAGGCAGGCATGCGTTAATACTCTATAAGAGCACATAAGGTGAGCAACACCACATATTATTATTACTGTACACTGTCCTGGATTTGTTTTCTTTCTGCATCTCATCATTAGCCTGGCTGATCACCTGATAACTCCTGTCATCTGGTTATGACAGCATGAGGATGTCCTCACACACCTGTAACCTATCAGCTCATCTGGCAGAATAGAGAGAGAAGAGACAACACCACATATCCTGTTCCTGGAAAGCCTTCAGCCATCCTTCGATGACTGAGAACCTCCATCAGCTCTGTCTCCTGTCTGCCTACAATTATTATAATAAATATTGTGTTTGACAAGTTTTTTGTGCTGCCAAATGTCTCATTTTGATTCCAGTTTTGATATTTTAATGGATATTTATAAATTACATTGATTATCACATTTTAGTTGCATGTTTAACTAGCTCTATTGTGATGAATTAAACTAGCACCTCACTGTTAAAAGCTCGTTTTAATTTCAAGCATGTTTATGTATTTATGGACATGAACAAAAACAGGAAATATGTAAAATGAGATTTATTTAAATAATATAACAAATAAGGGGGAAAGAGTCATTGAAAGGCACATTCTTCTGGAAGCTCCTGATCCTGACGACGCCAGCAGAGGAGACCACCTGCAGACACCAGAGGATCACCTACAACCAAGAGCAGCTAGTATCAGTAAATAAATAATGAAATCAGGGCAGTATTAGTTGGCTGAACACATTACAGAATAATTTTCTCATGGGGTATTTTCATAACTTTCTATGCAGCAGACTGTAACTTGAGCCCAGGGCTCCTGGAGAGCTGCTATCCAGCACGTTTCAGTGGTTTTCCTGCTTTAACAGGTTAGATTAGCTGTTAACCAGCTCAGCTATTTGTTGCTGATTAAAACCAGGTGTGTTGAAGCAGATAAACCTCTAAAACATGCTGAATACTAGCTCTCTAGGGCCATGGAGCCAAACCCAGCAGCTAATCTAATGCTATGGCTAACGGCTACTTACCATTCAGAGCTGGTTCTGTTCAGTCGGTTCCGGTAGTTTCAGGCAACTCGCAAGCTCAAAACAATAATGCTCAGGTCCGCTTGTCTCCTCCAAATAGACTTGGTTCCTTTCTTCTCGAGTGTCTGGGTAAGGAGGGGGAGAAACTTCCTCCACTTCTAATGACTGCTCAGAGCGATGTGAGCTAGCATAGTCTTGTTACCCATCGTCTTCGTCACTGCCGCGGCTCCGCCCTCTCGGTCTGCCAGGCAACACCTACTAATGTTGCAGTTTTAAAAATTGATACGTGGGTGGAGAAGGACTCTGAGGCACACTTGACCTGCTCTTTAAGTAAGACCGTACCAACGGATGGCCATTAGGGTCAAAAATCCCTGGGAGCACAACCTCCAGCAAAATAACAAGAACATCAGATTCCCTTTCACCACTGGCAACAAGTGAATAGGTACATGTGTAAAGCAACAACGTTTATTAATTGTGAAAGTTTTGTAACCATTTGTTACAAATCAGTAAATGCATTTTGTCCTCATGGGTTTCCGTAGAAGAAAAAATGGTATCCAGTATAGTGTCACCCAGAGACTTAGACCCGTTCCTATGTATTTTAGAACAGGTATTTATGGTTAAATGTTATGAAACCACCACTATTTTTCGTCAACTGGGCATCTTTTAATTCTTTTACAACAACAATTCTATGGACATTTCTAGAGATTAATGGTAAAAACTACACAATGTCACTTTAAAGAGCTGCTGTGTTTGATATCACCTGCAAGCGTTGCAGAGCAATGTTTTGACCTGAGGTCAAAAGAAAGGATGGTTTCAAATGCATGCTCACCGGTTTGGCCGAACCAGGAGGCAGCTGGAGAACTGCTTAGATCAGGAATTGATCCAGCTTATATTAATTCTTGTTTACAAATTTAGCACCTCCAAATCTGAGACCATGGTTCTCGACCGGAAAAGGGTGGCTTGCCAACTCCGGGTCGGGAGAGAGGTCTTACCTCAAGTGGAGGAGTTGAACATCAAATCAACAAATACTAATCTGGTGTAATTTAAGGTCTGAAATGAAACATTACAGCATTTATATTCCTTTGAACACATCACCGATTAATGCACACACCACATATGTATACACTTTGGATTTAAACACATTGTAAGAATGTAATTTATGAATCAAGGAAGATGAACTTTATTCAGAAAGTGGTGGTCTCGTCTTCTGGATGAGACCTTGAGCAAAGATATTATGGCTTCCTTGTTCGGTAACAAGGCCTTGTGCAGTGCTTTCTTGTTTGGAGGCCAGACAGATGGGGTGTTTGGTCTCAAAATTAAAACGTTAATTTCAGGTCATTGGTGATGTAAATAGTGGCCTTTGGGGTATGCTACAGCATAAATCCAGCCAGTGATTCCAGATAGGACCGTAAATATTTGAAAAGAAATATTAAATAGCTTTTTTTTGTCAGAGATAAATCCATCCATCCATTTTCTTTACCCGCTGATCCACGTAAGGTCGCGGGAGACTGGTGCCTACCTCCAGCAGTCTTCGGGCAAGCAGGCGGGGTACACCTTAGACAGGTTGCCAGTCCATCACAGAATCTGAGAGATATTATGAGAAAATTCATGGGAATCCATTCAACAGCTGCTCACTGACAATGATGAATCTTAATGGAAGTGCTAAAATGTCCCTGAGCATCACCAGTCAGTAGTATTCATCCACTGATGATGACAGTTGGTGCAATTTTTTTTTTTTTGATAATCCTCAAAAAAATCCTACCAGGCTATAATTGGAGAATAATCAGTTTTGGTGGAAAGCTTGGCGCTGATCCATTCAGTCATCTGTTTCATCAGCCAAATCGGTCTGGTGCTGTTCCTCCTAGCCCAGTTCCATCTGCTGACAGTGAATTCCCATACACAGATTGCTTTCAACACTAGTGTTTCTCTAATAATTTGTGTGTATCTTCGTACTTTCAGACAGGAAGCTTTGCCCTAAGCTCTCATAGCTTTTCTAATTTATTTTCAATAGCCTCCAAGGAATTCATTTAGTTGCAGTTCACCCTATCCTATCAACAAAATGCAGCAAAGCGGATGCACAGTAGGAACACTTTATTTGATTTTTGTAATCTGCCACACCATTGAGATGTTGACCTGTCCTGCAGAAATAATTGCTATTATCTTCTCTTTTAAATCAAGCTCTGGGGCTTATCTTCAGCTGGAGCGCTGTCTAACTTCCAGGCCATTCTGACCACAAGAGGTCAGTCAATAGAAGAAAAAGCTTCAATGCTATTGGATTGCTAATTTAACACAACATTTTCATAAAATAAATTAGCAAGCATCCATCCATCCATCCATCCGTCCATCCGTCCATCCATCCGTCCATCCGTCCATCCATCCATCTGTCCATCCGTCCATCCATCCGTCCGTCCGTCCACCCAATAACATTCTTATAAGAGACAAACAAAAATGCACAAGCATCATTGCATCTTGATTTAGTGTGAAAAGATCTAAAACATTTACACATCAGTCACTTTCAACATTTTTCCTCCTTTTTGAAGTTTCTCTAAAAACATCCATCACCTCAACAAGCAAAGGCACAAATCCAAGCACCCATAATTTGGCTGAGACCTCACAGAACAAGAGAGTCACTGTTTTTGGACACAGTTTTACAAAAATTTTGGTTTCTTCTTGTTACTCATAAAACGGCCCATGCACACACTGAAGAGCATCGTGTTGTCTTTCTGTTTGTGGTTTATACGCATGCTCAGTCATGCACCGCCCCTAACGGTCCCCTTGCAGAAGAAAGCTTAAGAGAGCTCAGCGGAGAACAAAAGCACAAAAGGTTATAAACCTGCTCCAGGAGAAAAACAGTGGACACAAATGCGCCAACTTGGCACAGAGAAAGGCCACCCACTATTCAATGGCATGATAAAATTTCACCTTAAGAGAAACTGTCTATTAACTCCTGTTTTATTTGTGGGGAAAAACTAAAATTAATTTCCTAGCCATGAAACCATAGTATCTTTTCTTTTCTTTCTCTGACTAAATTAGATTTATTGAGTGATAGAAGAAGGCCTTCCTTACATAATAACGTTTTAGTGGACTGGTTGCTGCCAGCCCAGGTACAAATGCACAAGCCTGTAGCTATTGCAACCTCCTAATAGTTAGCGTATTGAATTACTGATGTGGAAGACAATGCAAAATTTTACTTAGAGATCTGTTTTGGTTCAAAAGGAAGTCATGTTTCAGTGAAGATTATTGTGTTAAAACCTGAGGCACATGCAGCATTAGATTAGATAAATTAGGTTTTCAATTAGAGTGCATGATTTATTATTTTCGATTACCTTCATTTTCTTTTCCCTCACATTGTCTTTCTATAATTTCTATAATACACAAAGGTGTACTTTTGGATTAGATGCTTTTCTTTGTATGAAACCAAATAAAACCAGTTCATCTGATTTTTAGAATTTCTTTAACATTTGTGTAAAATGATGCAAGAGTTAAGCTTTGTTCACAGTGAATAGCACATTTTCCTTTTTAACTCGTTATCTTTGTTTAGTCATGCACACTTCCTTGGGAAATACTTCAGGGGTGGTATGTAGTTACACTGTAACCAGGGTTGTGCTGAGAACAGCAGAGTGGCATTCAAGGTAGCTTTAGCTCTCACCCCAGTGCTGCGTTCATAGACAATCAGAAAATGACTATCCTGATAGAACGGAATAGTAGCACGTTTTTTAAATACCGGTACGTGAAATACAATTAACCCATTTCATATAATTTATTTAAAACATTCATGTAGACGCCTCCTAATATACGGATATGGATAATATTTTTTATTTCAGCATTCTTGTATCATTGGAGTGAACAAACACAAATAAAAGCGTGAGATTTTCGCTCTTTGCTGCTTTTGCGCTGCCCGAAAGCAGAGTCTCTAAAATACGAGTTACACGCGGATGCACCACACTGGTGACTGGACAGCCTGGAAGCAACAAGCTCAGCTGGACTAACGCCCACCGACGCAGTGGCGCAAAGTTGTCGGTGTTCAGAAGGAAAACAGCAGAAACAGGAGCTGTTTATTCCTACAGCAGCGTAGCGTGGTAAGTATCCTGTTAGCCCTGAGGTTTAGACGTTATCGATGCAACTGGGGAAGATTTGATTGAACTTTCTCCTGCGCATCCACATTGCGCAGGTGGCAATAACATTTTCCAGGATGCTCGGCGTCGTGTTTTTCCATCCTGAGGAAGTGTGGGTGAAAGTCCGTCCGAGATCGTAGAACGTTTTTTTTTCTTGTTGTATTTGAAGCTTATCTCGGTGAAAAAAGACGCGCAGTGGACAAAGTCCAAAATGTCTGAGACAGGATCATTCTGTAAGGAAACCATGTTGTTTCCAGAAAAAAACAAAACACAACAGAACAGTGAAGGGAGACCTTTTAAAAGAGAAAACCATACAGTATAATTAACTAAATGGTGTTTAATGATAATAATTAAGATTAATGTCATAATAATAGCCCCCATGTGGAACCTGGAACCCCCCATGTGTGCAGGACACACAAACCACCACGGAGCTCAGCAGAAACAGTTTCATTGTGTTTAACAACTTTTAAACACGTGTTGTTTATTGTTTACTGCCTTTCATTTGTCTTGCTGTTTACCAATAGCAGTGTTTTGGTGCATCAGGACCACCGTATGCTCGTGTACTTTTTTATATTGTGACTCAAAACACTACTTCAAAAGTTACTTAAGAAACAAACTGAACTGGAATAAAGTGAACATAGTATGCAAAACTTATTTTCTGCATCCTTCTGTGCTGAAATGGGTCTCCACTCCCTCTACACACCAAAGTGAATAAAAACCATCCATCTGTTTTCTGTCTGGGTTTCATTATAGGAATTATGCCTAAAACAAGCCTTTCTTTATTGAGATGACACATTATGGGAAATTAGCATAAAACCTCCCACTCATCTGTTGATGCTGCAGGAGCAGCAACTGTAGCCTATTCTGTGCTCCTCATATCTGAACATATAGGGAGCATAAGTCTCGCCCATCCATGGAGTAATTTTCACTTTAGAAGTGTGTGTGTGTGTGTGTGTGGGTGGGGGGTGGGGTGGGGGGGGGGTGTCCTTACAGTATGCTAACGGGAAACAGGCTTCAACACAAACGGTTGTTTTCCGCTTGGTCCTAGAGCTCAACCAGTGTCAATTTAATATAGCGTAATATTGTTTTTGGATGGCAAAAAGTGCTAGGGTCAAAACTTGAGTGTGGAAAATGTGGGGAGGGGTCATGTCCCCCCCATTCCCCCCACAAATGATGTCCATGCGCCCACCTACTTCTGGACCATGGGTCCCCGGAAGAACAAAAAAATGAATGCAAGTCAGTGGAGCTAAAATGTTTTTTTTTCTAATTCTGTTGTTATGTGCCATGGATTTCACATATGATGTCCGTGAATTTCAAAGAAGCATTTTTGATACCAAGAACACACTTAATTTTGCACGGGGGAAAAGCTATTTTAGGTTTTGTGTGAAAAAAGGTCCAGGACTACAAATGCGCTTCACAAAAGTGACGTCATCGAAACAGACACGGAGAAAAACAGAGGGAAAATGTCTGTAAGTTCAACAAACTTCAAAGCCTTCCTTCAGGAGGAAAAAAAAACACCATAAATCCGGCCATTTGGTAAGTAGCAGCTACGCTTAGAGAGAGGAGATTCTGGTGACGTCACATATGTGACATGCCAATGTCTTGTTTGTAGTTGTGCTAATTACGAACTTTTACAAGCTGATAAATCTCTTAAGTACATGACTGGCGTGGTCGAAACACCCACCATAAGTTTTCATTTAAAATGCAGTACAACATATGTGATCCAGGGCCTAAAGCAGAGCGGATTAGCGAAATGCTCTTTTAGCCCCGTTGACTTGCATTCTTTTTTTCGTTCTTCCGAGGATCCATGGTGCGAAAGTGACTTTGGCTCCATATAGCAAATCAGGGTTTGAGTGGGCGGGGCCAGCAACAACTCTGTCAGATACTGAAAAGGTTGAGAAGAAAGCTGCTAAAATCACTTTATGTGAAACTTTTTGAACAGTTGTCATTGACCATAGAACTATTACAACCTAAAGTATTTTGTCCCTTTAATTGGTCAGTTTACCACTTATTTAAAAGTAGACAAAATTACTTGTTTATGTGTTTACAGAGCGTTTGAAGTGGGTTTCACTGGAAAGGCGAATAATTAATTTAAAACTTGTTGTAGATTGCACTTTTAACAACATCAATCTGGAGAAATATGGTTCTTGTGTAACAGACATGGTAGTTTTGATGGGACCTGCTAAAATGATTCCAGTTTCAAAAATTCCATTTTAGTTTGTGATGCAAATGCTGTTTTCTAACCTTTGCATAGCCATAAGTGTCACAAGTCATGTGTATTTTAGAAAGGCCTTCGGAAGGGCTACAGCGGTTAGCTCTGAAGCTATTTTCCTTTGTGAATAACAGCAGCAACGAACCACTCAGTGTAGTTTGTGGTACTGTTAAAGTTGGTGAAATAGCAGAAGCTGCCATGATGTTTTTGTGATTGCAGTTGTTTTAAAATGTGTGGAAAACCGATTAAACATTTTTAAAATCTTATTTTTGATTATAATTCGGTCATTCTGAGTTTTTCGTGAAACACGAAAATAGTCTCCTACACCTATCTCCTGCATTAGCTTTTGATAGAAAATAGATGATCAAACTCAAATCAAGGATTTGAAATGCCCGACAGATCTACGTCACAGTGACTCTTAACATTCATGGACTCACCCATCTTGACTCGCAACAGGGAAAGTTGTTGGTTTAGCGTCCAGGAAACCGTAGAGAATGTCTTGTCTAGTAGAAGCTAACCATTAGCATTAGCTACTCCACCACACAGCAGAACTCCTTTAAAATTGTGTTTTTTGTGGAGATAAAACATCAACGTTGCAAGTCTGTGGTAGAGTTGTGTTGCTGTTGTCCAATCTGAGGCGAGATGTCCAAATATCAGCTCAGCTGTGATGTGGCTCACTTCTAGTTCCTGGAAATGGTGCATCCGTGTCTCAACCCCCCCATCCACCGGGCACGACATACAAGGCATTCATTCCTATTAGAGGCCACTGCAAATGTATTGATTAAACGAGTGTCCCACAACTTTAGGACAGCAGAAACGCTCTTGGAACTACCTCCAGGCTAGCCATTAGCTTGTCCTCTCAGAACTAATCTCTATTTCTACTAACCGAAGCCATTCAAAGAGCTACCTGCAACAGGTAAAGCAATAATTATTTATTATCTTTTTAAAGAAGCACACAAAGATGCTTAATGAAAGAAGGAATGAAGTTTGTTTCAGCACTTCATCCATATTAATCCTTATTAAAATTCAATATTATTCCAATGCTTCCTCTTCCTTCGGAATAGTTCATTACTTCTTTAGGTGCTGCTGCGGATCCTGAGGAGTTTTCAGCACCGTACACTATACACGTACGTTATAGATCCGTTTCATGGACCCAGTCCATGTTCTTGTATTTACAGAACCTGAAACTGCACTTTCACTCAATTAAGTATTCAAAAGGTTCGTATTTATTCTAGACAATTAATAATTAGGAGCTGCAAGCTTTTTGTTTATATACCACTAGTCGACTGTAATATAAACACTGGGAACGGCAACAAGAGAGGCCACGTATCAGGAGGATATCAGCTGTTCTTTCATGTAAAAAATAGGGCTCGACTGATATGCTTTTTTGTGGCCGATACCGATATAAAACTTCTAACAAAGGCCGATAGCCAATATAATGGCCGATAAATCTCCCTCACAAAAAAAAAGCAATAAAAATTTTCTTAAACTTAAACCCTTCATTCTCTGCATTTTTGGTGCAAACTTATTTCTCTATTACACACCAAAGAACTGTCTCAATGACTCACTAGGGTTTCCAAGTAATGCAAAAAAGATTTATTTAGCAGATCTCAAAAACAACAGAACACACAAACTCAGTCAGAGCATAAATCTATCAGTCAAGTTTTTTCTTGTAAACTGTGGTTTACACAAATACATTTTAACTTAAAGGAATATTCCACCACTCAGTAAAATTGTGTCTTGTTAAGATTCCCCAGAGTTAGACAAGTCAGAAAAAGCATTTTATAACCAGCCCAATACGATCTGGCAGCAGTTGGTTTTCTTAGTTTAGCATAAAACAATGTAAGTGAATTAATATACATTGTAGTGTTAATTTTTTTAATGTAGGTGAATGCAAGCCTTCCCTTCCATTGCTTTATGCTAAAACAACTGGTTACAAAATGTTTTTTTCTGACTTGGCTAACTGGGGAATCTAACAACACACACAAGTTTAGGGGCAGAAGATCCCTATAAGAATATTAAAATAATAAAAATGCAGCAATAAATAAAACGTAATACTTGTGCTTTGTAACAAAGTAACGCTCTGTGGAAGTTAACTTGGTGAACTTATTCACCCTGGACAGGAAATAATTGCACATAAGAAACATAAATAAGAATAAATAAAAAAAAATGTTCCAAAACAATAATTTGTGTTCAAAGTTCAAAGGGGTGGAGCCACACAACATGAGTTCATAAAGCTGGCGCCATCTGCTGGATAGGTAGCGCAATATCGGCCATATCAGCCGTCTTTTTGGCCGATAGCCGATACTGTTAATGACCCCAAAATCGGCCGATAATATCGGCTGGCCGATAATATCGGTCGGGCCCTAGTAAAAAAATCCAATGTTGTCATGGTTACTGATCCTATAATATTAAATATATGTGCATAAAGTTACAGCAGAAATAGATCAGGTAGCACATCATTTAAAAATATTGGTTGTTGAAAATAAAGCACAAAATAAAGAAGATTTGCTGCAACTAGTGTGGACACTATTCTTCAGATAACGATGCAAACACAAAAACATTAAAACATCATGCATGTTTCTGTAATATTGCTGCTCTTTTCTGTATTTATTGATTTAATTGCAACAAAACCAAATTAAATCTGTTCTTTCAGAACTGAGCTGGAGGTGAGAAGATGTCCGCGGTATATAAAGAGGATCAGGAGGACTGGTTGACTGTTTGTCTCAAATATCTGCTTTTTGTTTTCAACTTTCTCTTTTGGGTAAGTGACCTTTAGGAAGAAATAATCTCAGCTTTACGCCTAAGACACAGTGTATAACGTTTTGAAACTGCAGCTTGAAAAACAAAAAAGAGAGTTTAGGAGTTGTGGAAGATGGATTCGAGTTTTTAAAATGTGAAAAGGCAGACCTGGACGGCACCATGTCACTGCAGTTTACTGCTATAGTCAGGATAATGTGGAACATTTTCAGAATTCTCCATGGAAAGAAGAGGAGAGGTTAAAAAAAGGAGTAATTTCCTTCTTAGTCCCTGCTGCTTGCTTAAGCATGCACTTATTTTTTAGAGAAGAAACATCAGTCTCTGTGTCCTTTGGTCGGTGCCTTCCTGGTTTGGCTCACTTCTCAGTGGATCTAGTTTTAGACGGAAAGGGGGAGGAAAATATTCTCTTCAGGCATTTCCTATTTGCCTGCATGTGAACGTCATGAGATGTGAAGAACAGGTCAGTTACTCAGAAGTGTTTGTGAGGAAGAAGTCATTATGTCCTGGCTTGATCTCTGATGTCCCAACTCTCATGTGGCTGGTTTTTGTGCCATTTTTTCTTCTTTCCTCTCTTCTTTCCAGCCTCTTTTATGCCCTTTCCCTAGTTTGCCGCTGTCCTCTTTTGTCATGTTTTACACCAGTGACTCATGTCACATTGAACTGACCCCTCTCTGAAAAGTGCTTTCTTATTTCATGCTGGGTTTTGTCCTTTTATTTTCGGAGCTCGTTTGTGAACTTTGTGTTTAGTGTGTTTTACATCTCACCTTTTCTTCCGCAGGTGGGTGGAGCTGCCGTCTTGGGAGTAGGAATCTGGACCCTGGTGGAGAAGAGTGACTACTTAAGTCTGCTGGCCTCCAGTACCTTCGCTGTCTCAGCATATATTCTCATCCTGGCTGGCAGCTTGGTTGTAGTTACTGGTTTCTTAGGCTGCTGTGCTGTCATCCGGGAACAGAGAAGCTGTCTGTCAACGGTGAGCTCAGAGTGACAGAGTGGCTGTTTGTGACTTTTTTGTAGTGGTAAAGGTGTCCGCAGTCACCAGATCTCAATCCAGCCCAGAAACTTTAGGATAGGAGATTCACTCCACGGGTGTAACTGGGTGACGGTAATACCAAAATAGACCAGAGCCACCTTGTTGATCTTTGACAAAAAAAAAAAAAGGCAGTTCTGTGGGCAATAACAGGTCCAGCATGGTACTAGCAAGGTGCACCTAATGAAGTGACCAGAGCATGCATAGATGACTGAAAAAACATTATTTTAATGGTTATTTCTGATTATAGTCGGTCAATAGGTTTGTCATGCAGGCTACGCCTATCTCCTGCATTAGCTTCTGATAGAAAATAGACAGTGAAACGCTAGGAAACGAAAAGCCTGACATCGTGACATCACACCGTCACTTACGCTCATGGACTCGCCCATCTTGACTCGCGACGGGGAAAGCTGTTGTTGGTTTAGCATCCAGGAAACAGCAGAATGTCTCGACTAGTAAAAGCTAACCGTTAGCATTAGCAGGCTTGTGTTATATGTGGAGATAAAATAATGTTGCAAAGCAAATGGAGTCCGTGGTAGAGTCACGTTACTGTTGTCCAGTCAGAGGAGAGATGTCCGCATATCATGAAACAAGACTCCAAATCCTGCCTTGATCTTCCACTATCTTCTCCACGCTGATACAGATACTTCTGGGCTTGTTTTTACCTCGAGTACCACTTACAAGGCATTCGTTCCTAGGGACCACTGCAAATGTATTGAATAAACAAGTTCAACACCTTTAATACATGCTAGCTAAAGGGATTAGTCTTTGGGAATCTTGAACAATTGTATGTTTATGGGTGAATAGGAATTCATTTTCTCCATATTTTTCATTTTTTTATCACAAAGCAGATAATTAATATTAGAACAGGGAATTTGTGGCTTCTCCAGACAGTTGTCAAGGGTTAGTAGTTCAGTTCATGGTTCCCCAAGAGAATAAAGCACAAATTGCTGCTGCAAAGATCATGAAGTGTTGGATGTGTCTGAACTGAGTGAATGCGGTTTGTGGTGTAAAGTGCTCTGGTAGTCAACAGGACTATTAATCCCATTAGAACTGAAGTCTATTCACTATGTGGTCCATTTAAATGTGCTTCAGGCAGCAAGATTAATGAGGGTCTTTATACTCAGTGACATTTTCACATGTAGTAAAGATGTAGAATGCCTGTTTACTTTATGTTAAATGTCTTTGTTTCATATGTGCTAGTGGGTGTTCTCCAAGATGTTTGTTTACAAAAACGTACAGAGACCAGTGTTTTGATGCACATCGGCGTCAGTTTTGGATGCCATCAGCTTGCTCACTAATGCAACATTTGCTGCAGGTGCATAACACCAATCCAGGAATTTAACATGTATCTGATTTGTGCCAAACCTGGTTTTAAGGTGTGTCATGAGACGATGACGGATGACTCCGACGTGGCCATTACCGTCCTCATTATTTTACAGGGACATGGCTCACTAGGGGAAAAGAGCAGGTGGGAGGTGAATGTTCTCTGCTGCAGGGCTATTTATAGCTCTGCCTATCAACTGTTGGTGGATGCAGGAAGAAAATAAAAGCAAAGGGCTTGCAAGAGCTGAGAGGTGGATGTATGGTGGATTTGGGATCTGCAGTACAGTTAGTAGTGCAAATGGCATTGATGTGGTATTAGATCAGTTCGAGAAATTAATAAGTGCATTTAAAGGCCGTGATTTATGGACCGCGAGACTATTTTTTAGTCTTACGGCAGAGCAGGATGTGTTTCTGCATAACAAAATGACTGAGTAGTGATAGTAGGAATCCACAGATGCACCAAAACCTTGCTCTTTTCCCACTAAGAGAATGAAGTCTTCACTCTTCACATAATCAGTTTAAAGTTCATTTAGATTTTTACAGACGCATGTTGTGGTTATGACTAAAGCAAACCGGTGAAATCTCCATTTTAGTATTTATTTGGTGTTTATTTGCATTGTCCACTCATGCACGTTTTAACTAATGATGAGCTTTATTTGTTGAAAGAGCAGCCGCCAGCCTCCTCCATCCATTTTATTAGTAACACGCTGTAATTTTTAAGATTATACCTCATCAGTGTGCGTTTGGTTGTCCCTCAGGACTCAGACAAACAGTTCTACACCTTGAAAGAAACATTTTTGTGTTTGTTCAATATTCTTTTATTGTAGTCTTCCCCTGCAGCTGTTCCCCGCCAACAGGCATCTCTTTGTTTGTTGTTTATTTGGGGGTAGAAGCATCTGTCTCTCTGGTGGATTTTAAAGCAGCATGATGGTGCTGTGGTCTCACTGTTTTGTCTCACTCTGACATCTGGGTCCAATTAGTTCTGTCTTACAAGGCACACGCCTTGTTTGTGATGGGTGTTGGAACAATTAAATGCAGCAGAAAAACTTATAAAAACTGTTTTCTATTTGGCTCATTAGACTTTTAGAATGAGCAGTCTTTATTCTAACCTTTATTTTAGCATTATGGATGAATCTTAAAACTCTGAGCTGTTTGCTTTTGTGTGTCACATTTGTTTTAGCTCCTTCCTTTAGTGGTTAATTATAGTAACACGACACCTTGTTCTTGTTTTCTTTTTTGACTGACAGCCAAAAATCATCATTTTAATGATTTCAAGTCGACTATAATGAGTTTTAAATTTCACATCGGATTCCTCAGGCTGTCACATTATTTTTCTGGTTGTCTGATTTCTCTGCTGCATTCCCACCTGTGTTAGACGTGATATACGCAGCAGAGGGGCAGATGATGGAAATGTATATTTAGCCATCTCAATTTTAAGCAGCTTGAGGGGCAAGGAGTTAGTTTAAGTGACAACTGCATTGATGATTAAGGAGCTAAAATGTCTAAATGAATCCACGCCTTGATTCTTCTGTCTCATTTCTCCTCTGCAGTATTTCTTCTTCCTGTTGCTGATCTTCCTGATTGAGCTGGTAGCTGGAGTACTGGCTTATGTGTATTATCAGAGGGTAAGTTGTGATTTTTTTGATTGCCCTGAGTGATGTTGTGCAGAAAACTCAAAGCTAACCTGCTAGCATTGACACTGCAGGAGTTTAGCAACTTGTTCTGTTGTGCAAATGCAACATTAAACTTGTGAAATCAGCACATTGCAATGTTTGTTCTTCCAGCTGAGCGAGGAGCTCAAGCTGCATCTGAACCAGACGTTGGCTGAGAATTATGCCCAGCCCGGGAAGGAGGCCATCACAGCAGCAGTGGACAGCCTGCAACAGGATGTATGGGCAAATTGCTTTCCTTAAGCTGGGCGGACACTGTGTGACTTTTTCACTCGCAGCGTTCAGCTTCAGCTCAAACTGTACGACTTCCTCTCAGGGCAGATCTCACGAGTCATGTGCTCACACTGTACGACCCAGTTCTCGGATGCGACCTGACTGCTCACACTGTACGTCTGGTAGCAACACGTCGAACCTAAAAATATGCTAAAAATAGCAGTTTTTACACAACACGTCAGACTTTTTTGTCTTGCCTGTTGTCCTTCGGGAGTGCTGCAGGAGGACACACAGGGATTTATGGGGGTTGGATGAGGAAAACGAAATAAATATAGTAAATCTGTGTTTTGTGATCAGTTTAATTTGACATGAACACGACAAACACGCTTTCTTGACAATCCTTGTGAGTAAAAAACGTGTATAAATAAAAACGAACAACGTGTGTTATTAGGGAAATAGCGAGCGAGCGGTGTTGATGCAGGAATGCGCATGCGCCGTGAGCGGTTCTGGTACTTTTTGGGTCGCAGCTGCACGCAGCGCCGCTTCAACAGTGCGATACCCTCACGAGGGACGAGCAAAATATCAAACACGCCAGAAGTTCGTGCAAGCTCACGATTGCTGATCGGTAGCTGGTCACGTGGTGTTAATCGCCTCTCGTAACCCCCGTACACTACACGACCGCTCGGCGCAAAACTCGCCCCGATCTCGTGGATTCTCGCACGAGAGGAAAATCGGCTCAAAAAAAGTGAAAAAGTCGCACAGTGTACGCCCGGCTTTAGCTAGGACCAACATGTGTGGATTTGCATTTTTTATTATTCGGTTTGTAGTTGTTTACTGAAATTTTATTGTGCATATTATTAGGATTCACACAAATGACTTTTCCGAGATTCACATCAAGTAAAGTAGTGTTTCTGAGTGGAAGAAAAAGCCTTCAGATAAGAGCCTTTTTGGTGGAAGTGGATGTAACAAAAGTTTTTGCTTTTATTTTTCTGCCTCTCCAGTTCAAATGCTGTGGAAGCAACAACTCCCAGGACTGGATGCTGAGTGTGTACATTCTGTCAGCGCAGGCAGAAAGCAGAGTGGTGCCTGACAGCTGCTGTAAAACAATCACGCCTTTCTGTGGGATGAGGGACCACCCCTCCAACATCTACAAGGTGGAGGTCAGTAAGTGATGCTGAACTATGATGCTTAATAGTTAAAAAAGTCCAATTACCTTGATGCATTTTAAAGCTTAAAGAAAATGTTAGCGCTTGTATTTTTGTCTTCTGTAGTCCGTTGGAATCCGCAGCCTTTTTGTGTGTTTTTGTCTGCAGGGGGGTTGCATCACTAAGCTGGAGGAGTTTCTTACAGAACACCTTCTGGTCATTGGTGCTGTGGGGATTGGAGTGGCCTGTCTTCAGGTAAGTGGAACATGACATGCTACATCAGATAAAGGAGCAGAACTTGTGTCTCCTAGTTTTATGCAGAGTAAACAATTTATTCTTGTCCATTTTCTATGAATGCCTGCTTTTAATTTCATGAAAGACCCGCTGTATTTTGTTAAGTCGAACCTTAAACGACCCAGATGGATGGGTTTCAGTCTTTCCATTACTGGAAGTGTAACACGACACATCGGCAAAACCTCTAAGACGTCATTTTTCCACATTTGTCAACATTATTTGATTTTCTTTATTCTCCATTCCTTTTAGTTAGTTTACCCCAGTATGAGATGCACTCAACCTTTTAAGCTAAGTCGAATGATGCATATGGGCCAAACAGCCGATGAATTACGACCACCTGTCTAGGCTTACAATTATGGGGTTGCAGCCACATGGATCTGGACTTCTAGAATGGTGTTATTTTTTAAAGTAACATGCTTGAGATTACCAGGATGCAGGTCTTCAAAGCAGAAAATTGCATTGTGATGGAAATTAGGATTTTCATTTAATGTTTCTTTAAAAAATACTTTTCATTACCAGATTTTAGGAAGCTACTATAATGAACAAAGACATTAGAAGCAAATTATGAATAATCTATAACAATCCTGAAAGCATGTTTAAATGTCAAGGAAAGGTTGTTGTCAGAAATCAGATCAGATCAGAAATCAGAAAAACTTTATTTATCCCCGAGGGGCAATTAAAAAAAAATAACAGCAGAGCAGCATGATGTTGGACATACGAACATTGAATAAATAGGCAATAAGGAAGTAATAAAGCAGCCAGAAGATGGATAAAACTGAAAAATATGTACAAAAATCCTTGAGATGGATAAAACAGTAAAGTATGCAAAAATCACTGAGTAAGTGAATAAAGTGACTAAAGTGTCGTCTGTATAAAAGTTAAATATATGGAGAGCCCAAGGAGAAGGTTTATCGGGGGATGGTCTTATCATATCTGCTGGAGTTAAAGAACGTTGTGTTAATTTACCTTGTGTGTGGTCTGTACACTGACTCATTTTATGTCTTTGATTTTGTCCAGTAATTATAATACATCAGTCTGACTTGTGCATTGGACATGTCTCCGTGTGTGTGTGTGTGTGTGTGTGTGTGTGTGTGTGTGTGTGCGTGTGTGCGCGTGGTCTCTCTGTAGCTGGCCGGGGCACTCTTGACAGCCTGCTTTATCTATCTGCTTTATAAAGAAGAGGAAGAGGACTTTGGTGCATTGTAATTTGGCTCTAGAGCTCCTTGGCGTACTAAATCATGTGCATAGACCAGGTTGGAGGCATTGAGGGTATTGGAGTGCATGTGGCCTGTGTTTGCTTGCTACGTGCTAAACATGAGATTTAGAAACATTGTGTTTAAAGGGACATTATGGAAGTTTGACAGCCAAAACATGTATAGAAATAATACATTTCTTCTTCATACATTCTCCTGCAATGCCCTGGTCCTGTAGAATGAGCCCTGGCATTTTTACTGTGATTGCCTGTTTTTCTGTAAAATCACAGAAAAAGAGAGCTGCTCGGGTCGAGCAGGCTGCTTCATGCGCGTTCACGCTCAGGCATAGCCCGTAGCATTTGCTATCAGTAGCTTTAGCAGCAGAGAGAGAGGTAGTGCCACTTTGTCGCTGTTCCTAACGCCTAGTGACAAAGCTAGCTACATTTCTGAGGACCCTTCCTGCAAATTGGCAACAAAATAGCTATTTTCGCTCCGAACCATTCTTTGAATGTTGTTTCAGCTGTCATCAAGGATATAAATCTTACAGATACACAAGATGTCAACGGCACTTTAGCCCACCTAGTAAGACGTCGGACTCTCATGCAGAAGACCTGGCTTCGGTTCTGGGTGTGAACATAGTTCATTTAGAGTTTCTTTCTTACATTAATGATATATATTTTTACAGTAAGATGCCCAAATTTTTATTTGAGACTCGCCAAATGGCATTGAATTCACAAATAAAGATGTGGGTTCAACTTTCATTTTGGAACAATTTTTCAAGCAAGGGAAGGGAATGATCTGAGCATGCAGGAGGACTGAACCATCATAAACCTTTGTTGGCTGTGCTGAAGAGAAAGGTACAGAACCAAATTATTTAATTAATTAGCTGCACGTTCTCCTGTCCTCTGTCCCCCCCCCCCCCCCCCCCCCCACACACACACACACACGGGACTGTCTCAGCTGTTATTTTCGTTAAGGAGTGTGCACGTACCGCACTCGTGCCTCGTGCACGAGCCTACTGCCGTTACGCTTTTAGCCTGAGGGGGCAATCACAAGCATAAAAATTCAAAAGTCCGTAAAGTCCCTTTAAATGAACTCCGTATTCCATTCTTATGTAATCTCTGTGCAGCGTGATGCATGCATCTGCTTGGCTTTGGCTCTGTATTAAAAAAACGCTGCTAACACATTCAAATAGCAGGCTGCTGCAGAAGTTGTGAACGTGTCAGCTTGAGAAAGGTCACCCACATCTTGAGAATAGCTTAATTAATCACAACTGTGCTGTTCGTGCACGTTCCTGTGCTTCACAAGAACTACCTGTTTTCGCACCTCTTCGTTCTGTGTAGTGTTGGTGTTGACAAGAGGAGAAATTCAATGCTCAGCTGGGAATGTCTAACCCAAATAGGTACAGTTTGCATTGGTTGAATAATCTGATCTTAACTGAATGTTCGCCTTATTTTTTGGCTGTAAGCGGGAGCAGAAAGCTGACTTCAAAGCTTTAGAAATGACTGAATGTTTGTACAATCCTCTAAATAACGCAGAGGGTACGTCCTAGGATCACCTTTTGTGTGCTGTTGCTATAGTTACTTACAATCTAAAATTAAACTTGCAACCAGGAACAATATTTGGGCACAGAATAAAATAAAATACAACTCTTCCTTCCAACTCAACAAACTACATTTTAACTAAGGCGACTGGGATTTATATTATCGCCAGTCTTTTTTCCACTAATGTAATAATAAATGCTTCCACCATCAGAAACAGCACAAACTAGTTTGAACAGAGAGGATGTTGATGAAAAATGCTGAGTCACCTACTAGAACTTTCTCAGAAAGCTTTTGACAGACTGAAGGATGTAATTTGGGCCTGTGCCTGTTCATCCATTAGATCTGATGGGAAACAATATCTGTTCAATCTGTCCTGTTTTCATTTGAAGTGTTTCTAACGTACATCCTGATTCTTTTGCATCCTTTATGCGTATGAGTCTTTAGGCTCCGCCTGCTTCACCTCTTAAGTCCACACACACACATGCTGTCATTGCAGCTTGGCATCCTCATAGATGTGTGCTCTTACTCACTACTTCTTGAACTAAAACAGTGAACGTTATTTCAGCTTTGTGCAATCTTCCATGTTGAACGTTGAAACCAAGCACTTCCTGTTACAGATCTGTGGGATGGTTCTCACCTGCTGCTTGCACAGGAGGATCAAGACGGAGCCTTACTGAGGCTTTAATAGGCAGATGGAACGTAGCCTCCTGACACCCGGCTTCCACCTGTGGATCTTAAATTCTGAGCTAGCCAAGCGCACATATTTTCCACCTTAGAGTCTGTAAACTACAGGAGCATCCCATCCCTTTATCTTGGCTCATGCATGCTGTGATTTGGGCAGGACAGGAAACAAAAACCTTTAAAATGTTGCCGTTTACACAATTAATGCTGAACCAACTTCTGAATTTCACCTTTTTCTCCCCTAGCTTGAAATGTATTTACTCTTTCTTTGCTCGGAGTCTGTCTAGAGTTTAGGATTCTGCTGTTTGGCCCAATCCCAATACTCGCACTTACACCCTTGTGCCCTTCATTTGCGCGTTCCCGGCCAGGGGTGCGAGTGCGTAGGGTGTCCCGATTCTCAAGCCCCCATTGCACCCTTAAGCTGCACTTCACCCACAGGCAAGGGTATTACCCACAATTCATTGCTGCGGGAGAAATGGCTCAAGTTTCTTTTCTGAAAATATGTATTTTCTAATAAAATTAGTTCATTTTAGGATGATTAGTCGATGCTCTGAAAGTTTTAGACAAAACAGCAATAAAGTTAAGTTTAATTGCTTTGTTGTTTGCTTGAAAGTTGTTAATAAAGGTTTTTGAAAAAAGTTTCACAGCTACCAGCATCCCAGCATGCGTTGCGATCGATGACGCAATGCTCCTCATCTCAATTCTGCAATTATTTACACAATTGTGTACCACACACTCGAACACTACTGCGCACTTCCTCCAAGTGCACTTCGCTGAAGTCCGCAGGGCGCAGTGCGAGTATTGAGATTGGGCCTTATTTAGCTTTCTGTTAATCTGTGCCTTAAATTCTTAAACTACCACGATACATTGGGGAATGAAAATTATTGTATTTATTTTCATACTTATTTCTATTTTCATGCACAAAGATGTCTAAAAAATCATATATTTGTAACGAAAAGGCAAATTGGTCCTTTTCAAAATGATGTATAAGTCTTTGAGTGCTTGGCTCCACCTAGTGACCAGAATTAGTGATGTATTATCAGATGTTTCTGTTGAAATGGTTTAGAAACGTGTAGAATGACCATTCTATTCTTAAATTCCCATTAATTCATTAATCTTATTTCATGACTTTTCTGGACCCTGCTCTGTTTGTTTTCTACATGGACGCTGATGACAAGGGCAGGCTGCTGTAAAACAAAGCAAGATGGGACTTATTAGAAATATTTTCTGCCTATCGTATCATTTTAAGTTTGTTTATGTTATAAATAGCAAATTCTTAGTTTGATTAATTTGCACTCTCTTCATTTGTTTGAGATTTTTTATTTAAGTCTATAACAGGAAAATTAACGTTTGTTCAAAGGCTGCTTTCTCATGTTATTTATATCGACTCTTTCTTGTTTTCCCGATTCACTTCAAACTGAAAATGTGTGTAAATTACAAGATGATCGATCACTGGAATGTGCTTCAACTATTGATTTGTTTTTCCACAGAAGGATTGAATGCTCTTAAATAAATGTCAAAAGTGTGATGCATTTGGATGTTTAATTATGTTCATATAGCAAAAACTCCAAGGATGCATATGTGTAGAAGGAAAAGAGTTCTCCTGCATAATTAAATTCTTGCATAGCTACCCACACTGGATGCCAAAGATTAAGACTCAAGACTCAAGACTCAAGACAACTTTATTAGTCCCCGAGGGGCAATTCGAGACAGCATTGTGAAGCAGCCGGCACTAAAATCTCTAAATTCTAAAAACACATCCAAATTACACATTTGTAAAACCCATAAAAACCTATATACACAATCATATCATAAACTCACATGTGAATGACCAACAATGATTAAAACTTTGGCTCACACACACACACACACACACACACACACACACACACACACACACACACACACACACACACACACACACACACACACACACACACACACACACACACACATGTAACTATATGCACGCACACATACAAGTAATGCACACGCCCCCTATCTGCACTGAGAATTAAGAAGAAGCACAGCTCTGGGAACAAAGGAACTTCTCCTCCTCTGTGTTTTACAGCATGGGCATCGAAGTCGGCGTTTGGAGGGCAGCCACTCGAAAACAGTATGAAGAGGGTGTGATGGGTCTTTAATGATTTTCTGTGCTAAACTTCCTGTATGCTGATCACATTGAGAAGTTAAGCTTCGCAGTGGTAGTCCAATGATCCGAGAGCACACCTTGACGGTGCTTTGTAGACGGCTTCTATACTGCAGGCTGACAGAATAAAACCAACAGGGGATGGAAAATGTGATAACACTCTCTATAAAAGAATAATAGAAAGTCAGTAAAATGTCCTTCCTGACTCCAAATGAATTCAACTTCCTCAGGAGGTAGAGTCGTTGCTGGCACTTTCTGAGGATGTCCTCGGTGTTGGAAGCAAATTTCAGGAGGTGATCAATGGTGGTCCCTAGATATTTATACTCTTCAACCAGCTCCACTGGCTGTCCATGAATGATAGTGGAGGCAGCGGTAACCAGCGCTCTCTGTTTGTTTGAGAAGGACACCACCATCTCCTTGGTTTTGGTCACATTCAGCTCCAGGCATGCAGTGTCACACCAATCCACAAACTTCTGCAGGTGTAAAAAAGATCAAATAAGCATGTTGTTTTGTTGAAACTGAAATTTCATGAGTGGATTTTGTCCAGTTTTGTAACATGACATATTACAAAGTAAAGATTTTTTTTACCTAACCCTATCATGGATGTATATACTACTGAGTCCGTGAGGAATGTACAAAGGCATGTTCAAGGACCTGAAGATTGAGCCACTAGAGGGCGACAGAGACTTTTCTATTTGAGGTTGTAGCGTCATTAAAACCTTATACAGGTGCTGGCCAGTAAATTAGAATATCATCAAAAGGTTGAAAATATTTCAGTAATTCCATTCAAAACGTGAAACTTGTACATTATATTCATGCAATGCACACAGACCAATGTATTTCCGATGTTTATTACGTTTAATTTTGATATTTATAGGTGACAACCAATGAAAACATCAAATCTGGTATCTCAGAAAATTAGAATATTCTAAAGGCCAATGAAAAAATGTTTGTTTCTCTAATGTTGGCCAACTGAAAAGAATGAACATGAAAAGAATGTGCATGTATAGCACTCAATACTTAGTCGGGGCTCCTTTTGCCTCAATAACTTCAGTAATGCGGCGTGGCATGGACTCGATCAGTCTGTGGCACTGCTCAGGTGTTATGAGAGCCCAGGTTGCTCTGATAGTCGTCTTCAGCTCCTCTGCATTGTTGGGTCTAGCGTATTGCATCCTCCGCTTCACAATACCCCATAGATTTTCTATGGGGTTAAGGTCAGGCGAGTTTGCTGGCCAATCAAGGACAGGGATACCATGGTCCTTGAACCAGGTGCTGGTGGTTTTGGCACTGTGTGCAGGTGCCAAGTCCTGTTGAAAGGTGAAGTCTGCATCCCCATAAAGTTGGTCAGCAGCAGGAAGCATGAAGTGCTCTAAAACTTCCTGGTAGACGGCTGCATTGACCCTGGACCTCAGGAAACAGAGTGGGCCAACACCGGCAGATGACATGGCACCCCACACCATCACTGACGGTGGAAACTTTACACTGGACCTCATGCAACGTGGATTCTGTGCTTCTCCGCTCTTCCTCCAGACTCTGGGTCCTTGATTTCCAAAGGAAATGCAGAACTTGCTTTCATCAGAAAACATAACTTTGGACCACTCAGCATCAGTCCAGTCCTTTTTGTCCTTGGCCCAGGCGAGACGCTTCTTGCGCTGTTTCTTGTTCAAGAGTGGCTTGACACACGGAATGCGACACCTGAATCCCATGTCTTTCATGAGTCTCCTCGTGGTGGTTCTTGAAGCGCTGACTCCAGCTGCAGTCCACTCTTTGTGGATCTCCCCCACATTTTTGAATGGGTTTGTCGTCACAATTCTCTGCAGGGTGCGGTTATCCCTAGAGCTTGTACACTTTTTTCTACCACATTTTTTCCGTCCCTTCGCCTGTCTGTTAATGTGCTTGGACACAGAGCTCTGCGAACAGCCAGCTTCTTTAGCAATCACCTTTTGTGTCTTGCCCTTCTTGTGCAAGGTGTCAATGATTGTCTTTTGGACAGCTGTTAAGTCAGAAGTCTTCCCCATGATTGTGGTGCCTTCAAAACAAGACTGAGGGACCTTTTAAAGGCCTTTGCAGGTGTTTTGAGTAAATCAGCTGATTAGAGTGGCAGCAGGTGTCTTCTATATTCAGCCTTTTCAGAATATTCTAATTTTTTGAGATACCAAATTTGGAGTTTTCATTAGTTGTCACTTATGAATATCAAATTTAAATGTAATGAACATTGGAAATACATTGGTCTGTGTGCATTGCATGAATATAATGTACAAGTTTCACGTTTTGAATGGAATTACTGAAATATTTTCAACCTTTTGATGATATTCTAATTTACTGGCCAGCACCTGTAGTTACTCAGTTAGTGACTTTCCCAAAAGTTAGACATATTATTTAGGGCAAAAGTCAATTATTCTTATTTTTATTATTATTATTATCAGGGCAGCAGTAGCTCAGGAGGTAGAGTGGGCTGTCCAGTAATAGAACTGATCCCGGTTCCCGGCAGAGAACTGCTGTTGTGTCCTTGGGCAAGACACTTGACCCTCCCTTCCTACGGCAGCCTCAGTGAGGGTCGGTGAGCCCCAGGCCAGCAGTGGCTACAATGTAGCTCCTCACCACCAGGGTGTGAATGTGTGTGTGAATGGGTGAACGGTACACTGTAGTGTAAAGCGCTTTGTAGTCCTCTGAAAAGGTGCTGTACAAGTGCGGGTCATTTATCTGATAATATTATTTATTTCTAAAAATTTTTTAGAACTCAGGAAGTTTTTACTACAGTGTTCCACTTCCTGGGAAGATAGAATTCTGAAACAAAGTACAATATATGTCTTATACTAGCTTATTTTAACGTGTCACATTAATAATCTCTTGGGAACTACTAATTGTCTTTTTTTTGGTTAAAGTTTGCAATATTTTTTATTCATGTTCGTGCGTTTTCCTTAGTGAAGGAAAAGTGTTGGGGTGGAAGAGCCTATAACATGCAGAACATTCTAAGAAAATCTCAGCTGTAGTTGATAAGTAATTATAGTAAAATACTTGTATATGCAAAGTACATGCATGTAATTACACTGCAATATTAATGTAATGTAGTATTAGATTTCCTTAAGGGAAAGTATGTTTAGTAGCTCACACTGAGCTCTTTTTGTTTGCTCTATATTGCTGCCATATGACCCAGCTATTTGTCGTTGACGCACGACTTTTCCTTCCTCCTATTTTTCCCTCCTGCTCTAGATAACTTATGAGACCTCGTGTCGGTTCGCAGTGATCCGTCACTGTCACCCATTTAGTAAAAAAGGACCTAAAGATCCTAAAACAGGCGGGACGTTCTGCAGCTCAGTGAGCCTGTCGGGGCCTTATCTATCCTTATCTATAGGAGGATGGCTCTCATTTCCTGTAGATGTCATGCACACCACATTTCAAACACACAGACAAGATAGAAATGCACAACTGAGAGGCTGTAGGCATCAGCATGTGGTTTGCAGCTTGTGCCAAGAGAGAGCCACGAAGAAGAATTAAGAGCAGCTGGAGATTTGATCAGTTTCCAAGCATCTAGGCCTGTCAGCCTCAGAATCATGCATGGAGACAACACACACAGTTTGGTCTTAGCAGCTGAAGGGCTGATATTTCATCAAGACTACGAAAAACAGTACTTTAGAATACTTAATTCTTCTGCTTATGTGTAAAATTATTACTTTTGTGTTTGCACACAAGAATAACTACATGCGTGTCAGCCAGCTGTAACACCTTTGAGTTATGGGATTCTTTTTTCGTCATGATTTTAAACGCTATGCAGGCCTTGGGAAGTGCACCTGTTTTCAATGTTCGCACACGTTTTTAAGGCTCTCACACATGGCGATTGAATGCCTCGGTGCCGTGAGCACGACGGGTCAGAACTTCTGTAAAACCTTTTGTGTCCAACGTGAGGAATTCACAAATCTGCCTAACGGGCTCTGACCAAATGTTCTCAAAAGATGTTTTTGTTTTCATATCTGCAGAAGGAAAAAATCCAAACCACGTCACCAAAGGGGATTCGACCCACAATCACACAGATCACCACCTACCAGGTTTCATGACAAGAAAGAACACGAACAGGTGGTGCTGTGGCTGAATTACGCAGAACGACGTCATTTTATTGTTTACGTTCAACCTTTCACAAGCAAAAGCACCTGTTCCGTGTTTGCTTGTGTTTACCATCTCATCCTGGAAATTCAACAAATTGTGAAACACTCTTGATGTTTCTTCTGAAATTCAGGAAAACATTTGTGCATCTTTAACGTCCTTTTTGGATCAAAACAAAATTTGGTCTCTAAACCCATCCAACCCTAACATGTGAGACATTATCTGTGGCACAAACATGTTTGACTGATTGCTTTTGGCGTCAAAAAGTTAGTGTGCTAAAGG